ATATATATATATATATAATGCCTTATTACAAGAATTAACGTAATAATTCAAACTATAATTGTACAATAGTAATATTATTTAATTACAGATTGTTATAGTTAAAGTAAATTTAACAAACGAACAATTATTATGAACGTTTACTTTATAAAAATAAATATACGATTACTTTTACGTCATGTAAATTGATAAAACCAATTATAGTTCTTAATGACATGTAACGCGTACACAAAATAAAAGAGCAATAGCAACAGCTGTATGCTAAATTGTAGGCTGCTAACATATTTCCAACAAATACTAGTATACTGTATCAATACTAAAATAAATTCTAATATATAACAATTTTCATTCCACTGAAACTTCAAAATAAATTAAATAGCACAGAATACTTAAAAAAAAAATGTAGGCCACCGTTATGTATGCATAAAAATTGAAAATACCTGTTCTTCCTTCAAATGTTGCATACATATAACAAATCAGAAACCTCTTTTGTAACTTCACTGAACTTTACCACTTCTCGTACAAATATACTACTATTTGGCAACAACTCGATTGAGTCTAACATTCCCTCCTCTTTATTCTTCGCGAAAAGCGATTTCCAAACTCCATTACATCTCTACAAGGTAACTGCCCAGTATATTTGTGAAGTATGCGAAAGGCCTCGTTTGCCCAATCAGATTCTTTCTCCACCCCTTCTACATTACGGTTACTAACCAATCATTAATCAGTATTAAGGAGGCGGTATATTTAAGAAATCTTAATTATCTATTATATAATTTTAATAGTTCATAAAATCTATTTATACATAAATATATAACAAATTATTATTAATTATTGTATTAAATATGGAAATAATTAAAATATTTTTAACAACATTTAATTTTTATTTAAAGAAATCTTTACGTAAATATATTATACATTTTAAATTAATTATAATAATTTGTAAACTTTTGTACGTTAGAAATATAATCTAATTGCAATAGAAAAATGAAATTAACTGATCGTACACAGAAATCGAATCTTTGTTATTCGTTATCGTTTACTTTAACGTATTTATGTTGTTTCACATTACTTGAAACATAATACCTTTATTTTTGTCTTGAAACAATTCTGGATCATTTTTTAATAATATATTACCCACATATCAAAAAATTAAACAAATAAAAATGTAAAAACTATTCCTAACATAACAAAAGTTTTATAATACATACATATTAATATTTAAAAATAAGAAATACCTGAAATAATACCTGGAAAAGTTAACTGTAATATCATCATTAGAATAAAATTCCTAATAAACATTGCTTATAGCTAGAAATCTGAAACAGTAACAGCTCTATAATTTTTTCATATTAGTTTATATTAATTCCTGTTCCCTAATACTTGTTAAAAATATTTCATTTTTTTCAAGCAGATGCAGACCAGATGATATTGTATTTGAAATTTACAAAAAAAACGTACTACCCGGAAAACTTCACGGATTTCAATAAAAACGGACGACTGTTGAAATAAAACAGATGTCTTTTCCTTTTTGTGACGTTGACCTGAAATTAGAGAAAGGATACTTTCTCTGTTGTCTATTCTTTATGGTTAGTCGTAAAAGTCAATAGATGTAAACCTATTGAGAAAATTAAAGGTATCTAAAAGTTTTTATATGTTAACACCATTGTAATTACTAAAACATTCCAACGATACTAGGACATAATTTATAAAAAAAATATATCTTTTATGCACAATTTATTATCTAAGACGAAACAATATATGCGCATATATTTGAAATATAAAAAATTACCTTAAACTTATTTTGTTACATAGTTCATATGAATATCAATAAAAATTTCAAAAAATAATAAGTAAATAATAACGTTTCAAAAAATAATAACAATAGCTGTATATTGCAGTAGTTCACCATTTGTTCGATCGAAACAAATTTTAATTTTATTTTAAATACAAATGTATTATTTCATTAATGATTCGTGTGATTTGATCCGCTGCATAGCGAGTATGCAGGCTATATTATTGTTTCATCGAGGCACACTTATGTGTAAAATTTAATGTGTGGCAATCTTTTTTTGTTCATATCTCGAAAAACATGGTTGACCACCAATTTTTTCAAAAAAAAAGGTTGCTTGGAATAACATTCTTTACAACGTATTTCAAAATCATTAAAATTGCTGAGGTCGTAACAATTCGATAATTTTACCAAACTATTTTATTTAACTTTATTACTTAATATTATTAATAATAATTAAAATTTCATATAAATATTACCTATAAATAACGCAATTTTTATAAAGATCAATATATAGTAATAATAGTTTTATTATATTAAGATAAATTAATAAAATAGACGACTAATATTTTTTTCACTTATTTATTTTATTTCTTTGTAAGTATAAGACGTTCATTTCAAAACCGAATACAAAAGCCTACGGCTCTATATTGATTCCACGTGATTATTAAAGATATTATAAATAAGATTAATAACTTATAACAATTAACAAATAACAAGCAAAAACAAAGATATGTTGATGTAAAAGTAAAGTATTCTTTAATTTTTCAATCAAAAATTTTATCTATAAAATTTTTAGTAATCTTGAAGTGCCTAATGTTCTAGATAAGTACATTCATCTTCGAAGTGGTTATTATGTACAGAGCATATGAAAATAATGTCATAACCATTACAGCATAATTCTACACTTTCACTATCACTACCAAAATGTGGCCGCAAAATTGTCTTTGAGCATAATATTTAAGGTTAAATTTTTTTATTGCATCGTATTCTACACATCATAGAGATAAAATGTTTGAAAGGTTTGATTTATTACGCGGACACGTTGGGTAATCGTCTGGTCAATTATTAACCGGTTGTAAGAAGCTACTCAATACATCTTACATATAAATTTCGCTGTTCTACTCAATGCGTATATTGAATACCTCATATGCGTTTATTGAATACTTCATGATGAAGGAAAAATATTGACCATCCTATTTAAAAAACAAGATTAATCTTTTTATACCATGAATTTTTTCTAATAGAATTATTAATTTTAAAAAATTTTTATTATACGTTAGTCTTCACTAAATTTTTAAATTTCGAAATTTTTACAATATTTCTTTAAAATTTTAAATTATAATAGAAATATTTGAAATAATAAAGTTAAGCATCGATTCCTTGTAACATTTATTAAGATTAAATTATTTTATAGCTTTGAAGTTTTAGATTTGTTTATATAAAAATTTATTTCGATATAATATTTGTTAATAATAGAAGACTTATGTTTAAGTAAATTATTATGAAATAAGTAAATAATTATGTTAAGGAAATTAAAACTCGTAAAAACATACACAAAAACATACATTTAAAAATACAGCATATATTTGATATTTGCATTTGATTTACTATTAACCCCGTATTTGTTGTATCATGCTTTATATAAGAAAGTTTTTACTGAATATAAAAGATAATATTAACCATAAATTTCTGTTTTTTATTAATTTTCATTTCTTCGTATATTTGTATAAGGGATGATACTACTCTTTTTTAATTTTTTATTTATAATAAATATATTTCCAAAGTTAATATTTATTTATACTAAATTTATTTATATCAAGTGCATTTTTTGATTTTGTTATTCCATTTAATCATGCGGTTTATGCACTTAAATATATTTTTATTCAAACAAAGTCATACAATAATATCGTTCTTATATTTACGTAGTATGACGATACGAATATCCATTAGATAAAAATATATACTTTTTAATATTTTCTCTATTTTAGTTCTATAATAATAAAAGTAAATATGCATATTAACCTCGTTACTTATGTTGTAAGTACATGGCACATATTAATTACAATTAAGAATAAATATTTTATAGTTTAATGTTGTTGTAACAGTGTATTTACTGTTATTTACATTTTAATAATGAATTTGAATTTTATAGCTACATATATAATTTTCTCTCTTATAATTTCACTCATTCACTCATATTTAAAATGTAGCACAGTTGATCAATAGGAACACTTTTCTAATGTTTGTGTACAAAATTAAGGTTGACTAAGATATATGGATATATGATTTAAATAATTACTTATGATTTGATCAATATTAAAAACTATAGGTTTTCATATTACTAGCAAAAAATATCCAATGTATCAAAATGATACTTAAATAACGTAAACTAGATAATTAAATAACGTAAATTAAAATTTTCACAATATTTACTTTATTTATCCATAACCTATACAAATTTTAATAAATAGTTTATAAAGAGAATTTTATCCTGTTTTACAATATACATACAAAATATTGATAAATAGAAATATTCTTTATTTGTACAAATAAATTCAGTATATCCAAATGAATTGTTTTTTTAATAGTTAATACCTATTGATATACATCAATTCATTATAAAAATAAATGGAAATAAAGGTTAATATTTAGTTCTTAATGCAATAAACAAACACCACATTGCAGTTCAAACATTTCAAATAATTTATTTTCTATACTTTCATTACATTTCTCTTTATATAACATAAAAGTGATAATGCAAATGCTTAATAATAATTAAAAAAAATATAATTAAACTAAAATAAGGATCAGGGAAAGAATAAACTCATTTGATAGCTTTAAAGGAAAATTTATTATCATAAAACTTGATTAGAAACCCTTTCATGATCAATTATTAGTTTTGAATAATAATTTGTTCCTGTCATTCTTGCATGTAGTAATCGTTTAAACCACCATAAAAGCTTCAAATCAAAATTTGTTTAAATTAAGGATAATGGCAGAATGAGGAACGTCATTACAAATAATTAAGGAAGAATTAACAAAAAAATTAACAATTAAGAATCCTTTCTTAATTGTTCATACTCATGTTCAGTTTTTTTCCTTATTCTGCCACTATCCTTGGTTTAAACAAATTTCGATCTGAAGCTTTATGGTGGCTTAAACAATTACGACATGCAAGAATGACAGAAATAAATTATTATACAAAACTAATAATTGATCATGAAAGGGTTTCTAATCAAGTTTTATGGCTTCTAAAAAAGAGTAAATACCTTAATTAAGACGTTTACTCTTTTTTAGAAGCCACAGCCTGTTTGGCCTGATGAGCTTGCAATACAGCTACGGCCTCTTCAACCTTGGCTTTCAGCGATTCGTTATGTTCCAACATGTGCAGGAGCTCTGAATTGTCGATTTCCAACAACATTCCAGTAATCTTTCCAGTAAGTTGCGGATACATACATTGAATCAACGGGAAAAGACGCTCTCCCAACATTTGTTTCTGCTCTTGTGGAGGAGCAGCTGCCAACATTGAGGCAGTTAGTGGTTCTTGGCCTTGAATATGAACTGCTTGCTGAACAGGAGTAGGAGCAGGGATTGCCATTCCTTGTGGTGGATTGCGCATGTTTGAAGTGTATTTGTAATTTGACGGACGGCTTTGAGCTGAAACTCCTACTGCTGGACCAGCCATTGTACGGTTTTGCATATTTGCACCGCCAACCGCTTGTTGACCTAAAAGTACAAATAAAGTTAATAAATATTTTACATTTGAAATGCCAAAAACAAATTACATAAGAAATCTATATTTAATACCTGTGATAGGTCTAGCAGATAAAGTACTTCGCATAGTACCAGCTTGTGCAGTAGGAGCACGTGGTGCAGCTCTAAATGGACCTTGCATCGTAGCAAAACCAGAACTTCCAGTTTGTGCATTGGGTCGTACTTGATTAGGCTGCGCTGGCCAACGTGGAGTTGTACGAATTTGAGCCATCTGTGCAGGTCCATAAAATCTTTGTGGTTGTGGAATAGTGGGAACAAAATAATTTCCAGCACCACCAGGCTGAAAAATTTGACCCATTTGCTGCATTCGCATATTTGCTAAACGTTGCATGTATTGAGAAGCAAGATGCGCTTTACGATCTTCTTTACGCTGAGCCAGAGCAACATATAATGGTTTAGTAACTATTATGCGACCATTCATTTCTGTTACAGCTTTTGTAGCTTCCTCAGGAGCGGAAAAACAAACAAATCCAAAACCTTTACTACGTCCTTCTTCCATCATAACTTTAGCAGAGGTAATTGTTCCAAATGGTGCAAATTCTTTGCGTAACCGCTCGTCATCTATACTATCATCCAAGTTCTTTACATACAGATTTACACCCTGATAACGATTTAAACGTTCTAATTTTAACTGTTCAAACTTCCTTTTGAGTTCTTGTTGACGCTCTGCCTTCTTTTGCGCCCGTCCAACGTACATACACTTTCCTTCAGCAACCTCTTTTCCATTTAATTCAAGTACTGCTCGTTCAGCAGCGTCAGGATCTTCAAAAGCAACAAAACCGAAACCTCGAGATTTCCCGTCATCTTTAATCATTACTTTATGACTGGTGATGGTCCCATATTTTTCAAACATTTCTTTAAGGTTGTCATCTGTCATATCTTCCCCAAAATTCTTTACATAAACATTGGTAAAAAGCTTAGCTTTTTCTCCCAATTCCTTCTCACGTTCTTTACGGGGTATAAATTTACCAACGTATACCTGTATATTATAGAATTATCATAAAGGTTACCATAAAAAATAAAAAATGTTATAACAATTAAAATTAATTTTACAATAACGAAAAGTAATAAAAGATAAAACATTACCTTTTTTCCATTTAGCAACATGCCATTAACCCTATCAATAGATTTATTTGCTGCTTCTTCAGTTTCAAAATGAACAAAACCATAACCTTTAGAAACACCAGATTCATCTTGAGCTACTTTGCAACTAAGTATATTACCAAAAGCAGAGAACGTATCGTACATTGCTTTATTGTCTATGCTTTTATCTAAATTTTTTATAAATACATTTCCAACACCAGATTTCCGAAGAGAAGGATCACGTTGAGACCACATGATACGAATAGGCCGCCCCTTTATCATATCAAAGTTCATGGTATCAAGAGCACGTTCCGCTAAACCAAACAAAAATAAAATCTCTTAATATTTAATTATAGTAAATAAATATATAATTAAGCTATATCTTAACCATTAAAAAGTAAATAAAAGATCTTAAAATATTTTCAATTATATTTTTCACAAATTCTAAACAAATCATGAAAAAATATGTAGTGCTTAACCAATAATGCAAGAAGTATATAGATAATACAAACATACTGACACATTAAAATATAAAAATAGGATTATAGTATATTTTATTGTTTTGATTTTTATTTAGATTATGATTGCATAGGTATTTAGTGTACATTTGAATACTAAAATCTATTGTCTTTTTATAATTAACAGACATGATTTATATTAAAATATTCAACGTTATCTACAAAACAAAATGAACAATAAAAAAATAAGGTATGACTCAACCAACCGTCAACTACTACTATCTACTTTGTTCGAAGTAGGTTTCAATATGGTGGTATCGTATGATCCGAAACACGTGTCAAGCATGGATAAATGATGTAACAAAGAACAATTTCCTTGAAAATTGTCTAAAATATAGATTAACGAAATAGTGAAATAAATAATCAATGTACTTACCATCAGCCGGTTGCTGAAAGTTAACATAAGCATAACCGAGCGAACGTCGGGTAATCAAATCACGACAGACGCGTATCGAGAGTACAGGCCCAGCCGATGAAAACTTCTCGAAAAGCATTGCCTCGGTGATATCATCTTGCAAGTCACCCACATAAAGTGAGGCCATTGGGTAGTTCGGAGCTCCCGGATTCATTGTAATTGTATTCCCTCGTCGTCCAGCTGTTTAAGTTCAAAATTCTCTGGTTTTTGGTTCCTCTCGTTCCTTCAATATGGCTTTCGCTCTTCCGACCACGTTGCTCTTCGTAACACAATGATTACTATTTTTTTCCACACTTTACTTACGTTTTGCGGTTTTCAGCTACGGTTTTACGATTTTTTTGTTTATATTTTTATAATTTTTATATTTTTTTTGGGTTTTTTTTTATAGAAGAGTTATTTCACGAATGGAGGTGGGTTGTGTGACCTATTTTGTGGAAAAAGGAGACACAACCACACGTGAACACAACTCTACTCTTAATGAGGAAGAGGCATTGAAAGTAGTTCCCTTCTTGCTTATATACTAACATAGAACATACTACGCGCCGGAAAAATAGTTCTTTTCGTAAATTGTGGTGCCATCTGCATTCAAATCTAGGGTATTTTGATATAGTGTTACTTTTATTTTTATAAACAAAATAATCAAAATAGAAAAATTTTTATGTAAAAATATAAATCTTATAAATATTTTGAAACATTCAAATATGGTTAACATTTTAGCTATCATCTTAAATGTACATCACTCATACATAATAAATAAATTAGTGCTTTATATCGCTTAAAACTATACATTTATTTAATTATAATTATAACTACTTTGTAAAATTATAATAATAATTTGTTACAATTAAGATAATAATTTATAAAATTGTACAAATATAAAACACTTTGTGTAGTACATTAAAAATAACCACTAGACTATTACGTACTAGGGAGATATTAAGATAGCGAATTGACGATAGTAATAACACTTTGCTAAGTCAAGGGTAATTTTTACAAACTGAAATATAATAGTTCATTAAAAGCAAACGTTCAAGATTTATCATTAAATACATACCAATATGTTGCGGTTTACTAATTATGTAAAACGAATGTATCGTAAGTAAATTTTGTATTTATACAATTTCATTTATTCAAATATCTGTAGATAATATTCTTATGTAACTATATATATATTATGTATTTTGTAGCTGACATAGAAAGTTGGGCATATAATTTTTCTGGATTTAATCAGTTTGGTATGAAATATTTATTAATAATAATTATATAAATATTCTTTAGATGTCAACACTTTTCAATATGAAATCTAAAATGTTTAATATACTTGTTGTATGGATATATATTTATTTAGAATATACATGTATTTTCCAAATTCTTGACTTCGTATAAATTTAGGGTTACGTAAAGATGACCTTCTCTATGAAACACCAGAGGTAATAGAAGCATTAAGACGACTACCTGCTCATGTAATAGAAGAACGTAATTTCCGAATTCTTAGGGCTGCGCAATTAAATGGCCAGAAAAAAATTTTACCAAAAGAACAATGGACTAAATTTGAAGAGGTAATTTAACATAAGCCATTAACTAAAATTACTTAATCTTTATTCTTATATAATTGTTTTATACTTTGAATGACATGTAATTTCTGTTAAATAGGATGAACACTACTTATTGCCCTATCTACAGGAAGTTCAAAGAGAAAATCAAGAAAAAGCAGAGTGGGATAAAGAGTAAAATATAATAATACATTAGTAAATGTTATATTTAACTTATATTATAATTTCAAAATATTGAATTGTACATATGCTAATCACATATTAAATAAATTATCTTTGTTCATTTTAATTCTATTTCAAATATAGTAGTTATTATATGAAAAGTATTAATAAATTTGAATTAAAACAATTAAATTTTAGTTACCAAAAATAATTTAATATAATTGATTATATTTTACGGATCATATATATTAAATTATTGTATAATGTAGTAAAAAAATTGTTTTGTAAATACCACCTATTTTACACTTCTTTAATTATCTCTTATTTATCTAAAATAACAAAATGATAAAGATGTGAGTAGTTCATCCTTTTGTTCAATAATATATGTAAAAAGAGGTAATTATTAATAATTACATAATGTTCACATCAATTCATAGCTCATTTAACACCCTTTATGCAATGACTTATTCATCATTCGCCCACGAATATTCGCTGCATAGTTATTGTGTAATGCGTTGTTAATAGATGCAATGACATTAAAGAGAAATCTTCGCAAATGTTCAAATGTAAAAACAAAATCAATTGTTCATCAATTTATGTATAAAATATGTTACATTTGTAGTACAGTAAACAATCTTCACATTATACTTATAAGAGTTTCGCGGGCAAATGGCGGATCAATATTTCACCCCCACGCGGATCTGAGCGGCATCCCCAATTACCGAAGATTTATACAAAGTAATTTGAGTTTCGTGAGTAAAAAATATATTTTCGTTTTTTCTTTTTTTTTTTTTTCTTAGTAAATTTTCAAGTATTTTTTATGTTTTTCTGCCATATAATACGTATCTTCTACACGATTCTTGGAAAGAAGGTTTTAAAGTGAAAACCACACGGAAGATCATATAAGATACAAAGAGTGGTAACTAAAAATTACAACTTTAAAAAATTTTCTGTATAAACTTTATATAATATGCTTAAAAACTTTGCTTATATCAATTATCTTTTCTCTTTCTTTTATGCAATTTGTAGAAGTAGTACGTAGTCTTCAAATTTTCGTTGTATTTCACACATACCCCTTTTGTAACGAGTTGAATTTGCATTTTCTCTTTGACGTGCAGAAAAAGAAGAATAATAATTGTTTAAGTTAATTTTATTAGGATTGTGAATTTTAATCAAGATACCAAGTGTTGCTATGTGAAACGTGAAATAGTAAGACAACCCTTTCGGCATCGAGCGTGAGGAAATTAATAAAACGTCTCATTGTAATTAAATTTTCTTTCGAGTATTCAAGTACCCCGTTATTTAAACTTCATTTGTAGACAGTTATGATGTATGTACAAAGGTAATTAAATAAATTAATTGCATTGCTTTCAAGAGTTGTTATATACTAATGTAGCAAATTTAAAGAACATGTATGTATATATATTGTGTCAAATATATGGATTTTAATTAATTACAGATGTCAGAAGAACAGCAATCAGTATATTTTCAAAAAAGAAAATCGCTGATAATAAATCTTTATAAAATTGATTATAATATTTTATATTTCTAACAAAGTAAAAAATTTAGAAAATTTACACAATAACTCCTTTAATGCTGTCAAGCATTTGAATTATATGTTATTGTATGAAAAAGACAATGCTAGATATATCAGGTGCTATGCCAAAATACTACCTCTACTATGTGTACAAAATTATAAAATTGATTGTTTTAGAAGTAAAATAAAAATATTTAATATATATATACATGTATGTGTGTGTGCTGTGTGTATATATACATATACACACACACATTTATACACATATGGGAATTTAAATATAAATGGAGAAATATATTCTGATCTATGAGTATTTATATGTAAATGCATAACAGATAAAAAGTGGAAGCTCTTCCCTAATTCATGTTTTCTTACTTGACAATGTATTATCTACAATAATACGATAAGAGAACATTTAATAATATGATAAGAAAACATTTGAATATAATAATCTATTGACAAATGTATAAAAGTAAAGAAGATCTATATATCAATAGCTCAAAAGAAACAGTTATTAAATAAATAAAAATGGGCATACCATATGATGAAAACTTGGTATGGATAGTAGTGGTTGGATTCTTAGTGGCCTTTATTTTGGCATTTGGAATCGGAGCAAATGATGTTGCAAATAGTTTTGGAACAAGTGTTGGTGCAGGAGTACTTACAATATTTCAAGCTTGCATTTTAGCAACCATCTTTGAAATTGCTGGGGCTGTACTTATCGGCTATAAGGTATTTTAGAAATTTATATACATTATAAATTATATTTTATGTTATCTTATTTGAAATACATTAATTAATATTTACTTTAGGTTTCTGATACTATGAGAAAAGGTATACTAGATGTAACATTATATGAAGGCCATGAAAAAGAATTAATGATAGGAGCATTATCTAGTTTAGCTGGATCTGGTATCTGGCTATTACTGGCAACAGCATTGCGATTACCTATTTCTGGAACACATTCTATTGTTGGTGCTACAGTTGGTTTCTCACTTATCTGTAAAGGTACTGCAGGGGTTAGTAAAATTATTACATTAATTTAAAAATAAATGAGTAATATTGTATAATATAATAAATATGTTTATAGGTCAAATGGATAGCTCTTGCAAATATAGCAGCGTCTTGGTTTGCAAGTCCTGTACTTAGTGGAATTGTATCAGGTGCTATATTTTGGGTTCTAAGAAAATCAATACTTCAATCTAGTAAGCCTTTAGAACAAGGTCTTCATATACTCCCATTAGCATATGGACTCACTGTTGCTATTAATGTTATGTCAGTTGCACATGATGGACCTAAACGTAAATGAATTTTAAACTTGTATTTTAATAAATTTATATATCATATTTAAATTCAGTTATTTATGTCTGTTTCAGTTCTGAAGTTAGATCAAGTGCCATGGTGGGGTAGTTTACTTGCTGCATTAGGTTTTGGTACATTTTCAGCTACCATTGTTTATTTATTTGTTGTGCCATGGCAAAGAAAAAGAATATTACTTACATTGAGTAGCAACGAAAAAACAGCAACAACTAAGTTTGGTACCTGTGATAAAAAAGAAACAACAGCATTATCTGTTATTTCTGAAGCTCCATGTAGTAGTAGTAGTAATGGTAATGCAAAAGAAGTAGCGCCAAAATTACGTGGCAATAGCAGTGCAAGTCCTCTCTTAATGGTAGCAGGATCAGATACTGAGGGTGCTCAAACTGAAATTGAAAGGAAAAATGAAGAACCACCAGAAATATCTAAACTTTTTGCTTTTCTGCAAGTATTAACTGCAGCATTTGGAAGTTTTGCTCATGGTGGTAATGATGTTAGCAATGCAATTGGTCCACTTATTGCACTTTGGGCTGTATATGCAGAAGGGTCAGCTAGACAAGAAACAGAAACTCCAATACTTATATTGCTTTATGGTGGTTTAGGAATATCAACTGGTCTTTGGGTATGGGGACGTAGAGTGATACAAACTCTAGGACAAGATTTAGCTCGTATTACACCAACTACTGGATTTACTATAGAGGTATATATATTTTATGAATGTAGAATCATATTATATAGAAAAAACAAAATATTTAGTTTTGAAATATTTGTTATTACACATAAATTATAGGTAGGAGCAGCAGTAACAGTTTTGTTGGCAAGTAAGGCTGGTTTACCTGTGTCAACAACTCATTGTAAAGTAGGATCTGTTGTTTGTGTGGGATGGGCTTCACGTGGTGGTGAGGGAGTTTCATGGAAATTATTCCGCAATATTGCATTTGCATGGTTAATTACTGTACCAGTGGCTGGCTGCTTATCTGCAGGATGTATGGCTATTTTTAAGGAAATAATTAGTTTGTGACTTCACTAGAAGTCAGGGCAACTAGTCCACTTTAGTGAAAACCATCCAATGCTACTGTTGTCAATAATTTATGCAAAAATAAACGATCAAATATAATTTGACCTAGTTATTTATTATTTATAAATGTATTAAATATTTAATTATATTATAATTTTGTAATTTAAAAGTAACTAAAATAACAATTAAAATATTGTTATATCAATACATGCTAGTGTTGTTATAGAAACCAATTCAAACAAATTTTTTAGCCACTGCATGGTTTAATACTCTATAGAAATATCTCTTTAAACTATATTTTATTAAATGTTTATATAATTTAATATGGAAAATTTACCACTTATACCAGGCTACAGGTTTCAAGATCCAAGTGTAAGTAAATTAATTATTATTATTATTACTATATTTAAACTAATAAAATTCAATAACATTTTTTTAAAGATTAAAGATTATAGATTATTACAAAAATTTAATGTTTTAAATGGCTATCGTGTAGTATGTGATAGAAATATTGGTATTGGAGGAAGACCAATAGATATTGCATCTAGTGCATATGTAAAAGAGGAGGATTCTTTTCAGTAAGTGAGGAATAAGCAAAACGTGAATATTCATTATTTTTATGATATAATTTGTATCAACTAAAATTAGTAAAATATAATTTTATATATAATCTTTAAACCTTCTTAATATAATGATATTAAATAATATATAGGTATGATCCATCATTAACGTATGGTCGCGTGAAAAAATATGCACATCGTCAATTTATACCACATTATGCATTATTTGCGCAAAAATGTCTCTGTTTTAAGGCATTTTTTCGTCAAGGAGTGTTTAATTCTCCAGACGAACATTTTCGTATACGCTATGTTAATATAATATATTATTTGGAGGATGATACTCTATGTATAATTGAACCTGCAATTGACAATGCTGGCTATCAACAAGGAAAACTTGTTAAACGCAACAAGATTGTAAAAAATATAAATGGTGATACATTTCATTGGAAAGATCTTAATGTTGGAATTGATATATGTAAGTTTAATAAATGTCTTTATTACTATTACATATATCTTTTACAAATGTTGCTTATCAATAAAAATTGGTAAATTTCAATTTTTTATTCAATGTCTAGTTTATTACATAAAAACACATTTATATTTATCTTTTATATCTTCTTTGCACATTGACTATTTTGTAAAATTTGTTTTTGTAATTTTTGTTATTTGATTTTATTATTTGCAGGTATTTATGGTGTAGTTTATCATATTATTGATTGTGACCTATTTACTAGAGAGTTTTTAAGTAGCCAAGGTATAGATGTTGGAGATAAAGAACAACCTCCTGTAGATCCTTATACAGAACTGAAAGTAAACAAACCAAAAAAGCCGACATTTACTACACAAATTTTAGATGATATTAGACGGCGATTTTTAGAATATGATAAAATGGTATTATTGTTTACTGCAACATGGAATGATGATATTTATCAAATTATGTATTTCTTGATGGATGATACGATATCCATTCGTGAAATACAAAAACCTAATAGTGGGAAAGATCCGGTATCAATGCTCTTAAAAAGAATGAAAATACCAAAAGATTGGAAAAATTTACCATCGACTTATCCTGCTATATATATGGAATACGGTGACCCAGAGATTGTTGAATATTATGCACCAAATGATTTTTTAGTTAGTTTGATACGTAAAACTATCAATGTTTTTATCATTGTCTTCTGATTTATATATTTCCTTTTAAAATTGCAGATAGGTAGTACGATTTTTATATTTAATCGTCCATTTTTTTTGCTTGATTGTGATTCTTTTACTCGAAAATATTATTCAGATATGTTGAGAATAACACAACCGGAAGGAATTCCACTTCCAACAAAAGATATTATGATATTACGGGAATATCAACCTCCACCGCATATAAATTTTGGTACACCTGAAGATACTTACGCTTCTTGTTTGTCGCTTATACCTAAACCACCTAAAAAAGATGTTATTCGACAACTTCTTAATTTTCCCAAGAAATTACGTTATTCCATGCAAATGAATGCGGTACATCCAGAAGATGAAAATCGTGATTTTATTTTAGAATATAATTTAAATGATGGTACGATTCTCATACAAGAACTAGAAAAACGTAATTCTGGCCGTCGCAAAGGTTGCTTTTTAAAAGCAACACTAGTCCCAAAACCAAAAACTGGAAGAGATAATCCAGAATACTATACTCCTCGAGACTTTTATATAGGGGCAAAAATTAATATTTTTAATCATTACTTCATTATAACTGGCAGTGACCTTTTCGTATACCGTTACATTGAAACGAATCCTGATAAGTTTCCACAAGAAGTACGAGATAATATTCGTAATTATTTACTTAAACAAAATTTACTTTCTAATGATATAAAAATAGAAAGCAAAATTGTTCAAAATGAAGAAGATGCAAAATTACAGTCAATCAAACCAATTGAAGTGAATGTTAAAGAAGATATTAATATGATACAATGTTTAAATGATTTTGAAGCTCAAGCGAAATGTAAATATGAAGGAGAACATGGTGAAATAAGACCACGTACACCACCAGCAGAAGAGTTATGCCCAAATTTAACAAACCCCAAGCAATTATCCCATCAATATCAAGACCCAAAGATATTTAATAAAGAAAACGAAAAACAAATGAAGTAGGATGATCAGGTGAAACAATAATAAAGAAATATTATTTTTGATCGATAATTACGTTCAACACAATATTTTTAACAAATTTGCAAATATACAATAATGTATCACAATTTACAATGTAGTCTTTTTAATTTAAACAACTTTGTTAAATAGTTTAATAAGATATATCAATATATGATTATGAAACATAAGAATTACGCTCGTGTTACGTTGAACGTAATTACCATCCAACATCTTCTATCGTTTTTTAATTACAGAATTTACAATCAAAACTAAAGTAAATAATCCATATTTTATAGAAAATTCATTCCCTGCATACATGGTATTTTGTAATAGTTCAATTTGAATATTAAATTCATAGTTTGATTCAACATTTAATCAAATATGATTATACAATGTAAATACTAAACAATGTAGTACATTATGAGTATACTATTTGAATGTCTGCATATTATAATACAATAATAATATACAGATATGCAGTTTGTATACATATAGCATATGTTGTATTAATCATAAAATAAAGTTTAGCTAAATCTTTGGAATCCAAACATTTTTAAACAGAACACTAAAATATAGTTGAAAAAAGTAACTATTCAATAATAATAGTTTCTCATAAAATAATTAGTAAATTTTTTAACAAACCTTTTAAGCATTGTATAATTCAAATATAGAAATTTAATAGAGTTTATATATTGTTCCTAATTTACTTGGACATTACAATATGTCCATGTCCTGAATAATATATTGCATTTTAAACCATAAATAAAATAAAGTAATTTAAAAATATTAACTACAAATTTGTAACATTGGTATATTACTTTAATAAAATGCGCTTGTTTCTAAAATGTTCATAATATAGAAACAAGAAAAGAGATTTTTGCTGCATTTTATTCAGATTCTCTCTCTTGTTATGTATTAATTTGTATGCAAAAGTAATTATCATAATATGCATACCTTGATTAAAAAATCTGCACCAAACTACACTATATTTAATTCATTAATTAATTTTGTACAATTTTTTCAAACAAAATCAAGATCTCAGTTTATTATTTCATGATTATTTCATATAGAATCTAATCATTTGATAAAATACGTCTAATTTGCAATGAAATTTAATTTCATTTTTATAAAACTTAAAAAATAAAATTTCATTGTTTAACTGCATGTTTTACAATTTTCTACAAATTAATTCCTATATATAATTATATGTAAATGTGTATATATAATTACCAACAAAGTAATCAAATCTAAGATAAAATCTATATTTCATATATTTTAGTTTACTAAATTCACATTAGTTAAGCAGTTTTTGTTATATTAATTTTCAATTTTCTACATATAATTTGTGAAAAATTGTTTAAATTTAGTGATATTACTGCTAAAGGATTTTTTTCTTAATGGGCATGAAAAATTATACATATTCTTTTTTCAATTATATGAAAACACAAAGTTTCTATTTCAGTAAAAACAATTTGAATTTATAAAATAATGAAATTGTGACAGGAAATGTATCAAACATTAAAATAAAATAACAGTTAATTTTAACAATAAAAATCATATCTCATGAAATTTTCATCAAATAGTATAATAATAATCATCATATATGTTACTATAGAGTAACTAATATTATTTTTTTTGTCGTATAATATTTTAGATCATTTTTGCAGTCCATGAATAATATAATATAATATAATATAATATAATATAATAATATAATAATAATATATACACATATATATATTATATATATGTATATATAAATATATATATATATATAATTTGCAATAGATATAGAATATGCATAAAATAATCAGTTGACAATAATTTCTATTATTATCCAATGATCAAGCATAATTGTTACACATAAACTTAAAACGTCGTAATAAGCCCTTGCACCTTTATAACAAAGAAAGGTGAGTCCTTTCAGCCACAGGCACCAGGTTATATGTCCATCAAAGTTTAAAATGGTAATTGATTTAAATGACACTTGCTTACAATATTGTTCTCGCATAGATTTTTTTCATTATCAACAAAAGTTTAAGCATTTTACAAGGGTTAGTCCACATATTACAGTTTTTTCTTCTGTTCCATATTTTTTTTTTCTTTCATTTTTAATTTGTACGTTTAAGAAACACCTTTCGATGAATAGCACGCAACACCACACTATATGCTTACAATTGTCAGCAAGGTTACCCAATATCCCTTGAAATTGAATATGTTCCTCTTCATAGTAGTTATGATTAGATAATATTTATGATGTCGACGCGACGCTAATTATCATACAAGTTGATTATTTAACAGAAGAAAATAGTCTCAATGATGACAGTTTTGTCACAGGAATTAGAAGCCTTTTGTGTATCCAAGAAAGCAAAGGTAAGTAGTAAGACGATAATTAGTCGTAGCGTGCTTTCTTTACGATGATTACTATTATGAACAGTATTATATTCTTGTTGTATCCACCGCTACTGGCGTGAACCTCCTCTGCCTCTACTACGACCACCATCCCGGTCCTATAATAAATGACAAATATATTATCAATTGGAATGAATTTTATCTCAATTAGTTTTTAATTTTCTTTAATTTATTATATCGTAATATTATTGCTTACTTTACGTTGATGATGTAAATGCGATTGATGAGGATGATGATCCCTTGACAAATCTGAATGTCCTCTATTTCTATGATTGGAAGAATGATGATGTTGAATTACATTTGATGGGGCTTTACGTTGATCTTCTTCTGCTTGTTTACGCTCATAATGTCCAAAGTCATCAAAAATACTAGTTGAATGCCGATAAGTATGTAATATACGTAGCACTGTCACGCCTTTTGCATGAGGGACTTCTTGTGCATCCCTTGAATTAGTCACTGGTTTATTCTCATTGTTCTCTAGTCTAATGTGACGAAGTTGCACATTAGGAACATCTTTGACATAAATCCAACGTACACGAAATTGGCCTTTCCATTTATCTTGAGACCATACAGAGCTGTTGCTCTTATAATCAACAGGTGACACCATTTGTGCCATACCACAAAAGTGGCCAGATCCATTGACAGAAAAGAACAAGTATAAAGGAGCACCCTCACGGCTGGCTTCTTTATATGCTTGATCCAATCTTTTATTACCATGTTCAGTACTACACCAAATTTCATATTTAATGGATCTATGAATATCATCTTCAGAATAAGATTTGATTACAAAAAACCTAGCTCCAGGAGCAGTTTCATCAAATTCTACAGGGTTATAATCATTTTTCACTTTTAGCTCATCTAAAACAGGGTGTGATTGTGATTGTGTAATTTGTTGTTGCTGTGGCTGTAGTTGCTGCTGCTGCTGTTGCTGCTGCTGCTGTTGTTGTTGCTGCTGCTGTTGTTGTTGTTGTTGTTGCTGCTGCTGCTGTTGTTGTTGTTGATGTTGATGATGTTGTTGTGGAGGCATGTGAATCTGCGATTGTGGAGGTGATGGAGGTGTTGTAGGTTGTCTATTCCAACATGGTGGAGGAGGAGGAGGTCTTTGTCTTTGAGCCAATGGTGGAGGTGGTGGAACAGGAGGTTGTAGTTGTGGTGGTGGTGGTGCTGTCGGTGGAGGTGCAGAAGATTTACCTTCACCCCATGTTCCAATATCCATATTATGCTTTCCTGGCACAATAGGTGGTGGTGGCATTCCAGCCTTTTTTTTCATTCCTTGAGAAGATGAAAGTGGAGGAACTGGCTTTGCAGGTTGACTTGCAACACTGGCCCATGTTATTTTTCTAGGTTCCTTTGTTTCTGGTTTTATTGGTTGATTAGATAAAGTTTGTTGATCTTGACGTGGAACTTCTCCACTCCCTAGTGATAAGCCTTGCACACTTTGTTCAATAGTCTTAATTTCTGCATTACTAGGTGTTGGGTAATTTTCATTTCCACGTGGAGCCTGATAATAATCTTCATAACGTGTTTTTCTTGGAGTGCCCCATGCACTAAAATCACCATTTCCATGAAAATAATTAAAAGCAGGCTGACCAAATGTACTAAAACCACCTCCTGCGCTAGCAGAAAACATTCCATCCATGCCATATGCATCGTGACCTATTTGACCTCCATACCCAGAAAGAAATGCAACAGGATCTGTTCCATTTGACCAAGTACCATCCCCAGCACCAAATGCTTGATAAGGGAATGAAGTACCTGTATAGTAAGGACTATATGGGTCACCAGTTCCAATTGGATAACTAGAATGATGTGTACTGTTGCCTCCTCTCCATGAATCAAATCCAGTATCTTCTCCACCAGCATGTTCTGTCTGTTGTTGTTGCTGGTGTTCTTTAGGACCATTGCTCACTATTAACATAAAATATTATCTTATTAATATATGGATCAAATTCACTATTGTAAAATAATCTAAATTAATTTTCAAACAATATAATTTAAAAAATAATATTTAATTCAAATAAACTATGTTAATATGTAGTTAATAAGACTATTTACATCTAATAATTAAATATTATTAATCAAATAATGTATTAAAATAAAATATTTTTATAATTTTATAATTTTAATGTAATTCAAAAGTTATATATTCTTAATTTACTCTTACTTTATAGAAAGTATTATTAAATAGTTGTTATGAACAATATATAGTAATAATTTTTAAAAATACATATAATTATGCTTAATTTTTATTTAATTTTATTTGATTTTACGATTAATTTACACCCTTTCATTCCTTTATCAATTTAGTAATTATGCATAAATAATTTTTAATTTCAATTTTTAATTAAATTATGTAATATTTTTAATAATTTTACTTATTGTATGACGTCGTCGATATATGAACATATTGATTTCCATAATTTCTTTAAATATTTAATATTAACTGTAACATATAAGAAAATGCAAATTTTTATTTATTTAACAAATAATGAAAAATAATTCTTTTTAAAACGCAACATATTCGAAATATACTAAAGCTACAGATAGGTTAATGCACTATGTATGTATACCTATATAGAGATCCGCTAAAAATATAGATAACATTTTGTGTTAGTTAAAAAAATACATACATCAACTTACCATGACTTTAAAATACATTTGTAGAATTGCACATAATAAGTATAAATTTAAAGTAATTATATTTTAGTAGATAAAAAATTTACGAACTCATGTAGCAATTTTTATAGTGAACAGTTCATGTTTTCTTAGAAATTGCATTACCAAAGAAAATATTTAGGAAATTGTATGAGAACACGAAGTCTCACCTTGACTGTTGGTTTGTCCTTTCATCCGCTGCATTCCGTTGCATGGAAAAATATACAAAATTTAGAATGGCTGTCTTCAGTGAAAGGTATCTGCAGTATAGCAGTGTGGTAGCAAGTCAACACACTGACCTGATTTGAAACAGCACCTGCCAATCCAGTTGACATAACCTGTCACACACTTTGTCTGCCCTTCACAGACGCCAAATAGACGGCTGTGCCTTAATAAAATGAAGTTTTCAAACGCAATACCACAATTACATACAACAGCGTTATACCACTTAAGTACGCGGACACTTCTTTCTGAGGAGAAGTCTTCAACTTTGAAATTCGCAAAACCTGAGACCTCCGCGTATTTTCCCGGAATGTCTTACCGCGAGAGAGTCTCAGGAATCCTTTTTTGTTACACTTCAAGACAGGTAAATTTGCACAAAATTCTCAACTCCGAATAATAACTTCGTGACGTGCACTGACCTCTCGTATGTATTAACAGATTGTCTAACATTCGCAACGATAAGGTCCCTATATGATTATTTTGTTAAACGTGTTTTCCTACAGTATAGTAAGATTGGACTATAAATTGAATAAAAAATATTTCTTTATAATATCATTATATGTAGCTTTTAGATTTATTATTATTTAGTATTGATATTTTTTCTTGTATCATAATATAAATATCTTGTCTATATTAATATTTACTAGCTTCTTCAATGATTAGAGCTAGAGAATCAATGTTGAGAATGGTCCTGTTTAACGGATATAGTTTATACACATTGTGTAATGTAGTGTTAATTTTTACAGTGTAATATATGTTACTATATTATAATTTGAAAACTGATACATAGATTAGAATAAATTTATTAATTTCTATAATAATTATATTATTATATTTAATTTATTGATGTAATAGAAATGATATAGAAATTTAATTTCTATTTTGTTATATCTAGTACAAAAATAATAAATCCTTAATCTATTTGAATAAAAATATAATCACGACAATCTTAATTATACAAATAATAAAATGAAATTCCTAATAAAATCAACAAAAAATTGCCTGATTTATTAACAAATTTAATTTAAGTTATATTTAACAATTTATGTTCAAACGTAAAATTTAATATTGTACATGTTAAGTTAAGCATAACAGTGTATGATTATAATTGAGCTTAGTATCTAATAATCTATTTTTAATAACCAATGATGTAGTGAACAAGACATAAATATTATAAGATATAAAAATAGAAACAAAACATTTTCTAATGAAAAAGTAGTAAATAATAAATCTTTGTTTCTACATTTATTGCTTAATAACTTCATTTATGTTCTGCATATCTAAATTCATAGAGGTAATTTTGTACACAATCTATTCATTGCATATATTCAATTATTTCATTACTATGTACTAAATTGTTATTATTAAATAAAATCGACAAATTATTGATGCAATCTTATTTATTGTTTATGTATAACACAGAAAAATGATTATTAAATTAATAATAATAATAAATGAGAAATATTGTATATTCATTATTTGTTTCTCTTAATATATACAATATTTCTTAACATATTATTTGTGATACATAAATGTACAATGAATATTATGGCCACCAAAAACTTTTCAAAATTAGAATTACTCTAAATATTCATAATAGTCAATTTTAATAATTTTGTTATTGCGTTACTTTAATATAATAATTTTAGTTACGCATAATTTAAAAAAGTAAATGAAGAAAAAGAAATCAAATTTAATTTCAATTTCAATACCTAGAATTTCATAACACTAGTTTACTTAATCTTATAAATTTATAATTATCTATCATATACTGCATTTATGTCTAATATTTCTGTTTTCAGTTTATTATTATTAAACAATTACATTTGTGTAAAATGGATTATTTAATAGATCACTAACATAAATATAAAAAAATTCATGTTCTGCTTATTTGATAATGCAATGTACTTTTTACAAACATACTTAAATGTTTAAATTCGATTATTTTAAAAAAATTAGTATCGTATACATTCAATTCTTATATCTATTAAGTAAGGTAGAGTTTTAATTCATTTTAAACAATAAGAAATATATAAGTATAACAAATGTCAGGTTTTATAAGTTAGATATTTAAAACTTTAATTATAATATTTTCATGCAAATATTGAAAGCAATTTAGTCTTGAATATATACGATACATCTAATTAGAATATTTTGTAATTTCATATACTCAGAATAGAGTCTTTGGTTATAAATTTTTTCTTGGAGCAAGGCAGACTCTTATAAAACATCTCGTACTTATATGGAATAACAGCACCATTTTTCACACAAGATGCAAATCTTTTATATTTTCTTAACACAAACTCAGTTTCTTCTTAACCATGAAAAAGCTTTAAGGATTAAGTACGTTAATGTTAACGCATATACAATTTTTTCTCTTTGTTGACGTTGCAACATTTCAAGCTCAATAGCCATAACTCGACGATTTAATTTCCCTACCTGTCGACGTAAATGTTGTATCTCTTCACTAGGTGGAAGAGAAACATTAAGCGCGCTATATGAAGGTGTATGTTCTCTAGAAAAAAGATTGCTTTTTAGGAAAGATCACACATGAGATGGACCAATAACTTTGTTTATCTTATCTGCTATTCAGTAATTTGACGATTGTAATATTACGTTATTGCAAATGAATGCCATTTCAAATATACTATATAATTTAATTGAAGCATAATAATATACAGTATTATTATTTTATATTATAATATGACATTTGTTTTACTCTTTTATTTTATGTCAATTAAGCTTGTATTATAGATTGAAATTGTTTAAACTTCCTTATTTAATAAAAAATGTTAAAAAGAAATAAAGGTGATTTTAAAAACCTATGAAAATTCTTCACCCAAAGAAGGAAAATATTGGTACTAACATATTATAGATAATATGCATGTTTTTGTATCATAATATCTATATCATATGACTTTTCATATTTCCATACTTTTAATAATAACACATAATTTAAGTAATCAAAGCTATTGGCCTATCCAGTATAAATAGCTTTATATAGATTAGGAAATAAGTTATTACTTAGCATGCCTAACTATTTGTGCTTCTGCAGAATATTGTCCACATGATTGGGAAGAAAAATCCTTAGTTTCAGTTAAATATGAATTTGATTCTTCTTCATCAACTGTTGGAAAATAATGGTTATCCAGTGTCAAAACCCTTGGCGGAGTCTACCAATATAATAAAAAAATTTAAATACTTATCACTCCTTAAATAACTATACATCTATCTCTAATATAAGAACATGTTAAACCTTATATAATATTACTATTAATTATATAATATAAGGCATTATTCAATAAAATTAAATTCAAGTATAATTTTTTTTAAGTACATATTTTAGTGCACTTGAAAACTTAAAATATTTACCTGTACCCTAACTATGCCTGGTTCAGGTGGTAAAACAGCATTTTCTAATGTAATTTCTCTTGGTGGTGCTCTTGTTCCAATGTGTTGTTCATGTCCTATATTCATTTATATTTAGTGTTTAGTGTTTTGTTTCATTTATTTATAATTAGTAATTTTATAAACTATGTTTTATATAAAAAAAATAACTTTGTTATATAAAAATTGATGCACGAATGTTAAAAAATTATATATTTACCAACAACTAAGATTCTGTCTGGGACATGCATTTCAAATTTTTCTCCTGTAATTTCATTCCATCGAGAACCATTTGTATTACCTATTTCTTCATCTGTGTAATCTCCACTTACTCGAATACTCTTGGGAACACGCATCCTTTTGTTAATGTCCAAAGTAAAATTTGGGTCATAAAAATTGTCAGCTTCTCCATTAAAAACAGTGGGACTATATGTTTTTGACATTATAACTAAAATAATTAAAAATAAAATGCAGAATTCTTGTATTTTTCACTATATTATATATTTTATTTTATTGTTTTTGAAATATTATTTAAAAGTATAAACGATATAAATATGATAGAATTAAATTAAAAATAAAATGTAACCTTACTTTTTTATCTTATTTAATTATATTTATTAATTAGTAACAAATAAAATAGCCTGATAAATATTAACAAATACAATATATAATAACATAAACAATAATAAATTAATAATAAAGAATAATAAATTACATGTGTTTTATCATTTTAAGGTAGAGTACAGTATAGTAAGAGAATATAATGACGACCTAAAAAAATGTACAATTTATACCTTGTGTAACAATAATAAAATTAAATTAAATGTATGTTATGAATTATCTATTAATTAATTATATTATAATAGATTATTACGTGTATGGAAAACACTTAAATTAAAATTTGATTCATTACCTTTCTGCGATTTTTTAATCGTTGAACCAAACTCTTTACACGAAGTTGGTAATGTATGTTATGTAGAAATTTACTACAATGTACCAATCGAGAATAATCGATAACTAGAAATGTATCGATTTTACTAAAACTCCCGTTGAAATTACTAAATATTTCTGCCATTAAAACTTCAGTCAAGTGTTTTCATTTTTCTTCTTACGCAAATTCCTTCTATTTTATTTTTTTCAAACATTAATTATAATATTTTATAATTTAATTTAAGAATTAATTTTAGAAAAATATGAGTAACACGCAATGTAAGTATCTTTAGTCATAAATTTTCTATTATAACTTACATTTTTAAAGTATTCTCTAAAAAATTATATACTTATTTAACAATATTTAATTTTGTTAATATTTCATTCCTTTTTTATTTAATCACTAATCAAGTTTAAATACCTTGTTTTATTTACAAATGTTTGTTAAATATAATTAATTCATTATTGTAGAATATTTTTATAAATATTAAAATTAAAAATTTTCAATAAAATTTTATATAAAATTTGAAGCTATAAAACAAAATTATAAATATTGAATTTTATTACTTGTACATTTAGTAGGTAGAACTAAACGCCAAAAACTTGATAAAACTGGACGTCTGTCAGCATTAGAAAAATTAAAACAATTAAAAGGTAGTAAACATAAATATGAAATTAATACATTGGAAAATGTTTATGAAGAAGTCGATGAAAAAGAATATACTAAAACTGTGATAGAAAGACAAAATGATGATTGGATTATTAATGATGGTAACTAATTAATAGATTTTAAAAAATATCATTGTAATTATATATATAACAAATTAACCTTTTATTTTCGTTAAAAATAAAAAGATATAAAATAATTATTTGTTACAAAAGGAGAAAGTGGTTATATTGAAGATGGTCGAGAAATTTTTGATGATGATTTGGATGATAAAAGTATACAAAAAGCAAGAAAAGATAAAAACATGGGTCCTAGAAAAAATAAAAGAGATAATATTAAAAAGAAGGGAAGTATTCAAAACTTAATAATGAATATGCCTTCTAAAAAGCAAATTGATGCTGAATTGAATGATGATAATATTTTGGGAGATTTAATGTCTGAATTAAAGAAAGATGATAGCCTAGAAATATCAAAATCAAGAACTGTTAAAAATAAATTTTGTACCTCATCCAGAATAAATGAAACGTAATTTATTTTATTATATATTTAATATTTGTATTTTAATATATCTGGTATTACTTTTATAATAAATTATAATTTTAGAAATACTCATGCAGAAATTGGATCACAGTCAATTTCAGAATCTGAAAAAATGCAATATCATGATAATAATGTAATAATGTTTGACAAACCAAAGAAAGTAAATATCCATAAACAAGAAGAATTAATTTGTCAATTAGAAAATATTACTTCAGATCAAAATAATAGTCAAATAATAATAGATAATGAAGACACTGATACTTCAAGAAATACAATATTGAGTATACAATTGAAACAAGATATTAAAGAAACAAGTAATAGTCAAATAATTGAAACAGAAAGTGAAGATCTTAGTCAGTTTATTGGAGATGTAAGTTTCTTCACTCAATAATATTTTGAAAATAAAATTTAAGCTATATTGCATTTATTACAGTTCTGCACAGACTTTGAAAATAACAGTACTGATCCTAGCAAAAAATTATCACCTATTAATAAGGAAAATGGAAACAACAAATTAAGTATTCAGATGAAAAATAAAGATATTGGGGATGAAAATTTTGATCTAGAAAATTTGAATAAAGTATTAGATGTTGAATTTAAAACACAAAAATCAAATATTGTACTACCTATTGATACTACAGAACTACCTTTACCACTTGTAACTAATGCAAACAAAGAAGAAGTATTTAGATTTTACTGGTGGGATGCATATGAAGATCCATATAAACAACCTGGAGTTGTATATTTATTTGGAAAAGTTTTTGTTCCCTCTATAAAAGAATACTGTTCTTGCTGTTTAACAGTAAAAAATATTCCAAGAAGAATTTATCTTCTTCCTAGAGTATTTGTATGTATTTTATACAAATATATTTTAAGTTTCAATATATTATTTATTATTAATAAGAATTATTAACAATTTTTCTTTTATTTTAATAATGTAATTATAATAATGCAAATTTTAGATAAAAACATCTTCTAAAGAAAATGGCGAAGAACAATTAAATACAATAGAAAATGTTTATAAAGAATTTAATCAATTTGCGAACAAATTAGGAATAAAAGAATTTCGTAGTAGTAAAGTTACGAAGTATTATGCTTTTGAACAAGAAGGTACTCCAGCCTCATCTGAGTATTTGGAAGTAAGATATTCTGCACATTATCCAGCTGTACCTCCTGATTATTCTGGGCCATCAATAGAACGTGTCTTTGGAACAACAGTAAATTCTTTAGAGTTACTTCTAATTGAAAGAAATATTAAAGGACCATGTTGGCTAGATATTAAATGTCCCCTTCCTACTGGTATACAAACCAGTTGGTGCAAAATAAAGGTATAACAGTTTCGTTTATTATTCGAGTTTATTATTAGTATGTATTAATAATTATAAGTAATTATTAATATATTACATACTTAAATAGGTAAATTGTATGAAGATGGAAAATATATCTGTTGTTTCTGAGTCTCAAACATTACCACCATTAGTACTAGCAACACTAAATGTACGAACATCTTTAAATTTTAAATTACAACAAAATGAAATAGTTATGGTTGCAATACTTATACATCATAAATATCACATTGATAGAGATCCACCAAGGCCACCATTTCAACGCCATATTTGTTGTATGTTAATTTATTAAAATTGATATATCAACTTTGTATTTTCAATATTTAATATATTCTCATATTCTTTTACATAGTAATCACACATCCACGTGATACATGTTGGCCAAGACAAGCACGAGAAATGCTTTCAAACATTTCATATACAGAAGCAATCAAATTTGAAACAGAAACAGATTTGCTCGAAAAATTATTAGAAATCATAAATTCTGTTGATCCAGATTTATTGATTGGCTATGATTGTAGCTTTCAATTTGATATTTTAATGCATAGAATGATTACTTTAAAAGTTTCAAATTGGAGTAGACTTGGAAGGTTAAGACGTTCAGTACCTCCTCTAATAAGGGTAAGAAATGTATATATATTTAGAGGTACAGCATTGTAACTAAAGAAATAAAAAAATATATTTTAGGGAAAAATAAATTTAAATCAAGTATTTGCTGGTAGACCTATCTGTGATATACAAGTTTCAGCTAAAGAATTAAATCTTAAAGTCAGAAGTTACGATTTGCAATCTCTTTGTGTAGCGGTAAATATTAACTAATTATTTGTATAATTTTATATAACAAAAGAGAGAGATCATAATTTTTTTAACAGGTATTGAAGAAAAAAGAAAATGAATGCAAAGAAATAAAACCTGGTGAATGTACATCATTTTATAATACATCAAACAAACTAGATAATTTAATTAAAATAACATTAACAGAGGCACTATATATTTTGTCAATTGTTTTTGATCTCAATGTCCTTCCACTTGCTTTACAAATTACTTGTATTGCTGGTAAGATTATATTTATATTTCAAGTAATATAAACTTTCTTATTAATATATATTTATCTTATTTATCCAGGAAATGTTATATCGAGAACGCTAACAGCAGGACGTGCAGAAAGAAATGAATATTTATTATTGCATGCATTTCATTTGAAACATTACATAACACCTGATAAACGTATAGTGAAGAAAGGAAAAAATAATGAAGGTGATAGTACATTTTTTAAACATATGTATGATTATGACTTTGCAATATTTTGACATATTCTTGATTTGTAATATTCATTCCAAATTTATTCACTTGTATTAATATTATCTTATATATAGAAAACACTACTAGAAAAAAAGCAGCTTATGCTGGTGGTTTGGTTCTTGAACCAAAAAAAGGATTTTATGATAAACTTATATTATTAATGGATTTTAATTCTTTATATCCTAGTATAATTCAAGAATATAATTTATGTTTTACTACTGTGCCTGGGGCTGCATATGCTGATTGTGGGGTATTTATTTGTTATCATAAATTGACCAATAAAATAAGTATAATAAAATAAACTAATAAGTACATTATTTGATTTATAAATTTGTGTATACAGGATTTGTCAGTTCCAGAGCCAAATTTAGAATTTGGAATAATTCCAACAGAAATTCGCAAATTAGTTGAAAGTAGAATAGAAGTAAAAAAATTGATGAAAGGAGCAAATATTTCACCTGAATTGAAGATGCAATATAATGTTAGACAGCTGGCTTTAAAACTTACAGCAAATTCTATGTATGGTTGTTTGGGTGCAACTCATTGTAGATTTTATGCTAAAGGACTTGCCGCCTTGGTTACAGGTAAGGCAAAATAAAGCATAAATAGAAATTATTTTTAAATATATGTATAAAGTATTAAATATTGTTATAGCAAAAGGTCGAGAAATTTTACAACATACAAAGAGTCTTGTTGAAAAATTGAATTATGAAGTTATATATGGCGACACGGATTCTATAATGATAAATACGAATTTATTAGATTACGAGGAAGTTTTTTGTGTTGGTAGAAAGGTAAATATTACTAATAATTTTTTTATTTATTTTATGTCAGAGAAATGACAATAATAAAAATTATTTATAGATTAAACAAGAAGTTAATAAATTATATAAACGTGTGGAATTGGATATCGATGGTGTTTTTCGTTATTTATTGCTTCTACAGAAGAAAAAATATGCAGCAGTTGTAATGACAAAATTACCTAATGGGCAAATAGAATTGACACAAGAACATAAAGGCCTTGACATTGTGAGAAGAGATTGGTGCCAATTAGCTTGTGATATTGGAAAGTAAATAGAACATAAGTAGATTCTATTCTACTTAGAATCTATAATCATAAATAGTAATAATTATAACAATGTTTATTTTTAGAAAAATTTTGGATCAACTTCTTTCTGATCAGTCAGGTGATGATCGAATAGTACAAATTTTTGCTATACTACATGATATTGCACAAAATGTTCGAGAAAATCTAGTTTCCTTATCTTCTTTGGTTATTACAAAACAATTATCAAAAAATCCAAATGAATATCCAGATACTAAACAACCTCATGTACAAGTAGCTTTAAGATTAAACAAAGAAGGCGGTAGAATGTGGAAAGCTGGAGACACGGTTCCCTATATTATATGTAACGTTCGTATTTGTCAGTTTTACCAACCCTTAATATTTATATATTATGTTTATAAATATTATTAAATATATAGACATTTTTGTACATGTAGGATGGAACAGAAAAATCTGCAACTGAAAGAGCATATCATATTGATGAATATAAAAGGAGCGATTCTTTAAAAATAGATGTTAATTATTATTTATTGAGTCAAATTTTTCCAATTGTTTTACGAATTTGTGAACCGATTGAAGGAATTGATGACGTTTTGTTAGCTAAATATCTTGGTAAAATTTTAATCGCTGTTAATTATAGAATTCTATATACATTACTAAGTATGTATTATCAATAACTTATATTTGAATAGGTTTGGAAAATATTTATAAATCTAAGAGAATGATACATGAAGAATACAATGATATACCATTATTAATGAGTGAAGATAGATTTAGGTATTGTCTGCCTTTGAAATTTAATTGTAGAGACGAAAAATGTCGATCAGAAATTATACTTAAAAATGTTGTAACTGAAACAGTAAGTAATTATAGGAATCAGTTTTTCTTATGTATTTATTTGTTCATTTATTACATGTTAAAAAATTTCCAGCTTACTGGAAGTCAGTTGTCACTTGCTGCTTGTTCAAATCCAGACTGCAAAATTCAGCCATGGACATATATTAATACAATACAAAATACAATAATACTTACTGTACGAGAAGCAGTTAGCGACTATTATGACGGATGGTTAGAATGTGAAAGTCCGGTATGTAGTGATCAAACTCAAACACTGCCATTAGGATTTTATGAAGTACATCCAACTTGTAGGAAATGTAAAGATGGCAATTTACATAGAGTTGTAAGTGAAAAAGTTTATTATTGCTACCAAATATTTTAAATATATTAAAATGTAAAATATTATTTAAAGTTTACAGATACAAAACTTTATAATCAAATATGTTTTTATCTCTACCTTTTTGATGTGAGTCAATCAAAATATAAAAGCAAGTATTTACTTTTTTCTTTTTTTTAAAATAAAATTTTTAAAGAATGATGAATGACTAATTGTAAATGAATTTATTTTTAGATTTGTTATCTCAATATCCACAAGGAATGAGAGATGCATATGATTCATTAAAAGAAGCAGTAGAAAAATTATTAAGACGAAATGCATTTTCAATTGTATGTTTGGATACAATCTTTTTGAATATTGATGAGCAAATATATAATAATATATCAAATTTAGATACAGGTACTTTAGAGATATCAGATGGATCAGATGATGAAATAGTAAGTATATTAAAAAAAAGATGTTATTAATTTGTTACAATAATAACATAAAATAACAAATATTTATTACTGTTAACATGTAACAATTCTAATCTTTTTATTCCAGTGAACACAATTTGAGATAAAACATAGATTAGTTTTTATAATATTTTATCACATATGCTTCTATACTTTCCATATTTCAATGTCATTTTTGCATTTATATAAAATTCCAATCATTAAAAAAACTTGTAATATAACTATCTCTTTAAATATTTTTTATTTTTTGATACAAATAAAAAGCATGAAACATTAATATACTAATATAAAATAACTTATCATTTTTTATTTGTACTTATTACTTATAAATAAATTCATATAATATTAATAAAAGTAAAATAATTTCTAATGATTATAATTTTTCGATGTTTGTTATTTACATGAAATTATTGTATAAAAATTTATAATATACACTCTATAATTACATTATTAATGTTTACCTTAAGACCATTACAATTATATAGAGTATAGTTTAAAATAATTCTATATAACAATTTCACATATATTTTATTTAAAGTTTAAATTTTAGATTTTATGCATAAAAATGAATACTTAACAATAACTTATTTTCATGTATTTATATTAAAAATAAATAATTTGTTAGGATAAATTTGTAACTTATAACATTTTTTATTAAAAATATATAGTTTATTACCCTTTGTTTTTCTTTATTCTCATCAATATTCTACTATTATTTAACTATTATAATGTTATAATATTAAACTATCATCTCTTCTTTTTTAAATTTCTATTATTACTCATTTTAAGAAAACTAATATATATTTAAACTATATACTTATGTGCTATATGGTGGCAAACCAAACAATTCAGGTTGAAATTCTTCAAGACTATTTAATATCAATGTTGGATTTTGAATATAATGTTTCGGTAACATTGGATCTGGAACCATAACAACTTGCATTCCAGCATTAAGTGCAGCTTTTACACCATTTGGTGCATCCTCAAATACAAGGCACTAAAAATATATTTAATTTATCAATAATTGTAAACTAAACCTAGAAAAATCAGAAATATACATTTTAACAAACCTTTGAAGGATCAGGATTATCAAAAAATCGCTTTGCAGCAATCAAAAAAATATCAGGTGCTGGTTTACCATTAATAACTTCAGGATCAGAACCACCAAGAACTTTATGATCAAATAAATCAAATATATTTGTCCATTTTTGAGTTTTTAATTCAAAATTTTGTTTATTTGAACTTGTAGCTAATGCTATTGGTATATTATTTTGTTTTAAGTGCCTTAATAATCGTTCAGCACCTATTTCAAGTTATGATTTATTTAAATCAAAGTTTCTTTACTACTATAATTGTTTAAGTATGGTATTTAGAATTTATACAAATTACCTGGCATTAAGTTTGCAGATGGAAATAATTCTTGATATATTTTAACTGACTCATTCTCAAATTCTTCTGCTGTTATTGGTAAAGATAACATTTCAACCACAACTTTTGCAATGTTTGATGTTTTAAAACCCATAATTTTTGTTTTATGCTCCCATGTAAATTCTTTTCCATAGCGATTTGTAATACGATTGAAAGCTTTTGAATAAAGTAGTTCTGTATCTATTAAGATTTTGATATGAGATACTTAAATAATTGATGTACTGTATAAAATTTACTTAATTCACTAATTTCAACTATAATTCATAATTTCAATATTAATTTGTAAAAATTGTGTTGTAATTAGTTTCAAAATTATAATAAATAAATAATTTTAAACACAAATTTTTATACATGTCTGCAGGTATGTATGTACAAAATTCTAACTTCCCAAAAATTAAAAGTAAAACATACAAACTCACGCATAAGTGCTATTTTAACCCTTTCATTGATAATAGAATCCGTTCATACAGACGTATTTTAATATATAGTCCTCATATTTCTTAATAATTGGCATTGAAACTTTAGTCATTACTACACGTGCATAGACAAAATAAAATTATTATATTCATATAAATATTTACTTATCTATAGCAGATGTTAATTTCGTAAAGTAATACAATGTAAGACATTCATTTCTAATTGTTATATTAAATACAGATTATTTTTAGTTGAATTTCTATATTAGTTAATTCTATACAAATAATATATCACTTCATAAAATATCGAACAAACAATTCACTTACTAAGCAATAAGCCATCCATATCAAATAAACAATGTGTAACACTTTTATATTGACTTTCTGACATCTTTGAATAAATTCTTGAAATTTGTACAATTATCATCACCTTGTATAATCAAAATATCATATTGTTAAACTCTATAAAAGTTTACAATGTTAAAAATATCTTATATAAGACCCTATATTCTAGTGATAACAACTCACGGTCATTTGCAACATGTTAAATCATGGCGCCAACTATGTATGCGATGTATAATAATAAATTAGTTATTTAATTACTTTCACATTGATTTTCATAAATATCTATTTATATGCACTGTTATGTAGTGTAAAATTCTAATTCAAAACTACATGTCTATTTTAAAATATAACAGCTTAAAATTTTTTGAAATTATAAAGAGTTTCCTTAATTAATTAACAAAGAATTAAATTACTGAATCAAATACGTCTTGTCCCTATATGAAAAATAAAATTATTTACATTACAGGTAATAATGTTTTAAAATAGAAGTAGATATATTCTAGATTATATAAAAGTATTTAATAAAGAATCCTAGAACAAAAACTAGTAATATAGTTTTAATATGTATTGAATTAAATAAAATATTAATATAATTGTAAACCAAATAACTGAATTTAGTTTATGTCAATCAATTTTACTACTATTTTACGAAGGTATTATATTCACAATATTGTGAAAATATTATGACTATTAATTACATGTATATCTTCTTATATGAAATTAAAACAATACATTTCATAATTGCTACAATATAAAAATCAATCAAATTCAGTAAATATGAACAATTCGTCCTTCATATATCTATCTAAAACAGTCACCTATATACATTTAAACTCTTTTGTATTATTTTATGTTATGATAAACTTGTAACAATGTTATTATAACATTTAACGTAGAATAATTTTTTAGTTTATGAGACAAAGCAATTCTTGTTAAAACGAATGATCTTGAAATGGAAATCTTTTTTACGGTTATTTCCTTTATAGCGTGTACTTTTTGATTATAAGCAACCAATCAGGACGATCCACGAAAAGTTATATCTGGTTATAAAGAGTGGGGAAACGGAACGATTGAATTTTAGAAGAAAAGGTTGTATTTATTTCAACATTATATTTGAAAGATTTATTGGTAAATGATTTTTTAAAAATTATAAACTCATCATTATTTTGTTAAACAAAATGCAAGAATTTTTAGGTGAGTTTTATAAGTTAATATATGTAGTATATCTCACGATTTATTACTGTTAAATCTTACCGGTAGATGTATATCGTTATGTTTTCTTATTTTTTTACTGAGTATTTACTTCTATTTGATTTTATAAACATTTTAACAATTTCTTTTACATTCTTTGCCTGCAATTTAACATTATTTTATATTTACTTTACTTAGGTATTTTGCTGCTAATTACTGGAGCTCATTGTTTGTACCCCTCAAACTCAGATGTTATAGATCTTAAACCAAACAATTTTGACAGATTAGTAATAAATAGTGATAATGTGTGGATTGTAGAATTTTTTGCACCGTGGTGTGGACATTGTCAACAATTAATACCTGAATATGACAAAGCTGCAACAGCCTTAAAAGTAATTTTCAGTTTTGTATTTAAAATGTTGTTTATTTTTGTTTAATATTATTAAAAGATTTTAATATAATCTTTTACAGGGTATTGTAAAAGTGGGTGCACTAAATGCAGATGAACATAAATCTCTTGGATCAAGATATGGAATACAAGGTTTTCCAACAATTAAAATCTTTGGTGTTGATAATAAACCTGAAAATTATAATGGACCAAGAACTGCCGCAGGAATTGTTGATGCTGCTTTAAATGCAGCTAGTCAAAAGGCACATAGGGCTTTAGGAGGCAAAAGAAGTGGTGGAGATTCCAAGGTAAATATAATAATATATAAAAACTAAGAACAGAATGAACCATTAATAATTAAAAACATTTGTTACTATAGTCTAAAGATTTCAAGGATGTAATTGAATTAACAGATGATAACTTTGATAAAATAGTAATGAATTCAGAAGATATGTGGTTAGTTGAATTTTATGCACCATGGTGTGGTCACTGTAAAAATTTAGCTCCTATTTGGGCATCTGCAGCAACAGAACTTAAAGGTAAAGTGAAATTGGGAGCCATTGATGCTACTGTAAATAGAATTAAAGTAAGTAAGTTTTTTTTAAAAGTAATCTAATTTAAGATTATGATTTATTTGTGTTTTTAAGTTACTATGTATAAAATGAAATTTGAATATTATATTAGGCTAGCCAGTATGAAATAGAAGGATATCCTACCATCAAATACTTTGCACCGGGTAAAAAATCTTTCAATTCTGTGCAAGAATATGATGGTGGTCGTACAAGTAGTCACATAGTAAATTGGGCATTAGAGAAACTGGCAGAAAATGTTCCAGCACCAGAAGTAGTTCAAATTACAAATGAAAAGAGTTTAAGAGAAGTGTGCGAAGACAAACCATTGTGTGTTGTGTCTGTTATACCACACATTTTAGATTGTCAATCAGATTGTAGAAATGAATATTTAAAAATTTTAAATAACCTTGGAGAACAATATAAACAAAAAATGTGGGGGTATGTACTATTCCTACTTACTATTTAATAAAGGAATGAATAAATTCATATTTTAAATTGTAAAAATATATATGTAAATATTTTTTAACAGTTGGGTTTGGGCTGAAGCTGGTGCTCAACCTTATATTGAAGAAGCATTAGAAATCGGCGGATTTGGTTATCCAGCATTAGCAGCTGTAAATACAAAGAAAATGAAATATTCTTTATTAAAGGGTAGTTTCTCATATGATGGTATAAATGAATTTTTACGAGATTTAAGTTATGGTCGAGGCGGTACAGCTCCTTTAAAAGGAGCTCAGTTACCTAAAATTCTTGAAACTAAACCATGGGATGGCAAAGATGCCGAACTTCCACAGGAAGAAGAAATTGATCTTAGTGATATAGATCTTGATGCAAAGGACGAATTGTAATTATAAAACTTAGTGTTTCTCAGGAACATATGCACTCTCATATACATGCATTAGTAAAATACTTAATACTAAAATATTCTCAATATTTATTTTTATATAACATTATTATTCTTGGTTTGTATAACTATGTATTAATGTACAATGATAACACGGCATCATTATTACAATATCAGAAATATTTATTTTTCAACTGAAATGAACTTTTCAGAAAGTTTAATTATGTTAAATTATACGTATTTGGGTAACATCTCTTCCATTAAAAATTAAGTTTACAAAATTTAATTTATTTACTCCAATAAAATTAAATGTAATTCATTTTAGATGAAGCTAAATTTACAAAAAATTTTTATTGTACAAAAACAGATAGAACATTATTTGTACATTTTTAAACATATAATCAGGATAAATTTCACAAACATTTTTTTATGGAAATGTGAATTTTAAATAATAATACATAATATGTTAATATGCATTCCATCAATTACTTTTGGTTCTCCCTAATATGGGACCAAAATAAGTGCATTCATATAATAAAGTTCTTAAGTTCATTACAATTTCATTGTTTGACTGAGTTATGTCAGGTCTTCCATCATAATTATAAAAACAAACTTTATACTGTTATGTAAAACATCATAATATGAAATATGTTTATATGTATATGTGAATGTAAAACATTGTCTCATCTATACATAACTAATTGTAATCTTAATTTGTTTTTAATAAATAAATTATGCTATAAAATTATATTACTCTATGTTGTTTTTTCATTTTATTTAATTACTTTATTGTTTCATAATTTTCGTTTAAAAATATTATTATTGTATGTTATTTTAGAGAAATAAAGTATTTAGACTGTTATTTAAGCTATGTCTACTCTTAATGGGATGTCATCATTTATTTTATACACATTGGAAACTTCAAGAAGTTATCTGAAAAATTCAACTGCCACCAAAAACAATACCTGATACAAAATTTTTTAATCAAATAATATTTGGTTATTTAAAATGTTAACAAAATTGAATTTTCGAGGCAGATTCTATTTTGTCGAAAATGTTAACAAAATTGAAATTTTTTGTTAAATTATATTTTTCATATTATTTTAGTACTATTAATAAAGCAACATATTTTAATAAAAAATACAATTACTTTCCTTCATTATTTTCACTTATTTTATGTTATAGAAATACATTTTTGTATCTATTTAAAAATGGAGTTTAATATACGAGAAGTTGTGCACATACCCTAATTATCGTTTATGTTACTTCAAAAGAAATTTAAAATTGATGCCATTTTAACAAAAATATTCCGATATCATTAGTATAGAAGTAGAATTATATTTATAAAAAAATTGTTGTCATATAATTCCTAAGTTTATATAAAAAATTAAATAAAGAGTATCTTCGAATTCAAGGGGTTAGGGTTCAAATACTTTCTTTTGAAAGTAATTGTTTGTTTTTATTTTCTTTTCTTTTCAGATATTTTCTGCACCTTTAGTGTGCAATTAATCTTTTATCTTAATTTTTTACTTTTTACATTTGGACAAGAATGGGTACAAAAATATTGAATGATATTCACAGTGATATGAAACAATTAATAACAGCAATTACTTCCTTTGAGGTAATATTTGTTTGAAATGTAATTTATTAATTAATAGAATAATAGATACAAATTTTCATAAATAATGCACATGTTTCATTTTTGGTATAATTTTTTAGGAAAATGAAGAAGGATTTCGAATTTGTGAACGATTCTGTATGACAAATATTAAATATCACCGATATTTATCTGTTGACAGTAATAGTACAAAAGAAGCTATTAAAGCTCTGATTATAAAGTTTTCAATCCATGGAAAATATGACGTAGCAAAAAAATTTGAGGAACTTGTTGATACATTTTTATTAAGTTTTAATTTTGAACAACATCCACAATATGATTTACAGTGGCATCTATTAACTCTATTATTGGAATTAGCTAAGGAAACTTGTAAATCTGATTTAGAGTCTTTAAAATTGACACGTGGAGAATGTACTTTCAATATAACAGGTGAAAATGAAAGTGAAGTGACTGAGGAAATTGATTGGTCTGAATATTTAAAAGAGGGTCAAGAAGATTTTTTCAATGATTATAAGAGTGATACAGATAGTGTAAATATTGTTAGTTATTTACTTATAGTATATTTGTATTTAATTAAAACAGATATTTCATTTCTAACAGGAATGGACTGATGATACAGAAGACACTGTGGATATATGTACAAACTTTGAAACACCTATAAATGTTACAGATTCAAATAAAGCAATATGCATATCATCTGTTGACAAAGAACTAAATAAATTATCTTTAGTCCTGAATGAAGAACTTAAGTCTAAAAATTGGTTATTGTCAAATGTTCAAAACACTTGGTGGAATGAATTAGAATGGCGAAAATATCCAGTAAAAAGTAGATTTTGTGATGCTCATCTTTGTGAAATTTGGTAGCTATTTATTTTTATTGAAATTATTTTTTCTTCATATTTTATTAAAATATCTTAAATATATTCACACTAAACAGGCATAAAGCAAATGGTAGAGATTTTTATGCATTGGGGACACTCAGCGAGTATCTAGTATGTAGGGAATTATTATGGATGTTTTATGCTCCAATGCAAATGGTAGTATTTCGACAGAATGAAGAAACAGAATTTTCTATTTGTCCTGATATATCTATACCTAGTTTAACTACTGTGAGTAATTACTTAATGTAGAATCAACATTGAGATACATTTAATATATGCATGATTTTTAATTATTTAAGAATAATAGTAGTAAAATATTATAGGCTGCATTTAATAATATTCTTTCACCATTTTGTAAGTATTTCTCAATGATATATGACATAGAACAATTTGGAATTAGATTATATTCAGAGCATGATGATTTTTGTAAAAAACCACCTTTGACATATGAAACATATAATGCCATTCTGAGGCAACATTTGATGAATTTTAAAAAGGAAATAATTGATATAGAAAAAAGTCTTATGAAACAAGGTATAATAAAATCTTTTTCAGATTAATAATCTCATAAATATTTTTGTTATAATTATTATTTTATATTTATATTGTCTTTCAGATAGCAACCTTACATTTTTGTCTTTATCGTCAAGTTTAAAAAAACATTTATATAGTGTAAAAATTTTATATGAAATTCATAAAAAGTCTATATCTAATTGGAAACTTTATCCAAATTGGAAATGTGCATCTAAACTATTATCGTCATTGTATTTTGAAATACAAAATTCACACAATCCAGAAAGAACAAATATTTGTATCAGTTTATATTTATCTAGTCTTACTGTTTATTTAAATATAATTGACACATGGTTAAGTGAGGGTCGATTTGAAGATTGGAGAGAAGAATTTATAATCACAAGGTAAAATTATATTGAATATGGAGTAAAATGATTATAAATGATAAAAAAATTGATTCATTCTAGGTTATCAAATAATGTAGTTTCAGAAAATAGCTCACAATATGAAACATTTTCATTGAGATCTTTAGATAGTATATGTTTAGCAGATCCAATTATGCAATTCTTAATAAAAAAGGTACAATATATCGGACAGAGCATTGAATTGTTAATATCTTTGGATAGAGTTACAGATATATGGAAAATTAATATTAGGGATAGAGGTATATAATATTTTTATATATCTCATTTTTCATATCATTACAATTTGTATTAATACTTCATATACTTTTTTAGAATTGACAAAATCTTTAGTTGATGAATTTTACACTAAATTAGAAACAGAGATTTCTAAATATGATATCAATGAACAACAAGAAGAAGAAAAGGTATCTTCACCTGAGAAAGAAGAAATTATAGAAAATGAATATGATGAAGATATGAAAAAAAATATCATAAAACAATTAACTGAATTTAATAATCCGTTTTTATTAAAAGCATTTGAAGATTATTAACAGTGCTGGTGTTTCCAAAATTCAAGATATCAAAGTAGAAACTAGTATTTTCAAAAAGTACTTTTATTATACATTTTAAATAAAGTTTCTTGTAAAAATATTTTTTAAGTATAAAATGTAATATTTTAGGTTTGAAAGAATATCAAATTATATATTACCATTTAGAAAAATATTAGAAAATATTTTAGCAGAAATTTTGGTTTCACGATATAATGGCGCCAGTAAATTAGTTAAAAATATTATGTCTGAAGAATATAAATTAGAATTACATTTAATGTTAATGAGATCTGTTTATATGATGGAAGCAGGTCATATCATGAATAAATTTTACCAAAGATTGTTCCATGAGGTACAGTATAAAATAATCAACAGACAATGTATCACATTCTTAATTATCAAATTTTTATTATATAAATTTTGTTTAGATTGAAACTAATCAAATGTGGAATAATTCATACTTTTTGTCATGTATACTTGAAGAAATCCTTTCTCAATGGTGGTCAGATTCAAGTTCGCGATGGTCTGTTACAGTTTCTAATACTTATACAAATCAAGTATTAATGGCTATTGACAATATAACATTACATTATGCAATAGGATGGCCTATAAATATTGTATTAAACGAAAAGACTTTTATAAAATATAATGAAATATTTAGATTTCAATTAAAATTAAAATGGGCTTTGTGGACATTAAATAATTTAAGATTTAGTGGTAAGAAAAAGTATTGAATATAAAAGTATTCATATTTTTAATAGAATATTATATATAATGGTATTACTTATAGATTTAGAAGGTTCAAGATCAATGTATAAAAAGAACAAATTAGAACAGTTTCATATAAGACGTATTGAAAGTTTACGATTCTGTTTGTTACATGCAATTACTTCTGTACATACTTATTTATCAGGTCAAGTATTACAAAATTTAAGTCTTGTATTAGAGAAATCTTTGATACAAGCTGAAAGTTTAGACACAATTATATCAGGTATAATTATAATTTAAATAATAAATCTTATATATATACATAATAATTTAAATAACATAATAAATTTCTGAAATTACAGTTCATAATGAATACTTAAAAAAAGTACATGAACATTGTTTACTAACTACAGAGTATGAAGATTTAATGGCAACAATAAATAATGTATGTATATATGTCAAAGGTTATTATCTAATACGATGTTTTATACAAATACATAACATACATAAATTTATTTTAGTTAATTGAAATGTGCAATCATATTCGAGTTCGATGGGATTATAAAAAATTAACATTTGCTAGCGAAGAATTAGATGTGTTAGAAAGCAGTTATAACAAATATCACACATACCTTGCTTTAGCTTTACATAATGCAGTTCAGAATAAGGATGCAAATTATTGTAAGTCTGAAATTCTATTAACAGCACTATATGACTCATTTCAAACTGATATTCCCAAATTTGATACAATTATTTCAGTATCAAGGAAATAAAATTATAAAGTTATAAATGTTTCATTGCACTACCTTATGAAGACTTTTTATGATTAGTACTAAACTCTAAAAATAAATACATTACGCATGTTAATTTAGATTATTATTTAATGTTTTTCTTTTTTTTTTAATTGCTTTGTTCACAGTGACTGGCTTAAGCTCTGCATTTAACTGCAATATGTCGTATGTTTAACATTGATATATTTAAAAAATTTTTGTGTCCAATAATAATGCTATATTCTTTAAGAAGTAACATTATAACAAATTGCATTATCACAAAACATTTTTATTTATTTTTACGAATAACTAAGTGCCAAATAAAAATACAATTCATTCATTAACAAGAATACCAGCAATATATTTCTCTTACTAATGCTTTGTAATTAATTGAGCTACAGTTTCTTTTAATAAAACATGTGTGTATAGATTGTGTATCCTAAACATTTTTAAATGTATTTTATAATTTATGTAAATTTATTAGAATATTTATGAAACTTGTAATATTGTATATTTTGTTAAATAATTTATACATCAAAAACATACCAGTTCATATTATACAATAAAAATTAAATTTCTTTTTATTTTATTTCTTTCTTAATTTACTTCATGAATTTATTCCTTCTGCTCTAAAGTCCTAGTCAATCCCTATAAATTCTTTTCAGATGAAATGATACTACAATATCAAATTAGCACAAAAAATGTTTATATAGAAAATAATATTACTATGTGTCCATTTAATAATCTTAGTCGCAGCTTACTAATTGAAATAGCTTATCAATATTTACCACCATCAGGCTTATCTATACCAATTCCAAAAATTATACACAAGGTAGAGTGGTATAGTAACAGGTAAGAAAACTATTTTAAAAGATATTATTTATTAAACTTGTAAGTAAAATTATTTATATTAAATAGAATAATAATTTTTAAAAACAATGAACTTATAATGAGATTTAAAAACATTAGTACTAAATTTGAAATTTTAAAACTTGTATATTTCAGTTTAAATGCTGAAAATTCTTTACCAAATCATATTACTCTAAATGAATATGAACAAACATTTTCATATATACGTTGGCATCAATTAGAAGAGAACATTGTTACAATCAATTTATCTCCATATATCTTACATCGCGAAATGCAAGATTTTATTAATAATGATAAATTACTATGATATAAATAAATTATAATCGAATTTAATCAAATATGATTACAAAATATATACTGACGAACATAAGATATGAAATAAATGTTTATTGAGAACTATTATTTCTGTATTAATTTATATTAAGAAATTGAAAAATAATGAAAGGCTTTATAACAATAATTAATAGTAATTGTTAATAGACATGTGAATTACTATTTTTGTAAGTGAGAATAATTTATTTTAAGACACACGTAGGTGCGTGCGTGTGTGGTGTATTGTACATATATGTCTATACATATATACACACACATTTATGTAATTTACTTAAATTAATCTCATTTAAAAAGTTGGTAAGAAGTAATAAAATAAGTACATCTTGTATTAAGTAAATATTTATAAAATTAAATTATGAATAACATGATTATGATATATTATTACCAGTATGTAAAATAAAAGTGAAAAATTCTTTTTGCCCAAACATCTAAAGAAAAATTCTATTCTGTGCAAAACTCTGTGCAATTACAACAGTACCATTTTGTCCCAATGTTCCACTTTGTGATACTGTAGGTGCATTTGTAGTTTCATTCAAATTAATAGGTGGTGTTGAATGATTATTAACACTTGTGGTAGTTAAAGCTTTATTGCGTAATTCAAAGACCTGTTGTATTGCTTTACGAAAGCAAAGAAAGTTATAGTCAATTACACCTATAAATTGAAAAGAGAATTTAAATATAAAATTAATAATTAATAATTAATATTATATAGTTATTATATATTATCACTATTACTCTTCTTAATAAATTTATCACAAGAAGATTATGTTACCTTGTCTGTCAAAATTATCTTCACGTAAAATACAGACTAAAGCCAAGAATTTATTAACTTCTCGTAAGTATAAAATTGTTCCATTATTTAATTTAATTAAGCTAGAACTTTGATTATCAAATGCTGCAGCCTCTAAATCCTCTCTCAAACTAAAATTAATATGTAACACTATGTATAATAGAATGAATATAAGAATATATATGAACTTTTATACAGAAGTTTTTATAAAACATACCCATATATGTAAGACACATCAATAACAACATCAATCATATCACAACATAGTTCATAACTTTGCATATCTACAGGAGAACTATCAGTTGCAATGTAAATTTTAGATACTACATCAAACAAAAATGCCTTTTCAATAGCAGAATTCTAAAAAATAAATTAAATGTTACTTTATAAAAGCATATCGTAAATCTTTACATATTCATATTATTTCTTACTGATATAAGTATGTTAAGTAAATTTTCTAGAGTTGGTAACTGTGGTATCAATTTTTGTACAACTTTACTAAATGCTTCAAATATACTATGATCATATATAGATGTTAAATGAAAACTTAAATGTATTTGGTCACATCCTGAAATATATGTATATAAACATTTGTAAATAGTTATTGATAAAATAAGAATTCTATATTAGTTATTTTTTATTTACCAGAATCTGCAAGATCATCATTTGCTCTAGTATGTATATCTCTTTGTGTTTCCATCTTACAATCATCGGATAAGCCATCAACCTTATGTATGAATACTTCAAACTTTATTGCTTGATTAACTTTATATGCTTTTGTGACTGTTAAATGAAGTTTATTAAGTGCTTCCATATAATCATCCTGTGCATCAATAACAAAAACTAATGCTCCACAACCACCAAATATCATATCACTATCAAAAGTAGGGTCAAAGAAGTCAATTTGCCCTGGAAAGTCCCAAATTTGAAACTGAACAAAACTAGAATTACTTATATCATCTTTAATAATTTTATTCGTGCTCTCTAGAAATAGTGTTTCATTTGGTGACATCTTATGAAAAACTACTTTCTGTATTGATGACTTTCCACTCCTAAAATTGATATTAATTTCATATAATTAATAATAGGATTAATAGTAATCTAATAATTAATATTATTAAAACATAAATATTTTAAACATTTAGATACCTTCGGAGACCCATTAATAATATTCTAGGTTTTTGTTCTCCTGCTAAAGGATCCATGGATCCTTCTGTTTCTCCATCAAACGGAGCATATCCAAAATCCTTAGGAAAAGAACCTACATCGTATCCAGCTTGATACTGATCATCATCGTCCTACAACAACAATGTTTTTATTAATATAAATATTATAATAACTAATACATACTTAAAGTTAATTGAAGAGTGGTATAGACAGTTGTTTTTATTTTTTATTTTATTTGTTTTTTAATACTTATTTAATATCTTATAATGTGTTAGATTTATAAATATTTTGATAATAAAATTTAAAATTAAAATAAATGGCAAAATTACATTAAATTATTTACATTAAAAAAAATTAGTTTAAATATTGAAATAATTGCTACAAATATACTATTACTTCATTGTTAGACAACAATTTTATTATTCTACACACGAGCGTGCGCGCGCGACACACACACAAAGCGCGTACGTGCACATAAAATATAGCATTATTTCGTTTAGAATAATTTATCTGTAAATGAGATAATATAAATTGTCATCATAGCAAATTGAATCATTGATGATACTTACCATATTCGTACTTTGTATATTTTATTTATTTAATATTCCTTTTATGTTAGGATAGACTTTGGATTCGCGAAATTTACAATATTATCGCACAACTACAAATTAAAAAAACTGTGCATTAATTGCAATTAATATCAACGTAAATTATATGTATCCGTATACACAACTTTATAAAACCGTAATAAATCATACACAGTAGTTTGATATAATATCAATGCAAGTGACGATTGGACTAAAATATGACCAAGTTGATACACGAAAATAAATATTCCTTTTTAATCAATTAGGATTCGGAAATAAAGAATTGTACAATAAAATTTGTACAACATATTAAAATATCATTTATAGATTTTTTGATGTGTTATTTGTTCATAATTTATTACAATTTCATTATCGTGCAAAATATATTTTTATAACAACATATGTAGGAATATATTACACTAAAATTTGTAATTTCATCATATATAAAAATACTTTGTGTAACTACAATACTATATTACAATTATATTACGGTATTACTATTGCTACAATTTAATATTGTATTAAATAAACGGTGCAATGAAAATAGACATAAATGCGAATTACCAACTCTGGAACTGTATCTTACTGATACTGTCGCCATTTTCTTTGCTACACCTGTGGCAAACTTCATATATTTCATGTGTTTCTGTTTGCGCGAAAAACGTGCACAGCGAAATGAAATAAACGTAAATTATAAAGAGATTTTTTGAGAAAAGATTCATGTAATATATTATTGAAGAAGATGAAAGTGATTGTCATTATTGTGTAATTATATTTTATAAGCTAATAAGCTATAAAATTTAGGATATGGCAGAAATTTCGAATTCTACTGTGTTTACAAACGATGCATCTTCTACTGGTGCTTCCGATTTGCTCCAACAAGCGTTCCAACAAGTTGTTGATGATGACGATCATGATAATGAATTTGTTGCATTTTTACAAAATGATGACAATGATTCTCAAACTATTCACTTAACTCCGGAACAAGCAGCCGCCTTAGGATTAACCTTCGAGGTAAACTCGAATGAAGAGGTTATATATCAACAAGATCAAGATAATACTACTTCAAACATACCAGAAAATGTTTCTACAAAAGATAATATTAATGTACAGGACCAAAATTCGTTATCTTCTCAGGAATCTATAACAATCGATCAATTAAATTATCAACCCGAAGAAGTACAAAAGTCCAGTGGCACTGGGTTGATTAAAACAGAGTGTATTGATTTTCAAGATTGGCATATGCAGAAAGTTTCTGAAGCAGAACAACTTCAAGATCAAATAGTTGAGAATGATATATCAATAGAAGAAATGAACTTAAATAGTCAAAGCCATGAATCTCAACAAATAATTGAACATCATAATAATATAATACATCAAAGTTCAGCTACACAGACAATAGTTTTGGAGCAGCCTAAAGTACATACAATAAAAGCAGATGTTACGCATGTAAAAAATATTCATGAAAATGATTTGCAATATACTATTGAAGATAATATTGCACAAAGTCAACTTAATACAATACCTAATACACAAGCGCAAATCTTACAAAAACTACCTGTGATTTTACCATCTTCACAATTTATTATAAAACCTGCACAAACTATATTGAAACCAGCTAAAAATATTAGATTACTTCAAAGTTCTAATAAACTCACTAATACAACTGTTAATTCTATTAATGCTGTGCATTCACTTAATACTAATTCAAACCCTAATTCTGTACTTCTTTCAAAGGCTACAATATTAAATAATTTATCACCACAAATAATTAAAGCTACACCTATAACAGCTCAGCTGTTAAATACCAGTGGAATATCTGCACAATTGTTAAATCATTCTCAGCTTTTAACTGGTACTTGTGAAATACAAGGTCAATCTGTTGGTACACCACATATTTCAAATACGATAGTAAATACAACATCTGGAGCAACACAAAATCTTGTTACTTCACAAATACGTTTATCTCCAATTGTAAAAACATCGCAACCTCTTCAAAGAGGAAATGTGCAACAGTTTTTAACTCCAGTGTTAAAAAGTGCATCAACTGTGCTTCCAAAGACTAATCAGATTCTTAATAATACTAATGTGGCTACAGCTATTCCTGCACAATTTTTGAAGTCAGTACAAATCCCTCCTCAGTTACTTAAAACTAGAACTACAATTGGCAAAAAAACTACAGGTACAATTGGAACACCAAAAACTACAGCTAATTCTGATACACCAGTTGTACTTCGAACTGCATCGATTGTTAAGACACAAGATTTAAAAACAACAACAACAAATTCTACATCTATTTTAAAACCAACTCAAATTTCTTCAACACCTATATCTATTTTAAAACCTCAAGCAAAAATTGCATTTAATAATACAACTAAACAAAATGTAACTCTTGCAACTCAAAATGTTGCCAACATTTCAAGTAATTCACAAAACACTTCACAAAAGACACAACAGAGCAGTACATTTGAATCTGCTAAATCAGTTCAGGGTGAAACTATTAGACAAAAACTTAATCTTGTAGTAAATGGCACAAATCTTAAAGTGAATAAAAAAAGTAAAGGAACTCCTATTAAATCCACAACAATAGCAAATGAATCTACAGATGCATCCAAACCATTAGGTTCTAGTGAAAATCCAATACAAATAGTTCAGCAAGGTCAAACATTTCATAGGTATATGAATAGTACAGAAATAATAATGTATTTACCAAATTTTTTTATTTTACAATAATTATATTTATTCTAGTATGCAACGTCTAACACCAACACAATTGAAACAAATTGCACATGTTTTGCAACAACGCAGTCAAGAAGCAACTACATCAAATGAAAGAGTAGTATATAGGTCAGTACATACATTTATTACGTATTATGAAATTTTATATGTAAACAATTTATATATATGTTTAGAGTTGTATTTCCTGAAGAATTAGATTTACAAATTAGAAATCCAGGAAACTTATTAAAAAATCGAGGTGGAAAAAGAGGTAGACCAAAAAAAAGTGCTATCAGACCTTCTTTACTTCCACCTAAATTGCCTCCAATTCCTGATGAAGAACAGGAAGAATTAAAGGTAATACTTATATATATTTTTCTACATATTGAAACTATTTTATAATGTTACTATACTAATATTTTGTTTAGGATGAAAGGAAAAAAGTTGTAGCCAGAACACGATCTGGAAGACTTTCTCGACCTCCTAGACATATGGTACGAGATTATAAACATTTACATCATTTAGACTTTTTGCAACCTGATTTAGATGATTCAGATGGTGGCTATAGTGATTATAATACTAATAATGATAAACTTGAGGAAGAAGAATCACCTAAAGAGTTATTAACAGGACTGGAAGTACCAAAAAGAAAAATATCAGATCATTTCAGATGTCCTACATGTAATAAAATATATTTAGGACGTACTCGTATGGCAAGGCATTTTGAAATGCATCCTGATCATGGAAGTCCTGAGCAACTACCTCCACCAACACCTGAACCTGAATTAAAACAAAATGGGGGACAAGATCCTTTAAAACGTAAAGGAAAAAAGCGAGGTCCTTGGGCTTATGTTACACCAGAAGCTAAATCGGAAAGACGTCAAATAAAATTACAGGAAGCTATTTCCGTATGTGAAGATCTCGAAATAATTAAAATAGCTGCAAAACCGGTACTTAACGCACAATCATTGTTTGATTTATTAGTACTAAAGTCTGAAAACAATGTAAGAATATTTTTGGACGAATTAAAACAATTAATGGATAAAATACGAGAAAAGGCTGGAACAATATTAACAGTTACAAACAGTGATGAAGAATCAAACAAAGATTTAATTGATATTAATGAAGAATCACTTTGTGATGCTTTAGGTCTTAATCCAGGTTTATATAAAATTAACAATGAAGCTCTGAAAAAGGTTGATACTTCTATTTGTACTACTTATGAGAATGGAGAACCACCTCTTAAACTTCAGAAGACAGATAATTCTGAAGATGCTAAGGATAATATGGAAGAGCGAATGTCTAGTGGTTTTTCTGAAAGTTCAGATCTCAGTGTTTCAGACTTTTTAAGTGATAGAAGAAGTGACTCTGTAACAAATCCTACTTGTCCAGAGGTGCTATCAGCTTTAACATTAATGCGAAGAAATCCTAGTCCTGTGAATAATGCAGAGAATAATAAATCTAACAATGTATCTAAACTTTTAATTTCAAATCCAGAGATTCAAAGTCAAATTTCAGATAATCCTGGATTTCAAAAGGTGGATATTACTTTACCCAAAGTTTCGAATTATCAAAAAACAGAGTCTCATAAAGAGAATTTTACAAAACTAGGAAACAGCTTAGGATCGTCAAATTTTTGTAAAATTGAAGATAATTATGAGCAATCTAAGATAGATCATATGGAACAAGCTTTCATAAAATTAGAACCAACGGAGCAAGGTTTTGTTAAATTAGAAAATGGTTCCATGGAAACTTATACAAAGCAAGAGACTCAAAATTTTGATAAAATGCAAAATGGTTTGAACAGCATGGAAAATGGATCTCAGAATTTTGTTAAAGGATTCCAAAAACTGGTTTCTAAAATAATTCCTATGACTTCATCAGATATAAATTGTGTTAAAACTCAATCTGCATCATTAGATACAGGTTCTTGCAAAATAATGCCTGCTACTTCTGGTTGCAAAATTTCAGATAATCTACCTATGCTTCAAGATGCAGTACCAATAATTTCTAGTAATTGTGATACTAGTATATTTGGCAGTTCAGAAAATTTAGATATGTCAAAAATAACTCAGTATGATCACATAGCACATTTAGACATTTTAAATACAAGTGGAGTAATAGATAAAAACTTATTAATTGATGAAAAATTAGTAGAACAATTGCATCTAGTAGATCAATCAAATTTAGTCGATGAATTAGTATCTGAACGATTGAAAAATATCATGCCAGATAATATTTTAGAAAACAATTTGATATCAAATAATTCAAATTTAGATACAGATCTTGATTTTGAAGCATTAAGTGAAGAATTTAATAGAAATACTAGAAGTTGATTCTTGGATAACTGCATGCAAAATGTTCCTAAAAAAATTGAAATGATATGTATAGTGTATAATAATATCGAACTTACAATTGGAATTGTATATGTATAATTACACAATGGTGTAGATATTTTTTTATAGAATTTCTGACAGTATCATGATCAATACATTATAACTTCCATATTTGAATGAAGAGTACCAATAGTAAAGTAATATGTCTTTATTCTGATATGTGTATGTAAATAAGACTGTTTCTGTTATATTTATTGTGTATAATGTATATTTCATATAAAAAAAGGCAGTGTTATGATGTACTGGCAGTGTCAAAAAATGTATTGATGTTATATAAAGAAACTTTACTTTGATGCATTGCCTTTGACAAATTTTTACTGCAACACATAGATATTTTTTATTTTTAGTAAACGGTCTTTATAATCATACACATAGTGCAACTAATATTTTGAGTCTAAGTTTAGTTTCTTGAAAGAAAATTCATGATAAACTAAAAAATAAAAAATCAAGACCACAAAATTACATATTAAATAGTGTAAAACATAAAAATTCTATGTAAATATAATTTCTCTTAATTATTAAACATGTAGTTAACTAGAAATATATTATAATAATTTTTTTTAGTTACAATGTTACAAAAATGATTATGCACAAATTATTTTATGATTCAATTTTAACTTCTTACATTTATTATTAAATATTTAACAGGGTAATACCCATTGATAAATGAATGGAATAAAAGTCATATTTATATTATATCAATAATTTCATAATAATTATAAAAGAAAAGTATTGAAAATGTGAAAATATAACAACCTCAAAGATTATAAATGATGATTAATAAATCAAACTGAACTGTTTACAACTTTTGTATGAAATACTAAATCATTGAAAATGTTTGAAACACCAAAAAACAAAAAAGTAATTCCATCCACATTGTTATAGCATTTATGTACAGTGGAAATTATTAATTTTGTATTTATCTGTAAATATGTATTATACATATATAAGAAGTTATTGATATAATTAAAACGTTAATGGCACTAGTAACATTAGAATAATTATAACTAATCATAAAATGCATTCATTTTGCAGGTTTGGTTCCTTGTATTTGTGAGATACATTTTCTAAAATCTGCATTTTTAAGCAAATATGTAGTATGTTTATACTTGTTTATATTCATATTAATCCTTTGTGATCTCGGGTACCAATTGTAAACAGAACTTCATAATTCATTTTAGAATCAGATGATATATTTCAATTCCATATTTTTTGTTTTGTGAAATTATACAAATGGTATTTGAAAAGCCACAAATAAATGATCATTCTGTTAATCTTTGTTTTATTTCAATAATTGTAACTTATCATATAATACAAAAAAATAATTATTGTAAACATTGAATCGTTTTTGAAATAGAAAAATACTTACCAAAATTTATAAAAATAATAACTAACTACCTATGCCCACTCTCTATTAACATTGATTCCAAACATATTGTTAGATTCTCTGGTAATAATGGCTGATGCACCCAACTAGCAAGGAATAACATTTTCCAAGATTCCGTGTAATGATGTGCTACATTTTTCAAAATATTACGTTTTACTTTTGCCTCATGAAAATATGCATTATATATTGATTCTGCAACTTGCCCTAAAATTAATCATAATGTTTTTAAAATAGATTAACTATAAAATTATATTACATTTTATAGATAAAATATAATTATGTATTTTTACCAAATTTTAAACTGGTCCATGTCATAAATAACTTGTCCATATTAGTTTCTAAAGATGTTGTTATTTTTATATGATGTGTAATTTGAGCAAGATTTTTTACAATGTCATCCTAGAAAAAATATCATAATAAAAATATTTGTACTATAATAAGAATATTAGGCAAGATATAATTATATGAAAGATGCATTACCAATGCATCACAGACAATTTCTAATTTATCACATTGTTCTTGCAAAATTTTAGAATAAGATTTATCTTGTTTTACTTGAGTTATATCTTTCAGCAATACTACACCTTCTAAGTGAAATACATTCCATGTTTGTATATTTTGATGAATATCTGCAATTAAATCTCGTATATGTCGAACAGTACCAGTTAAATTTTTCCCTTGTGTTGACTTTCCATATGAAAGTTCTATAATATAAATTTAATAAAATATGTCAATTTCTTACATGTAACATATTTGTTTGTATCAAATATATGTTGCTAAGAAATTAATATATAAAAAAAATTAAAATGCTTACTGTTGACTGGTGAAAATTGTCCCGTACTCATAATTTGTATTGTGTTGTTATATTCTTTTTTAGCATAATCCATTGTAGCTACTTAAATACTTAATAATCATATAGTTAAAAAAATATACTTATAAATATCTACATACAATTAAAATTACAATACAACAATAAATTTGTTCGTTTAATGATTATTTGAAGCATGTTATTTTTACCCACATAAAAGATCATACAGCGACTTGACACATATATATGATTATTTCTCATATTCTATACTTACTAAATGTAAAAAATAAAGGTTATACTTTTTATTGGTTGTAATGAACTTAGAAGAATTAAAAAAAAATACTATCCCATTGGTTAATTATTACAAAATAAATTATTTTAAAAGAGAAATATCCAATAGCAATAACGTTTCCATTGAATTCTTAATTGTTAAGACACGTTTACAAAAGATAAAAATAATAAATACGAAATAAAATTCTATAATAATATTTTTAACTTAACTCAATTTTATTAATTTTTTAAATTATCATATTAATTCATTAAATATATTTACTTCTGAATTTTGTGAAAAAATTTTAGATAATTTATTTGCACTTTAAAAATGTAAAGACAAAGGATATAGATGGCGCGTGTGTGTAGTATATATCAATTTTGCGGTAAAATTGAATTTAAAAAACAACTTGTGTACTTTTAAACAGACCGATAGATACATTTAAATTGCAATATAGTAAATAAAAATGAATGATTCGAATTTCGTGCAAAGTTTAAATTTACATATTTTATATATTAAATAATATATAGCGTATTTCAATGTTAAAAAATAATTGACAATAATTTTAAATAGATATAACATACTAATTTTTATTTGAATAGGATTAAAAACTCTATACTAAGCGCACATCAATTTTAATTAATGATAAATAAAAAAAATTAGGAAATAAATTGTTAGAGACGTAATCATTAATTGTGATCATTCGTATTATCATATTTTTAAAGAATGTATGATTTAAAAATAAATATATCGTTATAATGTTCTAATTGTTTCTAACAAGATTAAAGACCGAGGAAGAAAATAAAAGTAGCACAGTTTTTTGAATAACGATTAAAATTACGAAAGATTATTTACGCACATGTTAAGTTGAAACAAAAGAGGATTTCAATCGGATGTAACACGGTTCGGCTCTGTTGCTTTTGTTCGGAGAACGGATCGGGAAACAAGGTCACGCAGGTAAAATGGCAGTCGACGAGCGGATTTCAGCCGTGTTTCAATTGTAAGCTCACGGTCTCGAAAATTACAGGTACAATCGGGTTCAGGAGAAGAATGAACGTACTTTAGAATTAATTTCGAAACCGAAATTCAGTAGTTGCTGTCGTTGTATCTCGTAATAACACACATCAGTTTCTTGTCGTGATTTCTCCTGATCAATCTGGTTAGCTATATTTCAGAGTCGAGTTGCTGTAGTAGATGCAATTCACGCTCTCGCATCTCGTAGATCACGCGAGATTCTCTCTGGTGCTCATTCGAAATCATCTTGTGGGAATCCATCGAGCCACGACGAAGCCTTCGAGTTACGTTCCACACCACGGATTGAAGAGGATTCGGCTTGATGCCGTCGAGCGTAGTCGTAGTTGAAGTCGGATCAATTCATAAGAACGATCGTCGTCGAAGGGGATCGGTTTGAATTTTATAGAATCAAATTGAGGAATTCGTGGAAATCTAATATTTTACATATTCAGTGTGAGATATACAGTGGAAAGAAAAAAGAGATTCAACAATGTGACGTAACTGCGCGGCATGATAATAGATAGGAACGTTAACCACCTGCGTTTACGATCAGATAAACAGATCGAAATCGTGCCCCAAGATCGACAAATAAAAAACGCGTTTAACAAAAAGTTTGGTGTCTGGTCTTCACTGCGAAATTCAATCAGTAGCAAGGATGAAAATGGAGGTAAGTTTAATGCACGCGTATATAAATGAGATCAAAAGGAATATCTTGCCATACCATTGTTTACGCAATGGATTGCGGTATTTGTATAATCAATAATGATGTAAAATTGACTTTTCCTTTTTTTGTTGAAGTATATAACATCTGACAGACAGATGGTGTTGTATTAATATTTCTATCTAACAGAAGTTACCGTTCGAATTGATCAACACAGCGGTACTTTTAAACGGCAACTGAAAGGGGGAACACTAATGGGATTTCTAACCTTTCTTATAAACATTGACGTAGCGCGTCATATTATCATTTGCATGGTGTCGCAATTTCAAACGAGTCAATGAATTAATTGTTGAAAAAACTATCGTGCAAAAGATATCATGATATTTAATGTCTGGTTTTTGACCAATTTAAAAAGAATCGCTCCACGTTGCTTGGAAGTGGCTTATCTAAATGAAAAATATGCGAATTCGCATGTGTCAACGTGTTGCTCTCGGAAGACTGGTTGGACAACTATTCAAATCAGCTCGTACGCGATTTTCGTGCGCGTGTACTCGATTGACACTCTCACAGAAAGCTTGATTTTCTTAATTCGAATTGCTTATTGTAGAACAATATACTTTTATGGTAATATTCAATGTCTCTAATTCAAAAAAATATTTCATAGATGTAATTAAATTCAAAATCGTTATTTTGTTCAAGTTCGTTCGAATTGTCTTTAGACGTCTCAATTGTCTAAAGAAACAAACACGGTAAAAAGATTAGTCTAAAAATCCTTTTATATTTACATTTAATTTTTATCTCTTTTTTTCATTTTCCATTTATAGATAAATATTCATACTAAATGTAATAGTGGAGTTAACAACACGAATGAGGTTATGTAAAATAACGTTGAAAAATACTAATTATAAATGTTGTTTTACATTATTATTGAAACAAAATCCATATTAATCTCTTTCGTTACCTTTGATTTTATAAAAAATATTCTTAAAGCTATACATATCCATAGTAAAACATTCATGAAGCATAATATCGATAAACGTGAATAGTAACTACCAATAGAGAAAAATCAGGACGCTTCCGAAAAATGTGAAAAATTTTTTTAAATATTTCAGAATATTCCAGATATTCCAGATGTTTCTAACATGCATTTGATAGCATGAACAAGGTTTTCAGACGAAAACGGCGATTAACATTGGCGTCGAGGTTGTAGACAAAAGTAATCCAAATGCAAACTGACGAGAATAGTTGGCAACTCGTGGTTACACTTGCACTCGTTTACCAAGGAACCGGTATCGTGCATCTTTCAATGTGCATATATGTACTCGAGCGATTTTTTACACACGACGAATCATGTAGCCCGCAATCGAACACGAGACAAGAGTATTCCATGGCGTTTCCGTAAATTGGTCACGCTTTGATTGTTTATTAATTTTTGCAGGGTGTAATTATCGCAATTGTATTAATGCCGTTTAATTTAATTACATATAAGGTATGTGGGTCGTCGTTGGCCGTAACATAGTCTCGTTTCTAAAGCGGTTCGACAGATGTTTCAACGTCAGGTATATATATGAGAAATTGAAACAGCTGTTGCACTTTCAGCGATCCCAATGATAATACCGCCCGAGAAACGAGATCTATCGATGATGTAATTTCACATTTTTTTTTACCATATATCAGTTACATTTTGAAAAACCTTTTCATTTTTAGGAACCTCCAGTGTGTCTACGGTAACAGTTATAAAACGACAAGTTTATTAATCTACAATTTATGAGAGCCGCGTAAATTGAGTTTCTCTTGATCTGTCATCGGTAAATCAAAAGCTTGATCCAAAACCTTTACGGTAATTTTACTAATCGTGTATACTCATATCTAATCAAGCATGAGATTAGTCAATATTGATTTTCACCGAGCAGATTCGTGTACGCTGACTATTTATCACGAGTATCCCCTATCCTGGTGACCTCGAAATTTGTTATCCTTTGACGAAATCGAGCGTGCATCAGCGGACAGGAATTTTAAGTCGGCCATCGATATGGATGAAAACGACGACGGGGGGTTACGTTGCGAGGAGGAAAGAGAGGCAGGAAGATGATCGGTGGCCCATTTTTTTAGAAAGGAAACAGGCACGGGTTACAGTTAAGCAGCCGTACTAGCCGCCGTTCAGTTTTCAATGAGCAGCATTCCTGACGGCCGGCCAACTACAGCTGCTCACCTGGAAACCCTTCAAGAACTTGTTTCAGTTATATTCGGTTCCTACGCGGAAGTGCGGGCGAAACACCTGAGCGAACTTGCTTCCTTCTACGAGTCACGAAAGCCGGGCCTCTATCCTTCCTCTTGGACACACTGGCATCGTAGGAATAGTTGCGTGTAATTCATACGAGCAAATTTCAAGGAATTCCATGATCGAAACGATCCAGCGATTGATTGGTAGAGTTCTATTGTCCGAAGGCTGCGATAAAACTGTGAAATCGTACGTTACAGTTACTGAAATGATTTTTTTTCGTTTCTAATTTTAGACGTGTTTGTTTTCCTTGTATCTCGCGATCTGCGTCCAATGGATTGTATTTCCATGCATGGGAACTGTACATATGATCAAGGGGAAAGATTATCTAAATTTCTGACACAAAGGGACCTTTGTCTACTGTCCAAATGTTCATTACGCAGACACCGCTATAAGAAATAAATATTTTTTATTAATAAAATATCTGCAATAGATAATAGCAAAAACAGTCGGTTACATGCATTTATAAGAAGTTATTAAATGGCCAAAAATTGTTTCTATCGGCGAGAGTTAAGGTTTATTATTTTTACTGAGTGTCTAACTTTCAAGGCACTTTGATGTTTTTCATAATGATTAATATATGGAATTGACTGCGTAGAAACGATTATTTGTGTAATTTACGATTATTCGGACGCGTTATGAATAAGAGTCGGCATTATGAGTCGAATTTAAAATTTCGTTATCAAATCTGGAATTTTTGGATACGAAGATATTATCGTCATTTCATCGATAACGTCTGAGTCACAGAAAACAGTCATCTAAGTGATATCCGTTTCGTGCTGTCACCGAACGATCTGTCGGTCAATAAAATTTACCTTGACTTCGATCTATGGATATCTAAAGAAATCCGATGTTTCCAATTAAATCGACGTCTAGTTACAAACGTGCAGCTAAAGCTTTATTTTACACCGCGATGGCGCAATATAGGATCAAAGGTAGTCATCGATCGCAATATCAACTGATAAAATTAGGTTGGAAGTCGTCAGATAAAGTATCGAATTCCTCAGTGGTAAGTTACAGTAAACTTATAAATGAAACGCTTCGCATTGTTTCACATTAAGTCGACAAAAGTCAGTAAACCGAAGAAACGATTCTCGTTTTATAACACGTTAAATAATACCGGGGAAAACTAGGCAATACAGTGTCGTACGCAACGAAACGGTCAACAACAGAGGTGTGATTTCTTCCTGTTTTTCTTTTTTAAACAAGTGAAGATAAAAAAACGCTGAATAAGAATCGTTCGTTTCTTTTTTTTTCAAAGATTCTACAAAACGTTTCTCAAGTATATACACATGTGTATACATTTGCAGAGTTGCGAAAGCGCGAATAACGCAGAAACAATAACAATTTATTAAACCGTGTTCGTAAAGAAAAAGATCGATTCATACCACTTGACACAGCTTGTACAAACAAGCCACGTTAATGGTGCACGTTCGTTCTCGTATAGAAACCTAATTAGCTTTCCTAAGAGCATGCTATAAAGGTTTTGATGGATCGTATCGTCGAGACGAAAGAAGCAGAACGGGTTAATCGTATGGCAGTCGTGTTCAGCTAGTTTTCTGGAATTCGCTTCCCGTTAGCGGAAAGATCGACGCAAGATAGCCTGGAATTTGATTCGTCTTGTGGTTTATATTCTTTTTTTCTTCGTTCCTTTTTGTCCATTCTTTTGTGTGGAGAAGGATCGATGAAGGTTCTCGCGCAATAAGAAGGTTCATAGACCGCGAAGATGTAAGGAGACCAATGTTTAGAGTGGTCACACGGTTCACGTTGAAATTAGAGTCAAGGGCCAGGTTGCATCATCATTAATTCAACAATCTGAAACACCGGTTTCTATAACTACGCAAAACTACGTGAATGTAACCGCGACTGTCGTAAGATAGAATTAAAGATAGTTCTCGGTTGGAATAAGAAGAAAATGCAGGGAATTCTACAGCTTATTCATACATTGACATCTTCTGCAAGCACGAAGCTAGAAAGAAATCTTTCCAATGGAATTGCATTAAATGAAAAATTTCGAAAAATCAATTTTGCAAGTTATGCAGATTCTTTTTTAAATTTGATTTTCATTTTCATTCATAAATTATGAAATTCGTGGTTAATATGATTCCATTTTGTTGCAGGCAGAGCATAGGTTAGAGCAGTTGAAGAAGGCGACGGATAGAATACAGAAGGAGATCGAAGAGGTCACAGAGAGGGAGCACGAGCTCAGAAACGTGGGTAGCATTAAAACCACGTCCCACGAGACGGTGGATTCCAAGGTACGCTTAAAACTCAACGTATATACCTGCAGGTTACGTGTACATATATACATTCGTGTCGACCAAGCTCAAGGTCGTTGAACGAAAGAAAGAAAGAGTAAGTGCCTGACGTAGTCCTTATAGGGACGAAATGCATCGAACGACTGTGATGTCCGTGAGCGACGAAGGCGATTATACACGCAGTTACTGATTTAATGATTCACGATGCGCACATGTTTCAATCTTGTTAAGAACATGATGAGAATAAATCAGTGAAAAATTAGATCTCATACCGCAAAAATCGAAAAGGTATTATTCCACTAAAAATTCTCGTTTCACACCTTTTACATTTTAAAAATATTTATACGTTTCAGTAGAATTTTAGAATAAAATCAGAAAATTACAAGGACATATTCAACTATAAAAATATAAAGATACAAATATCGTTTAATAAATGAAGAAATATATTTATTCTTCCAGTACAAACTTCACATTTCGCGAGTTATATAAGATGGAACGTGTTAAATCTTTTCTTCGTCGATTTTTAGTTAAGTCTTCAGTTTAAGAAAAGAATGATCACATTAAAATCAGTAAGAAAGGTTTATTATCGACATTTATGGATCAAATAAATTCTACTTTTATCATAAATTATACCTGTTAAGTATCTCGAGTAAACGAATTCTTAAAGCACTTTTATATGTAAAATATCTTATGCATAAATTATATTTACAGTAAATATATTAAACAGAACGGAACTAATACGCTTCGTGAGCCAACGTTACGCGACGATAACCTTTTGTTTGCCAAATTCGGCATGCTTAGGTATTGGAAATCATGCTTTATCGTTGGAATAATAATCTTTATATCGTTAATTAATTACCTCCAGGTGTATGAAGCAATTGCTACAGGACGCAAGAGTGTGCACATTTATTTCGCAAACAATCGGTTGCATTCTGTTTTCGTAACACGGCCAAGATTTCGATGAAAATATCTTATCTGTTGATATATTAAAGTAAATATAATGCTGTTTTCTATAAAACTGTCTTTTCACTTGTGACGCAGCTATCGTGTTGCTGATAATAATAATTAAAAATAGACTTCTCGTATAATTACTATTTGCGTTTACAAATAGTATATAATATACGTCACAAAGATCATTTCAATTTCATTATTCTTCACAGTATTACTTTTTTTTAAAGCTGTTTTAAACTCGTTTGAAACACACTTATTGTTTGTCATATGATAGCCCAAATATATATAACAAAAATAATTCTATATTTTAGGTGCGCCGCATGCCGCAAGCTTTAGCCTCGGGAAAGCTGAAGAGAACAACATCTACACCGCAAATCCTGGAAGCGGTCAACTTAACATCATCTACGCCATCCTTAACGCCAAAGATGACGAATGGAGTGATATCCAGTCGCACTACTCCAACACCGCTGCGTTTCGCAACGACACCTAGTCAGAAAGGACTGATGCATAGGTTTTTAGCAACCCGGGGAAAGATTTATAAACCAAAATCTGCAACTAATGACGCACTGACACAACCCACGACACCCAGTATCACGCTTAATCCGTTAAGTATCAAAGCTTTCAATAGGAGTTTGGAAATTCAATTCGAACCAGATGATGAACCCAAGAAGCCTCTGGTTAGAAAAGGATATGTTCCTGTGGAAGAAAAAATTCAAAAAGAATTGCAAGAAATGAAAGAACGAGAAAATGAACTTAGGTAACGTATTTGTTTTCAATATTTTTTTTTTCCTTTTTTTTATTTCATAACTATAAATATGTATCCTTTTTCTACTATTTCGTATTAATGATAGTATATTGATATTTTATAAAATAATAGTAATATTATCAATTTTAATATATTGTATGTTATATATTTAATATATTGTATGTAGTAACAATATTTGTTAATAACAGCATTTATTAAATTTAAATTTAAAACGAATTGCGATTATTTTAGTATTATTTTACACTAATGTGATAATGTGATCTATAAACTTAATATTATTTTCAATCATACATTACTATCGGATTGAGTCTGACATTGAGGTAAAACTATTGTAATGGTAAACATAGTTCATATTTTGTACACTTCACAAAATAATGAAGATATATTTTTAGATTAATGCGATCACAAATGTTGGCGAAGTCACAACCAAATCTTTTGGATATTGGAAACGACAACGATTCCGATATTTATGATGGTTCGAGTTCGTTAAGAAGCGGTACTTCGACAAATACTTTGAACGAAGATGAAATAGAAAAAGAAACTAAAGGAAAACATAAGGTATTTTATAAAATATAAAATAGCTTTCAAATATTTATTAAAATATGTTACATCATTGGTCGTTGATCAAATTATTTATAGTATGACTTATTCGATTTATCTGTTGACCAATGACTAATTATTTATATTTATTAAATATTAAATTGAATTGTTAATTATATATGTATGTATTCATATTTTCAATTAATAACGAATCAGTAATATTTATTTAATTGTACAGCCTAATCCACGACGTCGAAGCACTCTCATCGCGCAATGGGAAAATTTAATAGCTGCAAAAAGAGAGTCTAGTGACAATAACAACGAGAACGACTTGAATTTTTAAAAGATTTCATTACTTTGTAAAAAATAAGCAATCGATGTTTATGCTCGTTGTTATACTATTCCTTTCAAGTCATTTCTAAATGATTTAAATGAATGGTAAATATATAAATACATAAGCCTCCAAACGTGCTGCAATAATCTTTCATACTTAAAGTATATATTTAATGTTCATACATATTACGTGATTTTATTCATTTATTCAATTTTCATACTAATTTATTTAATGTTATGATAGATATTTATTCAAAAGTGAAAGATTTACCTGATTAAACATATATTATATTTAATGTTTTTTTTTAAATGCTTTCAGTATTAAAAAATTAATTACAATGAAAATAAAATTATCTTTCCCATTGTATGGGTCAAAAAATATTATTAAGTATTACAAGCATATATATTTAATATATCAGCTTGTTGATTGTAATATATCTATTCTTATATTATATAATCACATGAAAATGACTGAGAATCTGTAATTCTAAAGATTTCCTTTAACATATGATATGTAATAATTATTATAAATCATATAAGCAAAAGTATGTATCTTGTACTTAATCAATTGTAAAGAATAATTGTATTCAAGTTACTTATATATGCGATAGTGTAGTTCTGATAGTAATAATAAAAAATTAGTTTGTGCAATTACTATGAAATTAATAAGATATATTTCTCAAAATTTGTTTTATTGTTTGTGGTTTAAATAAAATACCTAAAATATTCCAGAAACATTTGTTTTAAATTTGAATAAAAAGTATAATAAATATAAATCTTTTATATAAATATATTGAACTTGAAATCAAGAAATTTTTTCATAAATATAAAAATTTTAAATGTACACTGTTAAAAATAAATGTTTAATAAAAAATAAAAAATTTATTAACATATCTAGCCTGAATATAACCTAACCTATTTATGAAACATAAGCAAAAATAATTATATATATATTTCTTGTTCTTTACATTATTATTTATTATTTATTATTATGTTTTATGTATAATATATAATAAGCTATTTAAATTTGATAGTTTTCCTTAAATAAACGGAATTCACGAAAGATTAATTAGTCAAGACACATTATATTTATATATAATTGTTTTATATTATAACAAACATATAAAAATTAATATTATTCAAAAAATTTATCTACAGATTATACCATCCTTCAGATATATATATATATATATATATATGTATATATGTATATCATCAGTACAATTATTGACTACTGTGAATGACTTAATTGTGAATTTGCAAGTGTGTTAAGTGATACATTGTAACAATGTACTCAGATGAAAAGAAAATAATAAATAAAGAAATAGAAATTTTATTATTAATCAATTCGATTGAAAATGAAGGTAAATAATCAATTTTAGAACATGCGTCATATCAATATATTGTATTAGGTTATATTTTGTTATATTAATATAATTAAATTTTGCTTTATATTCAATTTTACTTGTTTCAGTTTATGATTTACCTACTTGTGTAAAAGATATATTAAATGGAAAATACGAAGATGTGATAAATAATAAATTATCGTCAAATTTAATTGAAGAATTAAATAATAGCAATGATGTTTTCAAGTCAATTCATAACAATATAGAAAAAACAGATTTATATGATTCTTGGCTATGCACAGGCATAGCTTCTTTATTATATTTTATACAGTTAAATTGGACAGGCCCGCAAGTTACAAAAAAAGTTGAATGGCAAAAAATGAAACAAGAGGATATACTTAAAGATTTATTTTTATCTTTACATGATGAATGTAACACAAATGTTAACATGTCAGAACTTCTTTATTTTTCTAAGATAATATTTTCTAATGAAATTTTACAAAATACTTATAACACTTGTACATGGTGGTTATTTAGAGCAAATTTTTTACATCAACTTATACTAAATGAAAATTCTGGTATAATATTTGATGAGGCAGAATATTTAATTGAAAAAATCAATGATTTACAATTATTGAAGGAAAATGTTTATTGTGAGACATTATTTTATATTGAAGTTGCACAATTTTATTTTTACTATAGAAGAATTCAAAATTCAGAAAAATATGTTAAACTTGCTCAAGAAAGAGCAAAATTAAGCTTAAACCTTGAAGGTGCATTAGGTAAACGTACAAAATATCAAGAAGAAGACAAGGCACAGTTGTTATTAAGAATAAATTTAGGAAAAGAAAAATTTTTTTCTAGATGTTGCAAAAATTTACCAAAATCTCTGAATTTAAATGATGATATTAAATTAGAACATACTCAATTTTCAATAAATATGGAAAATACAGAATTAGGAGCAGTAGAAGAAGCTATTGTATTAGGAAAATAGTAAGAATATATTTTATACTTTTATTATTTTACATTTATATAGAAAAATCATATTTTATTATAAATTTTGCTTTTAATAGTATTCAGTTGCAATTATCACAGCCAAAGGATAAATTAACAGATGAAGAAATTACACCCTATTTAACTGTAAGTATTGTTTTGCATTTTTTAAAGAAATTATTATTAATATTATCAATAAAAATAATTTTTTAACAGGTTGTGGTAAATAATACAAAAAATTGGTCTTTAAAAATGTCATCTCTTTATCATCGATGTTCTTTGGAATCTGGGAGTAAACGAACTGTTGAACGATCAATGATGCAAATTGAATATTTAATACATGAATTAAAAAACACGAAAGTTTCTGTTGCAAATAAAATGGACTTATTTTTTGCTAGTGGACTCAAACCAGTTTGGGCTTTAGAACAAATGTGGGCACGATTAATGTTAAGTCTTGGATTGGTAAAGGGAGCTTTAGATGTTTTTTTAAAGCTGGAATTATGGGAAGATGTTATTGTTTGTTACAATATACTGGATTTGAAACATAAAGTATATTTGTTGCTTTATATCATCTTTTCTTAATATATATAAAATAAATAAATTTATGCATTATTAATTATATTAGGCAGCAGAAATAATTTGTCAAGAAATATCTAAAAACCCATCGGTTCAATTATGGTGTTTATTAGGTGATGCAACTCAGGATTCTAGTCATTATGAAACAGCATGGAAATTGTCCAAGGAAAAAAGCAGTAGAGCTCAAAGACATTGGGGATTCTTTTACTTTGAAAAACAAAATGTAAATGCATAAATACAATTTTTTAAATTATTCTTCTTTTATAATAATTTAATTAAATACATGTATTATTTTATTTTTTAGTACAAGGAAGCTATACCACATTTAAAATTATCAGTTGAATTAAATAATATTCAAGAAAGTGTTTGGATAAGACTAGGATTTGCTGCATTACAAATAGGAGATTGGAAATTAGCAGCAACAGCATATAAACGTTACTGTGCTCTAGAACAAACGGTTTGCGTTATTAAAATTTGTTTATTTATTATAGACTTGTACAATATATAAATTTATGCATATTAAACAATTTAAAAATTTGATTATAGACATTTGAGGCATGGAATAATTTGGCAAAAGCTTATATAAAATTAGGTGATAAAGCAAAAGCTTGGAAATGTCTTCAAGATGCTATAAAATGCAATTATGATCAGTGGCAAGTTTGGGATAATTTAATGGTTGTTAGCATTGATTTGGGATATTTTTCAGAAGTATGAATATATAATATTAATAAAAATAATTAATTTCTTTCCTAAAATTATGTATTTTTTAATGATTTATATTTCTTCTTAATTTTATTTAGGTAATTCAGTGTTATCACCGTATTTTGGATTTAAAAAGTCGCCATTTAGATATTCAAATTCTTGATATACTTACTAATGCTGTATTAAATAATATTAATGATTCAAATGGAAATTCTGCACAAAAATTGCTTTCAAAAGTCCTAGAATTATTTGGAAGGATTACTTCCTTTGTACCAAATAATCCTGATGTTTGGCGTATGTATGGACAACTCACTATTCTTAAAAAGACAGATATTGATAATGATAAAGCAGTACAATATATACAACAAGCATATCGTATTGCTGTATCAAATCCAAAATGGCTTCTACAAGAAAATTCAGTTGAGAAAGTATTACAATTATGTTGCATATTAGCAGAAATCTATTTACAATATTCATTGAGTTGTGAACTTAAGAAAAAAAGAATACTTTTAGCAAGTGCTAAGTTATCTCTTCAAGGAGTTATAAAAACAGTTAAAGAGCTAAAGTGGAATATTGAAAAAATTACTATATCTTTAGGAAAAGTTGAAAAATACCTAAATGTTGTAATAAGTGAATTAGAGCAAATAAAGCTGACCAATTGAAGGATATATTATATAAGGTTTTCCATTTATTCTGCGCTCATCAATATCTTTGGTATATGTGTCAATACAAAAAATTGTATCATAACAAATTATTTGGTTTGAAGCAAAGAATATTATGATATATAATTCTTTTGATTTTAAGGTCATTTTTTCCTAAGTTTCCAAAATTATAAAAATTGTTTGAATATATTTTTTATAGTATGACATTATAGCATATAATAAGACAAATCCAATGATTTGTAACACCATGACATTTAAACGACCTTGAATAAAATATCTGGTTAAATAAAAAGAAAATGAGAAATTAACATTTGTATGAAATTTGTTTATTTTATAAGAAATATCTAAAAAGATTTTACAATATATATGTACATATTCCTTTGACTATGATTAACTGCACAAGGAATATCCCATATTCAAAAATATGTTGAAGTTAATAAAATTAGTTTAAACACTGTAGAATAAATAAATTTTGTATAGAAGACAAAGAATATTCAATTATCCATTCTCTTTTCAGTGCGAGATTTTTCATTCAAGGTCAATTGAAAGTCATGGTATTATTAATTATATTCATATTGATGTACACTATAATGCTGTATTGTAAAAAAACACATGTCACATGTAAAAAATTTCTATGACCTTTGAAATTTAAAAACAGAAATGATCTTGTGAGAAAGTTATGTATAAAATTCATTAATTTGAATCAAATAATTTGTCATGACACAATTTTTTATATCAGAAAATAAGACAAATATATTAGGGAACACAAGGTAAACGAAATATCTTCTAATTGTATTATATATATAAATTAAGTTAAATTAAAGTAAATTTTGTAAAACAATTATTTAATAAATTGTTTTTGAGGTATTTTTTGATTCTTTTGAAATTACATACATTCGAAAAGTTAAATACTATATTTACTTCATTGCTTCTTGCAGTCAATTCTACATTTCATCTGTCAAAAAAGTTTAGTAAATTATGAATGCACACTTATTTATTTTCATGGGTACTTGGATTCATTACAATTCAAAATGGCCGATTTTTCGCGCCTTATCATTATATCCATGGTTACAATCTTTCTATAGTTGATTTGCAAAAATTTTATGTTATATGAACGTCGATCTATGCATACTAACCATTCAGTTTTTAGTAATTAAACTACCGTGGTAGTTCCTAAAATACTGAAGTTAAATTTAAGTAATAACTGTTCGGTAATAAGAGGAATATAAAAATTAATACAATTTCATAAAACATATTTAGAGAGATTATTAACTTCTATATCAAGGTAAGTAATTATATATAAAAGAATATTACTAATTACATTTTAGTGGAATTATTAAAGGTCATATACTGTATTATAAATATATTATATTATAAACAGCTTATAAATTATATATTTCTTTTTAGACTATGAAAATATTAATTTCTTAAAGTTTATCCAATTTTAATTAATTATTTTTTTTTTAGATGTCATTTGCAGGGAAAGTTGTCTTAATAACTGGAGCTAGTTCTGGCATTGGAGCAGCAACTGCTTTACATTTTTCACAACTTGGTGCATTGTTATCATTAACAGGTCGTAATGTACACAGATTAAAAGAAATAGCTGAACAATGTAAATCTAATACACCATTAATTATAACCGGAGAATTAACTAATGAAACTGATGTTCAAAATATTGTTAAATTTACTATTGAACATTATGGAAAACTAGATATTTTAATTAATAATGCTGGTGTATTAGAGAGTGGAAGTATAGAAAATACTTCATTGGAACAATATGATAGGTATAAATTTCTTTCATGTATAAACTAAATTTATAAAGTTTAATCTTCATTTTATAAAACACATAAAACATAAATGTTTCAGAGTTTTTAACATAAATGTACGTTCAGTGTATCATTTAACAACATTGGCTGTTCCACACATAGTGAAAACTAAAGGCAATATTGTGAATGTATCAAGTGTAGTTGGATTAAGATCTTTTCCAGGTGTTTTATCATATTGTATGAGTAAATCAGCAATTGATCAATTTACACGATGTACAGCTCTTGAACTAGCACCAAAACAAGTATGTATATTTTAAAAATTAACATATAATGGTAGTTTTCATGTAAATTTAATATTTACATTTCAATTTATAGGTAAGGGTTAATGCTGTAAATCCTGGTGTAATAGTAACAAATCTTCATAAAAGAAGTGGAATGTCAGATGAACAATTAAAAACATTCTTTGATCATAGCAAAGAAACTCATGCACTTGGAAGAACAGGAGATGCTAGTGAAGTTGCAAAAGCAATCGCATATTTAGCAAGTGATGATGCCAGTTTTATTACAGGCGTTACTTTATCAATTGATGGAGGAAGACATATCATGTGTCCTCGTTAAACTATATTTACTTTCAATATCAAAATATCTATTAAATTATAAAGGCATTCATTTGTAAAAGTAATGTTTGATAATAAATGAATAATTTAAAAATTTATTTTTAGTTACATAATTTTCAGTGTAACCTCTAAATATTAGTATACTATTTGCTGATTTATAAATATAAAATTAGTTAATAGTATTAAATGTATTATGTACACAATAAAATGAACAAATAATGAAATAATTTATTTTAAATATCTTGGAATAAGAAAGTATTTAATTATAACTTAAATTAAATTATTATAAATTAGTATAAAAAACAATAGAATTTAAATATAAGTAAAAAATGTTACGTTATGAATTTTTTTATATTTCCTTGAATTTCGAAATTTTTATTGCTAAGTTATAAAAATTAATCTTAAGTCAAGATAATATGCATGTAAAAAGGTTACGCATAGATAACCCGTAACATATACTGATTAACAGTGAGTGTAGAATTTTAAACGCGAGGACAAACTTCTTATTTACATAGTATTACTGCGATAATTGACTACGATTTGGGCCATACTTGGTCAGATATCAAAAGAGGTAGAGTTCTAGAAAGTCCACATTACTTCATTTCTTCATTGAATATAAGTAAGATATGGATACCTGACATAAAATAGTAAGATCCTAGTCAGTACTTTGTTGAAACAAATATATCAATTTGCGAACCCAATTTTAAAAACTTTTGGGGATATAACAATTAGCTAACGTAAAATCTTGATTAAGTAATGGAACAGCACTGTATATCTAGTTTTATATAATTTTTATCTTACACAAGTATAAAATTCTGTATATTACATATTTCATTCAGTGTTAATTAATATGTTATTAAGGGGGTATTTTGGGAATCTGGTCTAAAAAAATCAACCTTCTTAGGACCTTTTTCCAAAAAAATTATGTCTTTTCGATATGAATTTTCGCATACATATTTAATCATATTTACACACATTTACAATTTTTTTATATAAAAATAACAGAAGTTACAGAAGTTTTATAATTTCAGGTAGAGTGTTTTCAAAAATGAGTCTGGGTGACTGACGGGATTTCAGTGTATCTATTGATCAGAAACAAAAAAACCAAAAAACATCTTAATTCATATGAATACAACTATAGCATGAACTATAAAAAAAACAAACTTCAAAAAATAACAAAGTGACTGCACTTTAAAATTTGAGTATTGATTTTTTTTACTTTTTTATCCTTTGTGAACTTAAAAAAACTAGAAAAAGCATTAGATTTTAAAATTCATGGTTAAAAATCTACGTCTAATTTGAAGTCAATCTATCAACTAGAACTCGAGATATCTCGTCAGCCAGTTTAAAAAATATGGTTTCCAGAAATTAGTTCACTGTTTTCATTGAATGTCTGTAACTTCGTTTGTTGTTAAAGGTTCAAATAAATGAACAGACATTTTCGAAAACATATATTTTGAGAAAATATAACAAAAATTGATTTTTTGAAATTAGATTATCAGAATACCCCCTTAATATGATTCTAGATAAAATTACACAATGCATAAAGATGCCACGTCATATAACAAAATTCTTTATCTTCTTTTAAGGCTATATATTTTGAAGCATTAAACTTGCATTCATATAGTACATACGAGTCTCATCAATCAAAATACGTTATGTGTACCGATAATTTACCGTATTTTTTATCGGGATTGGTAGTTAGGGGATTTGGCAGGGGTTCCAAAGCTTTAGGGATACCTACAGGTAGGATTTGACAACAATTTTTATTTCATATATTTAAAAATTTTGAAGTTAAGGAAAAAGAATTTCAAATTGCTTGTACATTGTAAAAGATAGTCTATAATTTTTTAAGACCTTAATTTTTTATAACTTTAAAAAAGTTAAATGTTCTATATCATAAATATTTATTGGTAAAAATATATGAAATATATTTAAAGAATTTAATATCACACATTATATCATTCACTATTTCATATAATTTTGATTTTTAAATATTTTGTGTAAAAAATTAATAATATTCAAAGAATGATATAGTTAAAAGAGAAAATAAACTTTTAAATGATATTTTGCGTGTAATAATACAATTATTTCTTCATAGCAAATCTTGAAGACAAAGCTATAGATAGTTTGCCTAATAATTTTAATACTGGAGTTTATTATGGATGGGCTTGTATAGATGGGAAAGTTCATAAAATGGTTGCAAGTGTTGGTTGGAATCCATTTTATAAAAACGAAAAAAAGACGGTGGTATGAATTTAAATATAAATCATTTAACACCTAATAACATATATAAATTTCAAGTTATTCTTCAATAATATATTATAATTATAGGAAATACATTTATTGCATAAATTTGAAAACGATTTTTATGGAAAACAAATTAAAGCTATTTTCACAGGATATATACGACCAGAAAAAGATTTTACATCTGAAGGTAAATAATAAACTATATTAAACCTAACTTTTCCATTAAATTGCGCTTTTATCATTTTAGAAGAATTAATTAAAGCAATAAAATGTGATATTGCAATTGGCGAAGAACAATTACAGCAACCAAATATGATTCATTATAAGGACAATGTATTTTTGAAATATGATAATATAAGTAGTAAATGATGTTCGCAATCGCGCCCATATTCTGATATTTCTAAATGATTTACAATTTTATTTTAGACATAATTTTCTAATTAAGAATATGTATGATGAGAATATTTTAATTAGAAATAATTAAAATATGTTTACATATTTAATGTGTACACACACACAACACACACACCCACACACACACATATATATACACAAATGTGTAATTATTAGTATTGCTTTTAATATATATGCAATTATGTATTTTATACATTTAAAATAATATTTTTATATATATATAAAACGAAATAAGAAAAAAAGGATAAAAAGAATAATTATCACATTACTGATATTTAAGAAGTGTCTGATGGTGATGAAGTTGGTGGAGGAGGTGGAGGTGGTGGTAAAGGTATCCATGGTATTTTCATTCGTATAGGAACTTGTGGCACTTGTGGCAACCAAGGCATGTTTGCAGTTTGAAATCTTACATTTGGATGACTTTGTAATGTTAAATATCCTGAAGAAACTCTTGGACATGTACTAAAAGGAATTCTAGGATTTAAATATGTTGTAGTACCATCTTGGCTATAATAATTTTGTGGACCATAGAAATTTTGATTAACACTATTAACATGATGATTCATATATTGCATAGATTGTAACGAGTGTGCCCCATACCTATATGGGGCATTATTTTGATACGATTGTGACCATAAATGTTGAGATTGATTTTCAGATTGCATAGAAAAAAATTGTTTATCGACTCGCGAATAAAATCCTTTCTTTGGATTTTGTACATTTCTATTCCATGGATGATTTGACTGCCAACCAGAATTAGGTTCTAAAAATATAAATATTATATAAATTCAATATTGAATAGAGATATTACACAAGAAGCTTACTTGAAACACGTTTCCGTTTGAACGGAATATCTGTTTGATTAGTATTATTTGTTTGTTTTATTTTTAATTGTTCATAATAAATTCGTTCTTCCTCATCATCTGAAAATTCTGGAGGATCATCTGCATGTGCATCAATGCCCTTGATTCTACAATAATTATACATCACTTAGTACAAAGATATAGCTTAAAAATGAACATAATAGTTACTAACTGGATTATTATCATATTTATTATTATCATGTATACATATTTAAACTTACTTCAATAATTCATGTAGAAATACTAAGGAAGTATATTCTGTATTTGGGCAATAATAAACAGTCATTCCCACTTTAATATCACACTCTTTTATATGATTAGAGTTATTGAATCTTACACAATAATGAGGTTCATTAACTTGGCCAAAGACATCAAATATTCTACCTAATGTTCTTTGTCCTTTCTCAACAAATAAAACTGTATCTAAGTTTAATGTTGGTTTACCTGGTTTTGGTTTCACAACTACTAATTGTTCAACCATCCATGCAACCTTAAATTTTAATTCATTCCATTATATTACTCTATATTTAACATTATTTACATAATTTAGGTTGAGAAATACCTCGCCCAATGGATCGCAGAGTATCTCAGGTACACTGATTTTTAAATCTTCAATAGGAGGTAAGTCATCTAATTCATTTTTCATTTCATTATTTCTTTGTCCTTTAACATTATTTGCTTTGCTTTTTCTAAATGCATAAGAAATTGCTTTCAAATTTCATGCAAAAGTAATTTGATATATACAAATTTACAAAAATATATAACTTACTTGGTTGAACTATCATCACTGTCTGATTCATTTGATTCGACTACTATTGAGGAATCATTACTACTAGTGGAATCATCTTCACTATCGCTCTCTTCACTTGATGATGTTAATTTATTTTGTCTATAAATTTGCATCAGACATTTTTCTAAAGGTTTACTTTGATTATTTTCACATTTTGTAGAATCAGAATTACATTCTGTTTCTGAATCAGAATTACCATATTCTATAGCAATGCTAACAAGTGAAGATACTTTAGTATATTCTGTTAGCAGGAAAGAATAAAATTTAATTGGATTTTTAATGAAAATTATAAATAATTATGTTTATAATGAATAAATTTAATACCTTTAGTTTGAGCTGATGGTACTATAGTTTTTTCATGTATTATACAGATGTCGTCATCTTTTTTTTGATTTAAGTTTTCAAGTATAATATTTTTGTTTGTATCCTGGTTTTCACTAGTATTGTTAATAAATATTTCATTTTTTTTAATATTTGAGATTTCACTTGATTTACTTTGTTGTATATTCGAATTATCTTTTTCTTTACAACTTTGTTTAATGTCAATATTATCAACTATAATTATCTCACAATCATCAGTAAGATAACTGTTCTCGTTGATATTAACTTGTACATTTTCCTTGTATGTTGATGAACAATTTTCACTAATATTTGGAATATAATTATTTTTTTCAATATTTAATACACGTTCCTCAATTGTATCACTTGAATTTTCATTTTCTATTATTTTTTCTATTATAACCTCATCCGTATCCATTATAATTTTATATTAATTGTTTGGCTATGATTAACAATTTATAAAAATAAACTTCACTTTACAATCCGTAATAAATATACAAAAAAAAAACAATTCCTTATACAGAATTTCATAAATTTTAAATATGCATATTTATTACTATCAACTGCGTGTATCTAATGCCACATGTCTCATATTAAGATATAGTATGATAATTCTTAAAAGCTATTTTGAAATATTACTTTTATTTTAAAAAGAAAAAGATAAAAAGGAAAATATTATACATTAAAGCGAAATATTCAGTAATTTTCTATATTTTTTAATCCATTTAAAACTGTATAAGTAAAAGATCAATATTTTATAAAATCTTTAATTATTCAAAAGCTTTCTAATATTGTATATTAATAATATAGTCTAAACTTACTTCGCATATGATAATATACAGAATGTCACGTTTAAATGTATACGGTTGAATGTCTCACAAGAGGTTAAAATCATAAACAAAAAATGTTTAATACAAAAATTGTTGTAATGTTATAAGTGATTTCGAAACAAATTTAACAACCTGCTATTTGATGCCATTCCAGGTAATAATTCATAAATTAAAACAACCGAATTTTTCCATTAACGCTTATTACTTAGATAACTGGTACGATTATTAACATTATTAGAAAGCTAGGGCTTTCAACTAACAAGGAGAGTGCAAGTCCTTCGGGTTACTGATTTAGTTGAAACTTTGCAGGTTTCTAGATATCGTCTTGCAGTTTCAGAAAATATATCATTATAGCCGCAACTACTCAATAATTTTTGAAATATTTGCGATTAAAGTTTTATTACTTGCTTAATTACACATTTATTTTCAACATCTTTCAAATTAAGTTGTAGCGTAACGGTGACGATGGACAATTGTTACATTGCAGGAGAGGGGTTCGGTTCTCGTCTATAGTTGGTTTTCCTTCTTCAATCTATTTTTTATTTTATATTCATTTTTCGCCTATGAAAACATTGTAAATTAACAATTGTAAATGAAATTTCTTAATAAAAAAATTTATTTTTTACGCTTTCTTATGCTAATATATATTTATTACAAAATAATAAGAATATTATGCAAGAAAAATACCTTTCTATAGCAATCTTATTTACTACAGGAAATACAAAACCTATCGCTCATGTAAGTATTAATTATTAAATTAAACATTGTATAAGAATGTTGCCTATGATTCCAACTTCGCTGTGCAGCTATAAATGTTCATGAAATAATTACAAAAACTTGGAAATTTATTAATTTTCTACAGTCGAATTGATTTCTAGTATCTAGTTCGAATTAAAATTTTACCGCCTGCGATTAGCACCATCTATGATTTTAGACCTAAAACTCAGAAAAGTAATAGGAACATAGAATAGGCGAGGAAGTCGTCGAACGAGAACATAGATGGCTCTAATATTAGTTTACTAACTCTGGTTATGTACTCCTAATATATTTTAATAAATCAAATCGGTAGTGGAAAATTCACTAATTACTCAATATCTGCTATTAATTTATGAACTTTTATAATTGCATCGTAAAGGCAGATCCTTTAAGAACTTTCTAATATAACTTTCAATATAAATTTGTCCCTAATTAATTAATTATTGATGATTATTCTACGGAGTGTTTGAATTGTTGTCGAAGACGCCATTGGTTTTTCATTAATTACTATCTTCTGCGTAATCAATTAATGAACTTCATGCACACATTATATAAATGATATCCTGGGGCGTCTTCACATATCACTTTTATTCACATTTTGATTCTAGTTTCGTTTAGTATTAAATATTTTCACGGACGATCGTGATGGTCGTCGTTACGAAATCATAGACGCCATGAAACAAAAATTATTAACTTACAATTTAGAGTTAAATTCTTTACGAAAATTATATAAGAATGTTGCCTGAAGTTCCAGCTTTGCAATGAAATTATAAAAGTTCATAAATTAATTACGGAAATTGAGTAATTTATTAACTTTTCTCTTTCGGAGCCCTTCTATCCTTTTCTATCCTGTCTCTATCCTTGTCTGCCACGTGACGAGCTCTTCGACGACTTCCTCGCCTATTCTATGTTCCTATTACTTTTCTGAGTTTTAGGTCCAAAATCATAGATGGTGCTAATCGCAGGCGGTAAAATTTTAATTCGAACTAGATACTAGAAATCAATTCGACAGTAGAAAATTAATAAATTTCCAAGTTTTTGTAATTATTTCATGAACATTTATAGCTGCACAGCAAAGTTGGAATCATAGGCAACATTCTTATACAATGTTTAATTTAATAATTAATACTTACATGAGCGATAGGTTTTGTATTTCCTGTAGTAAATAAGATTGCTATAGAAAGGTATTTTTCTTGCATAATATTCTTATTATTTTGTAATAAATATATATTAGCATAAGAAAGCGTAAAAAATAAATTTTTTTATTAAGAAATTTCATTTACAATTGTTAATTTACAATGTTTTCATAGGCGAAAAATGAATATAAAATAAAAAATAGATTGAAGAAGGAAAACCAACTATAGACGAGAACCGAATCCCTCTCCTGCAATGTAACAATTGTCCATCGTCACCGTTACGCTACAACTTAATTTGAAAAATGCTGAAAATAAATGTGTAGTTACCCAAGTAATAAAACTTTAATCGCAAATATTTCAAAAATTATTGAGTAGTTGCGGCTATAATGATATATTTTCTGAAACTGCAGGACGATATCTACAAACTTGCAAAGTTTCAACTAAATCGGTGACCCAAAGGACTTGCACTCTCCTTGTAAGTTTGTTGATTAACACGGTTTTCTTGCACCTTATAATACTCGGTTCAAATAATTATTTGTTAAATTTACTACGACTGTTTAAAATAACTGGTTGTTGTAGATGAACAATTTCAATAGCAATAGAATAGGAAAAAATATTGAAAAGTTGATTTTATGTATATTATAAGAGAAGTCATGAATTTATATGACGAAAATGAAAATATCAAATGTAGAATTTTTAATCAAAAGTTTAAAAATAATTGTTGAGATAATGATATGTTAACATATGTCTTTAGACAGGGAAAAGTTTTTAAAAAGATTACAAATGCATATTTTTTATGTTGGTGGCCACATTGAAGAATAATGTGCATGAAAATATTATTAATAAGTTTATGTTATTAAAAGTTTGATGGTTGATAATAAAAATTAAAAATGATCATGTGGAATAATGATTAAGTATAACACCAAGTTCATTTAGTTGAAACCTAAAATAAATTTAAATCAGATTAGATGATCTGACACAGCTAGATAGCATAGGCATACATATGAGATTTAATTCATGGACACCCCTTAATTATTGGAAAACCGACTACTATAATTTATGAATTATTACATGGAATGGCATCACACAGTGGGTTATTGAATTTATTTCTAAATCTACTATTATAATATCATTAAAAAAATATATGGTTCTATTAAAAAAAAATTAACATGATCTTAAAATCTCTTCTGCTAATACACACAAAAAAAAATTATTAATGCCATGCAATGTGTTCCATCATCCAAATTTTGTAAAAACGTATCTTTTTTTTAACTTTTGCTCTTTGTGAGATATCTGTTATATACACTTAAATGAGATACATTGTATAAATCATAACTTATTTTTATTAATGTATAATTAATATTTAAAAAATATGTGATATATTATATTTTATTCTCTTGTGATTACATTTACAATTGTTTGAATAATCTTTTTCCCACTTTGATGATTTAAAAGATTTAAAAGGGGTTCCTTCATTTTTTGTTCCAATAGTTTGATTAATTCCATCCTCATTCTTTGTAAAAGTTGAGCCACCTAAGATGAAAAATATATTTATAATATACTTAAAATTTTTATTTTAATTTTCATAAAAATTAATAACCTTACCCTATGTGATTCAACACTAAATAAAATCCATCCATCTTCCAGTGATACAACAAATATCCCATTATATAATTCTATTTTTAATTCATAATCAGAAAACAATATTAATGGTAGAATCGGTACCATTGATACTTCTTTAATAAATATTTTACTTGTCTTAACCTTTTCTTGAAATACTAGATATGGACTAGCAAAATAACCAATATGAAAATTGACAGAGGATGGATGGATACTGACAAAACCATCATTTTTAGTCTGAAATCTAAGTTCCTCAGGTTTTGGCTGTATTGGAATTGCTCCAGCAGACTGAACTTGAAAGGATTTTTCTGGTGTAAGAACTTTTACCACATTAGGGTATAAAGCTGCACAAAGTAAACCTTGAAGAAGTTTGTAATTATCATTATTAATATTGAGTTCAAATCCAGTAATTTCCAGAATCTTATCAACATTTGGTTGTCGTTTGGGTAAATTAATAGGGACAAAACCAATTGAAACTAATAATTCTAATAATTGATATTTTATATCTGCCAAAGTGTATAGAGTATGCACAGACAGATAATTTTGATTTGCAAATGCTTGACCTGCCCTATTGTTGTGCATATGTACTTCCAACCATTTCTGTAAAGAGAACATGATATCTCCTTATATTATAATTATGTTTTATATTATTTATGTTTATACCTTTACCTTGTATGCTTTGAGAATAGTTAGCTGATCAGAATTAGCAGTAAAAAATTCTTTTTTTGCATCAATTTCATGTCTTTTTTCAAAAGGTATAATAAATGGATTTTTATGCGATAAACAAGCTGCTATAGTAAGTGCTGAATCAAGACAACAAAAAATTGTACCAAACAATATTAATTTTCCAATTCGAACATTTACAGGTAGTGTTGCAAGATGGTGGCCTAATGGTGTTAATGTACATTCAGAATTAAATGCTCTAACATCTTGTAAACGTTTAATTGCACTACAAATATTTTCTTCTGTTGGTGGCTCCAACATTTTGCCTAAATAAAAAAAATGATAATAGACATTAGAAAAGTAACTAAAAATATAGAAAAGTTGTTACTACCTAAAACTTTATACAAGTCAACATATTTTCCTGTATGCAATAGTTGAATACGTAATAATAGTGGTTCTAAAGGAATTCGTAATATTTCAGGTATTGGTTGCGCTGAGAAGTGGTATTTGAATCTAAAAAAAATTTTTAAATTGTATAAATATTTTGAAAAATTATTTGGAGAACATTTATACATACTTGTACGAGGTATATAGATGAATGCATACTCCAGGCATAACACGTCCAGCACGACCTTTCCTTTGTAATGCATTTGCACGTGATACCCAACACATCTCTAAACTTTCCATATTTTGGTTTGAATTAAACCTAGTCTCTTTCATCTTTCCACTATCAATTACAAAAACACAATCATCTATTGTAATAGATGTTTCAGCTAAATTTGTGCTTAATACAATTTTTCTAATATCTTTACACTTTTTAAAAACTAAATTTTGTTCTTCATTAGATAAAGATGAGTGTAAAGGTATGATAATAAATTTTCCAGTCTTTGGTGTGAGATATTTATTGTCATTTAATCGATTTTTCAATGTAATAATTTCAGCAAATCCAGGTAAAAATACCTAAAAGTATAACATTACTTTAAACATATATTATTTCAATAATAAACAAAAGAAAAAAGGAAAAAAGGAAAAAACGAAGAAAGAAAATGTACTTACTAAAATTGACCCTGTTTTGGGGTAATTATGTTCACCAAAAGTAATCCATTCTAATATTGTCTCTATGAGTTCAAAATTAATTTTATCATGATCCATAACATATAAATTTTTGTGTGTTTGTTTACTATAGCCATGGTATCTACTGACAATTTGCATTAATGATAAATTTTGATCTTGGATAGATTCTTTAGGTGTAGCAGCAGACAAGCCTTCAACTTCTGCAGTTTCTAAGTCAATTTGGAGTTGTTCCCAATCACCTTTAATTTTACGCGTAAATTTTGAATTTTCTTCTAGAACATAATTTGTCCTTTCAAATATATCTTCCAAAAAAATTTGTTCTACAGAAAACGTTTTTCCTGGAATAGACAAAATAGGAGCTCCTTCAAAGTATGAAGAGAAGATTTCACTTTTAAGTGTTGCACTCATAAGTATTATTTTCAGATTTGATCTTTTGGGCAGTAATTCTTTTAAAAGCATCAATAGGAAATCACTAAAAATATTAAAATAGTTAAATCAAAATAGACGAATAAATAAGTTAAATAATTTACCTTTCAGCACTTCTTTCATGGACTTCATCTACAATAATATGTGTAACATCTGTTAGTTCTGGATTTAGTGAAAATCTTTGCAATAAGATTCCAGTTGTACAAAATGTTAACCTAGTTTTATTGGAAATTTTGCTTTCTAATCGTATTTGGTATCCTACTGTATCACCCGTGTGTTCATTTCTTTCCGTTGCAACTCTTTCTGCTACGCCTATTGCACTTATTCTTCGTGGCTGTGTACATATAATGTTAATATGTTCTTTGGATTCAGATCTATTAAGAATCCAATCATCTAATAAAAACTGTGGTACCTGAAAAATTATAGTTTTTTATATTATTTCATTATTTGAATTTATTATTTTTTTTTAATTAAGTTCATAACTTATTTAATTACCTGTGTACTTTTACCACATCCTGTTTCACCTGAAATTATAATAACTTGATTTTTATGTACTATTTCTAAAATTTCATCCATTTTTAACCAAGCAGGTAACATTTCTCTAGTTTCTTTCATCTTTCTATATTTAGGATTTGTTTGTTTTTCTTTAAAATTTTTTACAATTAAATCATCTTCTTTTAATATTTCTTCCTGACTAACATTATTTCTGCTTTTTCTATGAACAGATCCTAATTCATGATGTGTAGCAACATTTGTGTCACCTTCACCTTCTAAATGTTTTTGGAATAATAATTCATTTTGATCTAAAAATTGTTCTTTATTTTCTTGTAGATATTCTTTTATATCATATTCATTTTCCAAGAGAGATATTATTGGAAAAATAGAAGGTGATCCATCTACAGATATCAATAGTGCTTCATTGTACAACCTTCTTCCTATTCTTAAACAATTTATACTTGGAAATGTACCATCATTTTTATAAAAATAAAAATAAGGTGGTTCATAAGGATATTTACAACCTAATGAAATATTAAAAAAACAAAATATGATAACAAATATAATTCATACATTAATTGCATAATATTTTGTATTATAAATAGTTATAATACCTTCAGGAAATCTTATCTCTAAGGTAAAATATGGATCCTCTCTGTCAGGTATTTTTAATACCTGTGGTTGTTGATGTAAAAATTTACATTTATGTCCAAATCTACATTTTTTATGAATAAATAATCTACAAACTTCTCGCTCCTTTTCTTTTTCTTGTTTTTGTTTAATCTTGTGAATTTTTTGTTCTATCTCATCATTTTTTACTAAATAATCTAACTTGAGATTTACAATCCAAATTTGATTCTTTATTTTTTCAATAAACATGTCTTCATAAATAGATTCAAGAGCTTCTTTCTCTTCATTCTTTCTTTCTGATAAATCTAATGTATCAATGTCATTGGGTATCTTGTTTCTTACTATATATTCCAATTTATAATATTTATAAAATAGTACTTCTAAAGCTTTTCCTACATCACCTTTTGTATGTAGCAATGCCTCAATGCAATGTGATTGATGAAAACTTAAAAAAAACATATCTTTATTTATAAATGTTTTATATTTAAAATTTAATTACTTACCCATAACTTTCAAGTTTAGATGTTGCAAATTGTCTAGTAATTTGTTCATCAGTTTTTGGTGTATTTTCCTTAGAAGAATAATCAACAATTCCTTTAATAACTAAATTGCCTCTTTCTATCCAATACTGATTGCCTAAATTGGATCTTTTATTTTTAAATTCTGATGCATCAGAAAGTTTAAAACTCTGTCAAAAAACTATATTACTTTCTAATAATACATTTTATAAATATATATGTGTATAATATAAAATAAACAAGTTCATAACAATGTCTATAAATACATACAGAACCATATATGTGTTTTAAAGTATCATATAGTTGACATTCAGATTCTTCTGATATTCTTAAGGTTTGTAGTTCTGCTTTAAGTTTGTTTGAAATATGTAGGTTATTACTATTACTTTTATTCTTCAGTGATACATTCCTATAAAATACATGTATTTTTAAAACTTAAAATATAATTTTGAAATATATAAAAAGAATTTGTTGTATAATAATTATATTTAATATTTCAAATTATTGAGTTTGGAAAAATAACATTTTTTCTAATAGTGTAATTTTTTAATTATTTTTCTTTTATTACAATAGTTCTATTATAATGCATTAGAGGTTAAATTGTTTACTTACGTGCTGCTTCTTTCCACATGTTTTTCTTCTAATATAATGTCTTTCATTAATTCAGTGGTGGTATGATCCATCTTTGTAAGTTATAAATAATTTCGTTTTATATAAATTACTTTAAACAATATTTTTAATTAAATTTTGCAATATCCGAAAAAAATTAAAGTTAAGAAATAGTGAATGTATAAGCAGTGACAGATAGAAACATACACTCCGCGACAAAAAAATAGGACACTGTATTAGTTTGTTAAATTTTCGAAAGTTAAGTCCATGATAACAATTCTCGTGTTACATATTACTTTTCAATTATTCAAAGAATGCTTATCTTACAAATGAAGTTTATTATATTACTCTCTGTATTACCGACAGTTAAAAATGAAAAAATCAATGGTAACCACTGTGTCAAAAGAATAGATGCTTAAAAATATCTGTTTTTGTGTGGAGTGTATGAATGAATTTATATGCCATTATGTATTACCAGCAATTTTATTGGATGCATTATATTGCTTTAACTAATAAGATATCAAAATTAAGTTTTTTAAAAAGTCATTAATTGTTTTATTGCTTCTGTAAATGATATTAACAAATTAAAAATATAAAATATAAATTTATTAATTATAGGTATTATTTAAATAACTCATAATTTACTTTTCAATTTGATAAATAATAGCTTTATTGTAACCATAAAGCAGTACGAAATTTCCGCGAGGATGCCATTGTGCATCTAATATTGTAATATTTCGGGAAATTGGTATGCAACTTGCATTGTGCGGTGTCCATTCAAATATATGCGTGCACTCGCAAAATATTAGAAGATGAGCGCGTGTAGGATTCCATCTTGCAGCTAATTAAGAATTGTTTAATATAACTTAATTATAGAAAAAATATATTACTTATATAAAAAAAAATATATTATCAAAATACTCACCTCTAATAGTATTTTCAAGAAGTAAATAATCAAAATAATCGTCGATAATATTCCATATCCACAATGTTGAAGGATAAAGTTGATGTTTTATAACTAAATATTGTCCACAAGAGCTAAACTCTAAAATGTCAAACTTAGCTATTGATACTCTCTCGATATTGTTTTTCCTGTCAATCTTGATATTTATTGGACGTTCAGATTTCTCTTCCACTATAAATATCAATTTTTTAATATCAGTAATACTTATATAAATTTTGTAAAATAAAGTACCTACAAGTATGCTTATTGTAACAGGTTGTATTTTTATTAGAAAATTTTGATTGAATTATACGTTCTTCATATACTTTATTTAAATAATTTTCTTTGATTATAGGTTCAAGACATAATTGTAAAAGCGGTTTCCACGTCACATGATTTAATAATACGATCTAAAACATAAATATTTGCATTGAAATATCACTATGAAAAAAATTATAATAGGATGGAAACACAGTCGATTTAAAAAATATGTGAAATTATACCATTTCATTAAATCCTGTTATAGCTAATAATTGTCCACTGGGCATCCATGTTACATTTTCGATTCCTTTTAAATTTTTATAATTAGTGTATTCCATTTGCAATAAATTTATAGTTTGGGCAGGATAGAATACTGTAATATCTTTTTCTAATATGTTTGAATAAATAATTAGTTTTGTGTCATCGCTGAAGGAAGACCATATACATAATAATTCGCTATTCGGAGACCAGCATATTCCATCAATACTACTTAAACGTCCACATATTAATTTCTAGAATTTAGATATTTCAATATTATATTGTTAAGTATAAATGCAAAAGGATATTATAAAGTTTTTACATTTTTTTGTTTATTTTGATAACAAACTGCTCAACCTTTATACAAGAAGAAATGTTTTATTAAAAGTAAGTTAAAAGGATTGCAAAGTTTGAATGTAAGAAAATTGGCGGTAAAAATAGGGATCAAACTAACATCTAGTAACTTTCGTGTTTAATATGTATAGTTTTTAAAGCGAAGACTATGTACACGGTGCAAATGCATGTAACTTTCGAGGTTAAGTTAGTGTTTTGATAATCAGTTTACACACAATCAATAATTAAAAGTAAGATATGACAACTTATATATCATGTGCTTGCAATCAAGTTCCACATTCAGCTGATTGGGGAAAAAATGGATTGATTTGTTTTGCAGCATGTCATGCAGTTGCAATTTATGATCCATATATTTCAAAAATTGGTAAAGTAACAAACACACTTCATCGACACAAAGATCGTATTAATACTGTACGATGGATCAGACGAAAAAATTTAAAAGCCGAAAGAGAACTACTGTCAAGCTCAGTAGATGGAACAGCTATTATTTGGAGCAAAAGAAATGAACTCTTTATATGTAGCTCTATTATAGAAGTTGGTGATATCATCACATTTAGTAACTCATTATATATTTCTGATCACGATTTTATAAATGATGAAATATTGTTTAAATTATTAATATGTACTGGATCAATTAAGGGTGATTTAAAAATATGGTTGAGAGATATTGATGGTAATATAAAATGTTTAGAGACACTTACATTTGGTAGAAAACTACCAATAGAAGCTTGTTTTTCTTTCTTGCCAAATACAGATTTACCATTTTTGGCTATTGCAACAGAAAATTCAACAATTGAATTATATGTAACTAATTCTAATGTTGTAGAAAAATTACATTTTATAAAAGTTCAAACTTTAATTGGTCATGAAGATTGGATACGATGTATGGACTTTAATTGCAATATAGATAATAGTATCTTACTTGCAAGTGGATCTCAAGACGCCATGATACGATTATGGAAAATTTCTGCATATAATATAGAATTCTCAAATGATGAATTACATCAAAAGCAACAAATGTTTATGGTTAATGGCACAAAGTATAATATTACTTTAGAATCTGTTCTTTGTGGCCATGAAGGTTGGATTTATGGTGTACACTGGTTACAATTGAATAATAAGGATAGAATTTTAAGATTACTATCTTGCTCATTAGATAAATCTATGATTATATGGGAACCAGATAAAGTAACTGGAATTTGGTTAGAAAAAGTAAGAGTAGGTGAAGTTGGCGGTAATTCAATGGGCTTTTATGGTTGTAAATTTAGTGATAATGGATTAAATATATTAGCACATGGTTACCAAGGATCATTTCATATTTGGGAATACTCAAACAGCATAAAAAATTGGATTCCTAAATCTGTACCAAGTGGTCACTTTGCTGAAGTGGTTGATCTTTGCTGGGATCCAAATGGAAGGTTGATATTCAAAATTATAAGTATGATTCATTAAAAAAGCTATACAATTTTTATATTGTATTACAGGTTTCTCATTACTGCAAGTATAGATCAAACAACAAGAATCCATGCACCTTGGAAAAATGAAATAGAATTTTGGCATGAAGTTGGACGACCACAAATCCATGGATATAATATGTCTTGTTTAGTTATGTTGACTCCATATATGTTTGCTTCAGGAGCAGAAGAAAAAGTTATTCGTATATTTACAGCACCAGCAACATTTAAGAACTGTTTAATAAAAATTGCCAATGTTGATGATTTTAAAGATGTGGTACCTGACAGTGCATCTGTACCTGCTCTTGGATTAACAAATAAAGCAATATTTAATAATATAAAAATTGAAAATATTGAAACTAGTGACTTTAAAGATGAGGATTATATTCCTCCTATGGAAGAAGAGTTAATGCAAAATACACTATGGCCAGAATTACAAAAACTTTATGGTCATGGATATGAAATATTCTCTATAACTGCCAGACATGATGGGTCATTATTGGCAACTGCGTGTAAATCAACATCTCCTGAACATTCTGCAATATTATTATGGAGTACAAATTCATGGACTCAAGTTCAAAAACTTCTATCTCATCAATTAACAGTAACACAAATGGAATTTTCACCCAATGACAAATATCTACTATCTGTTTCTAGAGATAGAAGATGGTCATTATTTGAATATAAAGATAACATGTACATCTTAATTGCAATTAGTCTAAAAAAGGATAATCTCCACACACGTATAATATGGTGTTGTTCATGGACATATGATTCATCTTTCTTTGCAACTGGTTCCAGGGATGGAAAAATTGGAATTTGGAATCCAAACTTTACAAATGATAAAATTGTTCCAGCTACAAGTTTGGATGTAAAAAATTCTGTTACAGCACTTGCATTTTCATTACAAAGTATTTCTCAGTGTTCATATATTTTAGCAATAGGATTTGAAACTGGATATATAGAAATACATAAATTGAAAATGCTTTTTAATAATTTTGAATGGGAAAAATATATAGTATATGATTCTTCTCAAGCACATCATTTAACTGTTAAAAGGCTTAAATTTCGGCCACATAAAAGATATTTTAATAATTTGCAACTAGCAAGCTGTGGATCTGATCATACTGTTAAAATATATAATATAAATCTTTGTAAATAAAAGAACTTGTAAAATATTTATTATATTATAAAATATAAAATTGGACTTTAATCATAGATTTAAATCAAATTACTTACTTTGTTTAGCTTCCATGTGTCAGTTTTATAAACTTCTATATTATCTTTACCTTCATTTGTAACTACTGTTGCTAATTTATAGCCATTTGGACTAAAATATAACTTATGGAAAGAAGATTTTACATTTTGTATATGAGTTACATTTTGATTTTCCAAGGACCATATAGATATCTGAATCTGAGTATTTTAGTAATTTTATTAATTTTAATACATCAACTATAAATTTATTTAATATCAAGTAAATTTATTACTTACATTGAAATCTGATAATGTCAAAATGTATTTGCTATCAGGAGACCAAGTAACACTTTCTAAACCAGCACTACCTTCAATTAGTTTATATTTCCATTCAGGATAACGAATGGAATATATTTGAATAATAGCCTTTTTTATATTTGCACACAAAATATACTCACTATTTTTAGACCATTCTAAATACTATGATAAAATGAAAACCAAATTTTAATATTATAAAATAGTTTATTTCTTTTATTGTGATTAACATTTTATAGTATTAAATGATCATAGAAATCAAATAATAGTTATTTATTGTTAGTTTAATCATATACACTAACCTCGATTATATCTGGAAATACGAATGAGTGAATGGTATCCAATTTTTTATGATTCTTTATAATTAAATTCGTTTGATATGCAGTTGCAAAAAATCTTCCATCTTTAGAAAAATTACACAATTGATTATTTACTCGTATTATATCATTTTCTACTTCTAGCGACATTGCGGCACTATTAAATTATAACGTATTATTATAAAATTTCAATTTAGTCAATGTAACAAATATAGTATAATCAATACGAAATTAGTTTGAATAATATGAATAATTTATATACAATTTAATTAAAAAAAAATTCAAAATTTAACATGAAAATTTAAAAAGTATTAAATATTTTTCAATTGTATCATATTTGAATTTATACATGGATATAAATTTGTAGTTAATTGTGAATTGTAGCTCACACGGAGTTATGTTGGTAGTAATGAATTTGAAAATAATCATGCTCTGTGATAGTAACGGTGCAAACAGTGTTTGATTACAAACATTGTTAAAATTTATACTTCTCTGAAATAATAATAATTGAATAAATTCTTAAATGTTTTAATTTATAAATAAAGACAGAAAAGTTTATAAATTATTAATTAATAAAATGATCGAAAATTTTGTTATTCCTATAAATAAGGATGAACTTTCACAAACTCGGAGTGGACAATATTTCGTTGAAAAACTTGTTCCCATACGACTATTATCACAAGCCCTTGATGGTATTTTGTAAATTTTATAGATCTTCATATGATATTCTTCATTTTTATCACAATTACTTTAATCATATTTACAGAAGCTCGAACAGCATTCCAATACAATGGTGTTAATTTTATTTTCAAACATTTTGATACATTTTTTTCTCTAATTGTTTATGGAAATAAAATTGAATTGCCAATTATTATGCGTGGTTTTATCAGAATTCAAAAAGGTAAAAATTATTCTTTTTATATAGATACATTTTATAAGTATTATGATCATGTCAATTAATAATACTAATTTAATTACTACTTTGGAAGCTATTGAGACGTTAGTACTTGATTTGGAAAGTATATTTGAAAGAGGAAATGAATTAGAAGAAGAAGATAGGCTCAAATTTTTAAACATAAATAAAATGCTCGGATATTTGTTCTCTGGGCTTATTTGCCATATAAATGATGAAATTTCTAAGGATGTAAATGATAAATGCATAGGGAAGGTTTGTTTGATTTAAATAGCTTAATAATTTGTTGTTGTAAATTATATTTTTATTGATTATTCTTTTTATCAGCGTAAAAAGTCTGTGAAATCAGATATAGAAGAAGAATGGGAAATTAGTAGAGAGAAAGTATTAGAATATATTTATAGATTATTACAGTTACCACTACAAAAACTTTGGCAACCTCCTATTTTGGAGGATTCATTTATTACGTAAGTTTATTCGATAGAAAATATTTGTAGTTTTAAACATTATTTTAATACATAAAATATTTTATATTTTAGATTATTTACTAAAGTGTGCTATAAAATTTTAGAACAATGTAAAGATTCAAAGCAGAAATACATAAGACAAACAATTTTTGAGGTAAATTTTTATATTTTTATAAAAATTATTAGTTAAACTTGATTTTAATTTTTTTTTATTCTATTTCCTTTCTTAAAAAGATTTTAGGTACTTCAGTTAAAAAATATAACCATGGTATAAGCTGTGTAATAAGAATTATTCAGGTATGTATATTTTTAATGATTGTAAGTTTTGTTTAAATGTGAAAATGTACCTAAGTATGTAAATTATAATATTATAGTTGGTGAAATTGCATGATGTGTTAGCAGCTTATATAGCTGTTGGAGTTATTCAAATGATTAACAGTTGTGGTTGTAATGGTTTAATAAGAGAAATAATAAAAGAGATTGGTGAAAGTGAATTATCTGAACCTGATAGTCGCAATATATCAATATTTTTGGAAAATATTGCTACTACTGAACCAAAAATCATAATTCCTATTCTTGATGATGTAATGGATTATTTAGCTAGTGAGGTAAATTTCTTTATATTAGTTCAATTATAGTATGCATTTATTTCATTTTATACTGTTTTTTAGCACTATACTATGAGAAATTGTACTATTACTATTATACGTGAGGTTGTACAAAAAACATTAACTGGAGATGATCTCACACAAGAACAAAAAGATCAACGTGATGAATGTCTTAATAGCTTGGAAGAACATATTCTTGATAATAATGCTTATGTCAGATCAAAAGTTTTACAAGTTTGGCAACACTTATGTTGTGAAGGAGCTATTCCATTAGCAAGGCAAGGAAGACTTTTAGCTGCTACTGCATTACGTTTAGAAGATAAAAGTGCAATTGTAAGAAAACAAGCATTACAATTAATGCGCGCCTTACTACAAGGTAACCCATTTGCAGCAAAAGTGAGTATAAGGAATTACATTTATTTATGTAATTATTTTGCATTAAAGACATACTTATGCATAATATCAAATATATTTACAGTTAAACAAAATAGAAATTTCTAAATCATTAGAAAAAGAAGAAATAAAACTAAGAGAGCTCCAAACTGAAAGTGTTAGTAAAAGTGCTCGTGGTGACAATCAAAGATTAGAACTGTGGAATACATTCCTTCCAGAAATAAGAAAAGCATTAAAAAAAGTTATTAATGACAGAGGAAACAAAGATAAAGAGCAAGGTATACATGTACATTTTTTTCAGTATGATAAATATATCTAATTTAAATAAACATTCTTATTTTATAAATTAGATAATGAAACTGAAGTGGAAGATATCAATGTTGATATAGCATTTGAGCATGTCAGACACTTAATGTTAAAAGAAAAAATACTTGAAGCAGTAACATATTTATGGAAAGTTTGTATAAAATTAAAGCAGAGTCCAGATATAGAAAATCTGTCTCCTGAAGCAAAGGAGGAATGTCTATTTTTACTTTTATTAAAAACATTTATGGAATCTGAAAATAATACAAGTAATGAAAATGAAAGCACAAATAAAAAGCAGTTGACAGATAAGAAAAATAATGAGATAGAAGAAATAATAGCGATAAAACGAGTTGTAAATTATTTGAAAGTATGTTCTGAAATATTTCATATTTATTTTAATAAATTATTTGTTCAAAATTATTTAATAATAAATTTTTTCAGAATTGTTTAGAATTTGCAACTGAATTAGAAATTGCTATACCTATGGCAGAAAAGTTGCTTTTTTCTACTACAGCAAGTGATGCTATTGAAGCATGTGCTTTACTTGGAATTGCTTATCAATTTGGTGTAGCTGGAGCTGCAGATGCTATTCGCGATGCTTTGTTTCAAGTATTTCATCGTGATCAATCAGTGCGCAATAACATAGCAATGGTGTATAAAGATCTTTATTTAAATAAGAATGAAAATCAAAAGTCAAAACGACAAGAAACTCTTCAGTGTGTTAAATCATTGATTGATTTACTAAAGGGACTTCAACCAGGTCAAAGTCAAGCTTTGACTCAGCTTATTTCAACTTGGTATAATAATGATGATATCAATAACGAAATATTACAGGTAATAATGTATAAATATTATAATTTTTAATTTCATTTTTTTGAGCTGTGGGTAAATTATATTTATAATTTATTTAATAGGTTTTATGGGAAAAATTTTCAATGAAATCATCAGATACAGATTCATTAGATAGCAGAACTGCTTTAATGTTAATAACAATGATAGCTCAAGCTCAGGATGGTATTATAACTGGTAATTTAGAAGTATTAATAAAAGTAGGACTTGGGCCACGAGCAAAGACTGATCTTTTACTGGCTAGAGATACATGTAGAGCATTGCTGACTGTAAAACATAAAAATGATGATATTGAAAAGTCATTTATTAGGTATGCTAAATATAAGAATTAAATGATTATTAAAATATGTATATATGTACGCATGTATATATATATTACTATTGACAGGTATCCCAATGATCATGAAATGTTTAAAGAAATTCTTGCATTACTAATAGAAAATTTTACAAATTTAAAAGAGGATGGATATATTTCATTTGCAACTGATGCAATTAATGCCATATACCACGTAAGTAGTATACTGATATTGTACTAATAATATTATAACAGTTTTGTAATGAAACTTAACAATTACAAACTAAAATAACATTTTTAAATTCTAGCTAGCAAATCAGCCTGATCATTTAATAAAGCAATTGTTATTAGAAGTGTATATTCAGGGACAATTTAATAGTAATTCGTCTGAACATACTGTTTCATCCTTTTTGTTGTCTAAATTATTATATTTAATTGGACATATTGCAATTAAAGAAATGGCACATTTAGACACATCAGTTTATAAGGAATTAAAACGAAGAGATATTATACGAAATTTGAAGAAAGGAAAAAATTCCGATAAAAATGAACAAAATTTAAATATGTCTCGAAAATCGAATGCGGTAACAACTCCAAATAGTGCAAGACAAATAATTCGTAATAAAGAGGTATGTAACATTGTTATTTAACGTGTATGTTAACATATATATTATGTTAATTACACGTTAATAACATGTTAACATACTTGTATAATTTTTGTACTTAGACAAGTATAATTATGGAAGACAATGGAGAGGAGGCTGTAGAAGGAGCAGCAGAGGATGCAGATGCAGAATTTATAAATGATATTCTTGAAAATCATATTGTTACTGGAGATGGACTCTTAGTACAATTTATGTATGTCATAATATACTTTACACATTTATATACTTCTTACTATATTAATGCTGTTTCCATGAGTAAATATCTACATTTAATTTGTTACAGACCATTAGTGTTAGATGTATGTCAATATCATGATAAATATAACAATGAAGACATACAAGCTGCTGGAGCTCTTGCTCTCAGTAAAATGATGACAGTGAGTTCCAATTTCTGTGAAAAATCTTTACAACTTTTAATCACAATATTAGAACGCTCACCATATCCTGGTATTCGGGCTAATGTTCTTATTGGAATAAGTGATCTTACAACTAGATTTCCAAATCAAATTGAGCCATGGATAAAACACGTTTACGGCAGGTACTTAAAAGTAAAACTGAATTAATTTCAATTATATTATCATAATTAATCTAAAGCATAACTAATTTGTAGACTCAAAGATGAAGATATAAATGTAAGAAGTACTTGTATCCGAGTATTGTCGAGTCTGATATTGAGGGAAATGGTACGTGTGAGAGGTCAAATATCAGAATTAGCTCTTTGTATAGTTGACAAAGATACTCAAATTCGACAAGATGCAAAGCAATTTTTCAAAGCACTTTCACAAAAAGGCAATGCTTTGTACAATGTGATGCCTGATATATTGTCTCGATTGACTGATCCTGATTTAGATATAAGTGAATCCGATTTTCAGAAAATTTTAAAGTATGTATATTTGTAAAATGATAATAAATTAATTAATTAATTCACTGTTCAAAATGTTTCCAGGTATATCTTGAATTTATTACAAAAAGAAAAACAAGTTGATGCCATTATTGATAAAATTTGTACTAGATTTAAATTGGCTACTACAGAAAGACAATGGCGTGACTTTGCATATTGTCTTTCACTTCTACAATTTAGCGCAAAAAGTAAATAAGCAAACATATTCATATATAAAAATTTATTTACAATTACATTCAAAACTGTGTTAAATTTTATTTTTTTTTAAATTGAACAAATTTTATTTAGGTATACGCCATCTTATAGAATGTTTACCTCTATTGAAAGAGAAAATTCATCATAAGCAAGTTTTAAAAGCATTGCAATCTGTTATTGACCAAACAAAGAAAAAAGTGAATACAAAAGCAGCATGTATAGAATTGGAAGAAAAGATAGAGGAACTCCTTAAAGGAAGAGAAGATACAAATCAGAATAGCAATGAAGTAATGCCACCACCTCCGGCACCAAAATCAAGAAAGCGTAGTAGACGCACAAAGCACAGAAGTAGTAGTGAAGAAGAGGATGGTAATATCGATAGTGATTCTGAACCAATACCCGTAACTAAAAGTATGTTTTTTCTTAAAATAAAGAATAATTATTAAGAATCGAATTTATTAATTAGTATATTTTTGGTTTAGCAAGAAGTTCTAAAATATCAAAGTCACGAGAATCCAAATCGAGTTCTAGTTCGGATTCAGATACTGATGTACCATTAAAAACTCCTAAAAGACAACGTATGTATTATCTTTTAAACAAATAATTCTTTACTTATGTTTAATTATTACGTATTTTATATTAGCTAAGATAAATACATCTACACGAAGTGTAATCCGATCAAGTCGGAAAAAGCGTATCGATTCAGTTGCAATCACACCATCATCATTGCCAAAAGGAAATGAGAAACATTCAATATCAGTGCGTTCTTCAGAAAGATCTTCGGCACGTTTATATCAATTACGAGCAAAAAATTAAAGTTTGTACATATATACTTGATATATGATTTTATATTTTTGATATCCTAGGTTAAGGTCAAAAAGTAAAGTAAAAATATATTTTTATTGCTTCATTATTTTAATAAAAACTCAGTAAAATATAAAAATGTATTTTTTGTAATTATACCTTTTTTTCATAGCATTAATAATAAAATTAATAAAAATTATTTTCTTTTTAGAAAATATACTAATTAAAATAGTATATTATAAAAATATACTAATATTACTGGTTTTATAAAATATAAAATATTATAGATAATATATATTATAGATAAATATAAAATATTATAGAAATATTTATTTTAATAAAAATTATGAACACGATATAACATTTAGATAATTAATGATAATATTATGTATCATACATATCACAACAAAAGGAAAGAATAAAAAATAATGTATGATTACATATATCAAATTGCTTAATGCAAATAACTTTGAAAGCTTTATACATTCGTGGCTACATGGATTTTCCAGTCGTAAGGAGAACACTGTATTTTATTATGCATTTGTGTACAATAGATACACTATGTGATATTGTACGTCGTGAGAAAGACTAGTGTAAAAATCTTATATGTTAATACAGTTTCGACACATGTATCACTAATATTAGGAAGAGATTTACATTTAACAATTGTTATACCAAATCACGACTAATACTACGTTTAAACGTCATAGAACGTACTTCTGTTCCAGGCTTCCCTGATTTACAAAGACTATTAGAATTAGGATTTGGAGTAGGACTTTGCGAAAGCGACGCTCGCTCGTCATTAGTATTAGATTTTTCTCGTTCTAATCTTTGTTTACTAAATTTTCCCATTCCAGGACGATAAATTTCCATGGTAGGACGATCCTATTATTTTATAATAAAATGTATTTTTAAAGTAAATTTTTAACGTAAATGGTTAAATAAACTTAAATAAATAACGTATTTTTAATATTTTAACCAAAATTACATACCTTGTTTCTAATTCGACGTTCTAATCGTGGATCTTTTTTATCTTTTTCTTTGTCATCATTTTCAGTCTTTTGTAGATTATTTTGATCTCCTCCATCTAAAGATTTGTGCCTTCTCAAACAATTTCCATCGCCTGTACCACCTTCGCCTCCACTTTCAAGTGAATTACGCCTCTTTGTGACTTTTGAATCTTTTTTTTCTTCAGATTCATCATCTTCATTAGTTTCTTTATTAATATCTTCATTAGATTTTGACTTTTCAACTTCTTTATTGCTTTCAACAGTCGTTAATATAGTTTCTATAAATATTAATATATTAGTATTTCAAAAGTAAAATATTTATACTAGAAATTTGTATATTTAATTGTATTATTACTAAATTTATACCTGTCCTTTTCTGTTCTTTTGTCTCAAAATCTTGCACAGAATCTTCTATTAGAACTTTTCTTTCATAGGTTTCTTGTTTTTCTTTTCCCTTACTATTCTCAATATCTTCTTTATCATCCATAGGTTCTTCATTTTCTTTAATATTCTCATATAAATCAACTTGAGATTCCTTCTTCTGAAATTCTTCATCCTCGCTTCTTAATTTTGGACTACTTTCTGTATCGACATTAAATTCTACATTTTGTTTTTTAGTTTCTGCAAGCCTTTTTTTTTCTTGCCTCATTTTTTCATAACTTTTACCTCGTTTCTCCTCAATTTTTCGTTCCCTAGAATCTTTAAACTCTTCTTTAAAATCATATTTTCTCTCATCTTTCCCATCAAATCTTTTATCATCTTTTATACCCTCTCTTTCATCACGTCTTCCATATATCTTCTTCTCTTCGTGTCGTCTTTGATGTTTTATATCTCTATCTTTATTTCTATCTTCAATTCTTTTTAGAATCTCGATCACGCGGTACCTTGTCACGTAATTTATCCTCTTTCTTAATACGGTTTTTGATGTCTTTGGGTGAAAGTTTATCCTTTTCCTCTCTATTTTCTTTATTATCTTTACACATTTCTTTATCAAGATCTGGATTTTTCAAAACCTACAACAAAGTAAAATATTTATTTTAAGTAAAACATTTTTACTAATTTTAATATTAACAGATTTAATAGAGTTAATGTGATAAATTGAATAATAAATTACAATAAAGGAACACAGAGTTTTCACTTTTTTTCTAAAAATAGTTTCTTTTACAAAATTTAATGTATACAAATTAAACAGTAATAAATTAATTACATCTTAATAAATGTATATAAATTTGGAATACAATATTAAACGGAAACAATATATGGCATTGAACTAAATTGCACAAGTGATAAATAATTCTTTAATCCTCATGGTCTTTTAACATGTAGTAAATAAATACATAACATAAATTTCTCTGCTAATCATTTGCAGTTCCTAATTCATGAAGTTCTACGATATCCTGGCAATCCTGTTTCACATGTTTTAAAAGGATAAATTTTATGATAATCAGACACAGCACTGCAACTTCTTGCCTTTGATACTTCAGCTGGCATTTGCATCTTCCAAGTTTTGTGTAAATTAGTAAATTGAGATTTTGATAGAATAGAAAAATAGTTTTTATTATTAATATAATGAGACATGCACTTAGTATTATTATAAATATAATTATTTTTAACATTACTCCAATGATAATAGTTATTTTTTCTGCAATTAGTATCTTTTTCTTCGTAATTTTTTTCATAAATATAAAATAATTTTTGTTGTTTATTAGTGTAATGACAACGTTCATTAACATGAGGCACACTTCTAACACAATTTATATATACTTCTGTATGTTCGTTTTTGTAATACTGTTGTTGCATATTTAACAAACTTTTGTTAGCTTGTGTTATAGTTGTAGTACCACTATTAGAAACTTCTTCTTTGTACTCATGAAGTATGTTTAAATTTTCAGTATGATGATCAAAATACATATCTTCGGACTTGATAGTTGAGGAATTAGAAAGGAAGGAATACTTGGTATGATTATCTTCAATATTACATGCAGACTGTAGGGTGAAAAGATTAGTATCAGCAAATACAGTAAAGAATACAATACTTATAATTTACATTTAATGTATTGCTATAATCAGTTTTCTTAATATATCTGATTAATAACCTTTTCTATTCTATACTGTATTTGTCATGTTTGGAATTAATTTACTTTTAATTCATCAAAAATAATAAATAAATACATTATAAGATGTACTGTCACCTTAGATATAATAGGATCTTCCTTTGTTCGTCTCCTTTCTAAATCTCTTCGTCGTCTTTCTTCACGTTTCTCATCTCTAAGACGTTGTTTTTCTTGTTTACGTTGTTTTACATACTCCAAAAGAGGTGTGGTTGTAACTTTTTTTGGTGTATCTATGATGAAAGAATAAGTATAACATAAATAGAAAATAATGTGATAGTCTAACATATCAGTTGTACCAAAATAACTTACTATCAGGTGGTTGATATGAGTATTCTGTTTTTGGCTGTGATACATTAGATTCAGCATCTTGATTCTTAAGACTTTCTAAGAAACTTACATAATAAGGATCTGATTCTATTGTACCACATTTCAAATCTTTCTTTTTCCCTATTCTTTTTTTTGGCAACCTTTGGAAAGGTGCAAATTCTACTACTGCTGGATATTCTGTGCCTTTAGAGTCAACAAATACATAATTATCAAATTTTTCTCTGAACATAAAAATATCTTGTTGCTCTACAAAGTTAATATAAGCACGGGAGAAAGCATATTGACCCATAGACATGTCAGCTTTTACAAAATAAAGATAGTCATGTTCCGGCAATGGAGAAACTTGTTCTAAGAATTGTTCTTGAGTCATAGTTGGAGGTAATCTCCGTATTACTACCTATAAATATATTTTACTTCTTTCATTATTAATTAAAATTGAATTAAATACATAACATATTAATTTTTATAATGATTATGAAAATTTGTACGAGTTATTATCATATTAGTATCAAATATTTTCTACTTTTTATTTAAAAACTGAGATAATAAAGATATCACATGACTTATAGCAGTGTCCTTTCCATTTTCAATAACAATGTTATATTTACTGTTATATAAAACGGAAAATTTGTTTTTTTATATCTGTGACAATATTTTATTTACAATGTATTAAACAAATAGTATCTTTTTATAAAATCGTGTTATAAATTTTCCAAAACTCAAAAATTAAGCTTCGATCTTTGATTTATTAAATATATCATGTTGTAGATAATTAAAAAATATTTTATATAAATAATAAGAGGCTCGTAAATTTTCGGCATCATTTTAGTCAAATATACCTTCGTCATAGGTCGACATTTTTCTTTTTTATTATCTTTAACTTTTCCAACATCTGGAGAACTAGTTTGTGCCTCATTTTGTGCGACTGTCTCAGATTGTTGTGTTTCCTCAGTCATTGTCATCTACATTTATTTAATTTCTTGATAAGTTAGATTTATTTTGTGTCAATTCAATACACTCTAAACAAAAATAATATTTAAAGCATGCAATTTTTCTTCAGTCATCAAAATAAACGTTTCCGTTTACAAAGTTTTCGCGGCCATCTTGTTTCACTAAATCGTGAAAAAACTATTGGTTAAAGAAAAAATAAGTCTTCACTCATTGGGGAATTTTAAAATATATATACATTTTACATCTAGGGAAATCAAATCAAAACATAAAATTTATTTTTCTAGATTGCAATATTCGAAGTCAAATAAAATAATACTACGCTATCGAATGTAAACTAGTTGTTTATTTGATGGTAGAAATAATTTATTTCATTAATAATCTAATACATAAAATTGTACAAACATATTTAATGTTTACAAAATAGTTTATTGTCTACATTTTAAATATTTAAAATAATTAATCATATTTGTATTATATAACAATTCACAATTTAGTTAATAATATTTTGTAAAACTAATTATAATATTATTTTATGTTAACTTACATAAAATAAGTATACAGATATATCATAGAACAAGTTACATAAGTTAATATATTTACACAAATAAAATTTAATTATTTAATAAAAATTTATAATCTTCTATAACTATCACGTTGTTGAGATTGAGAAGCTGACGTTAATGTTGAATAAATAAATGGTAAAATTGATGCTAATGCTAGACAAAGTCCTATTACTGGTCGGTACCATACCCAAGCAAATCCAATTACTAGTAGGCTAATAGACATTGATACAGACATTGTCAAAGATTCAACTGCGATTATTCCACATAAGAATGTTGAATTTAAAATTACTGTCCTCAATATATTTGCTAAACATGTTGCTGCTAAAAATAAAACTAACCAACCAAGTCCTCTGTAATAGTTAATAATATTATAGTATAAAATTTTAAATTAAGGAATATCAAAATATATTATTTAAATTACAAAAACATTACCTAATACTCCATGTACGCCAATAATTGTGCACATGTTCTAAATGAAACATTTGATCTACTGATATTTTGTGCTTCCTTTGTAGTAAAATTTCTTCTCCATGTGATGTAATATATGGTACAATATTTCCTTTTTGTAACATGCCAACTATAGAATATATATCTCCTCCTTTTCCTGCATAGGAGAATTGTATGCGTATATCACCTACCTATAAACAAAAATGTATATTTAATCAATTTCTTAAATTTGTAAAATATTTAAGAGTATTGTTATACCTCAGGTTGCCATAAATTAGAACTATGATAATATAAACCAGAATGCATCTTAATATCTTTACGTTCAGGTCTTTCATCACTAGTAACTTCTACAAAGTCATTAAATTTCTTTTTTAATTCAATCCCAAGAGTGAATTCACCAATCTTAACTTCATCTGCAATTTGTACTTGACTTTTAATAGGTATTTCTTTTGGATTATGATGACCAGTTCTAATATAAAAATGATCTGAATCAATAAGTTTGTCCTTCCATTCTGTTGTGTAATAGTAATGTTTTTCTTCTTCTGTTACTCCTCCAAAACTAATGTATAAAAAGTATAAGTTATAAAAGTTTATTTATAATGGAACTATAAGTTTTATAAAAAATTTACCTTCTTTCTTCTTCTATTTCAACCCATTGGTACATCTGAACTCTTCGTTTTAATTTCACACTTGACACAATTACACCATAATCAGGTTCAGTTAATGGTTCAGATATTTTCAATGGGCCTGATAAATGTATTAAACGTCCTTCATATTCAGGTAATAACTTCATTGCGTTTGGAAGTACTGCTACATTACGTAAAGCTTCATCTAAAGAATGTGCTACCTTCACTGCCCTTCCCTATAATATTAGAAATCTATATTTATAATACAAATTTTTTTATTTAACTAGTGATACAAACATTTACAAACCTCATTCCAAAATAAAAGACACATGCCAGTTGCAAACATAATAAGACCAATAATAGCAGTTAACCATGATTCTCTAAATTGTTCAGAAACTGTCATTGGAATATTTACAGGAGGAGGTTGTCTTCCATTAATTCGATTTTGATGAATGGGTTCAGTATTTGCCCTTTGGGGCTGTCCATTTTGCTAAACAATGTGTTTCATATTTAAACTATGTCATAAACATCCCCAAAATAACATAAAATATCTAATGCATAAGTAATTGAAATATTATACAATACTTTATGTCAATTAAAAATGAAATTTAAAACGAAGTCAAGTTAGGAATAAGTAGTTGTTATGCTTACATTTGCACGATACATTTTAATAGATTACATTATATAACTAACAATTTTTAACTTGTTTACTGAAAGCAATGTCGTTCAAAATAACATTTTATATATAATTTCAAATAAATATTGGTTTAAAGTGTATACATTTTGATTGCATTTATTCACAAATCAGTTTGTGTATATTGTTTAATTTTACGCATTTTATGTCATATATTTCAATTCATACTGCATACATTATAATTGTTATATCTTCGATAATGCTTCGATAATCGTGTATAATAGTATGAAAAATTATGATAGATGGCATTTAATTAGGATCTATTTTATTACATATACGCCACCTTAATTCGATAAAATTTTTCTTCCTTTAACTTCTTATTATATGGGAAGATCGTTGCGCCCTCATCTGTCATCCACCGAGTTCGATCTTTCAGAGCAGTTCACATTCAAAGCAGTGTATCACATAACGTCGCGATTGATAGTATTCTATAAGCGTGAGTGCAAATTTCGGTTTTAATGTAATAACATCGTTTAAGATTATAATATATAAATAGGGTCAAAATTAATGTTCAGCACATATAATAAATTTAAAAAATTTTAATTGCTAGTATATTATAAAGAAGAATCAAAATCTTATAAAATTTTATTAGTTATAATATATTATTGGAATATTGGAAATAATAATAAATAACATTAATAAAATTAATATCATAGAAAAATAATCCCATATGTATGAATGTTGGATAAAATTTTAGCAACAAAGTATTTAGTGCAAAATTAAAATAATTGTTTTTTCTTGTAAACTTATAATACATATATTTTTTGAATAGTCTGAAAGTGATAAGTATGACATGTGACAAAAAAAGATGTTGAAAGAATATTACACAATAGAATCTAAGAAATAAAGTTAAAGCAAAACAGAAGAGGAAAATATTATTAGCATGAAGTGGTTAATAATTTCATGTATTTTGTGTGTATTTGGTTGTTTTAAAGAATTTAGACCTTCAGAATCTTTCATAACTGATTATTTAGTAGGACCATGGAAAAATTTTACAGATATTCAAGTAAATATATTATATATAATAAATTCGTGTAATTATAGAAATTATGCAAAAATTTATTTAATTTGACAATATAATAAATTCTATATATGCTGTAGAATTTTATTTCATTTTTAATAATAATTATGAAACATATTTGTAGCATAAAATTTCATAAAATTATCATTATTTTTCAGGTAAATCAAGAAATATTTCCTATTAGCACATATTCCAATTTTGCAACATTAGTTATTGTATTTTTAATAACAGATTTTGTACAATATAAACCTATAATTATTTTGTGTGGTCTTTCTGGAGCTACTACTTTTCTTTTATTAGTACTTGGACAAGATATTTGGATTATGCAAATTGTAGAATGTTTTTATGGCCTATTTCTTTCTACAGAGGTTGCATATTATACATATATCTATGCTAAAGTTGACAGAAAACACTATCAAGAAGTAACTAGTCATACAAAAGCAGCATGTTTATTTGGTCGTTGTATGTCTGGTATTATTGCCCAATTAACAGTATCTTTTGATATATTAAATTATCATCAATTAAATTATATTACAGTAGCAGGTAATTATTTGTGTGTATTTATTTAAATATCTATATAAAATAGAAATTACAATTTTTATATTAATGCCCACTGATAAAAATGGAGTGTATTAAATTTTATCAGTAACATTGCGAATGTTGTTAAATTGCAAGAACTTCTTTGTTTTCTCAAGTTTTTAAATTAAATTATTAAATTTAAAAAAGAAGACAAATTGCAAAAAGTTTAATTTTTATCTTATTTTTAAATTTTGTTATTGTATTTGTAATAAATATATTTATTTTATTTAAAATTATATAAATTATAACTATTGCAAAAAAATTGATAAAGTTATAATTTACTACATGACAAAACTTTTACTTTTCAGCTATTACATTTGCAACAATATGGTCATTTTTTTTACCTTCAGTTGGTCAATCTATCTACTTTCATAGAAAAGGTAGCAATCATGCAAATTGTGTTTCTTTAACACAGAATGCAATAACTACATTGCAACAAAAAAATTGTAATCAAAAATTGCACATACCTGAACAACAAAATGTGTGTTCTTCTCCCAACACAAATGTTTCATTGGTGCATAAAGTCAAAGAAGTTTACCTTTTATTATGGAAAGATTTTTTAGAAGCATATTCAAATAGTCATGTTGTAAAATGGTCAATATGGTGGTCATTTTCAACTTGTGGATATTTACAAGTTATTAGTTATATTCAATTATTGTGGAAAACTACAGTATTACCTGGAGATAAAATTTATAATGGAGCTGTAGATTCTTTGTATACAATTATAGGTAAAAAATTATTTTTTATAACATAATTAGTACAGCTTAATTAATATCTAAATTATAATAATATCTAAAAATATAATAAATTAATATCTATGATAAAATATGATATTTTAGCTTTAATAAATAGGGTCCACTAATTGGAAATAAACATTTTATATAATTTACATAAGATTTTTTTCATCTAAACATTTTATATTACATGATTTTGAATTTCAATTTGATAAACTGAATTATAATAATTTTATTTTTATTAATAGGTACAATAACTGTTTTCTGCATTGGAAAGGTACCACTTAATTGGTTTTTAATTGGAGATGTAATAGTATCATTTATGTCTTTTGTGGAAGGGATTTTGTTAGTGATATCTTCATATAGTTATAATATTTGGTTATTATATGCAGCATATATAATATTTGGAATCATTTATCACACAATGGTTACTGTTGCAAGGTTCAATTTCACATCAAATTACATATTAAAAATAGAATAATAGATTATATTTTAATGTTTTATGTACAATTTATAGCTTTGAAGTTGCAAAATGTATATCAGAAGATAGTTATGGTTTAATATTTGGTATAAACACTTTTTTTGCACTATTATTGCAAAGTGTATTAACAGCTATAGTAGTGAATGGGAATTTAGAATTAGATCTGAGATCTCAGGTAAGGTTGTTCTTTAAATGTATATTAAACACATGTTTCATAATTATATAAACTTTGGTAGCTGAGGAAACTCATAAAAATGAATAGAAAAAATATTAATAAATATTAATTAAAGAATAATTTATATTGAAATTTTATATTGTTTATTTTATTAATTTTATTTATACAATATTTTTTTCTAATTATAAATTACAATATTTTTAAATTTCATTGTGAAGATATAATTGTAATAATTTTGCAGTTAAATTTTATTTATTAGGAAGATTTAACTTATTTATAATAATACTATTAACTTCCATAAGTGTCATGTTCGATACTAATAACGTATGATTTAATAATTTTAAAACAATATATTTAATAGAATAATATATTGTAATAGTAATAGGTATTTCTAACTTTTATAACATAAAATTATCAAAAGGTAGAGTTTTTTTAAATACTTATACATATAACAAAAAGTGTTAATATGACAATTCTAGTTTAATATATTCCAAGTGTAATACTTATACAAAATCACTTGCATTTTTATACAGTATGGTCTTTTATTGTAGTACCATATACCTATAATCACAGATATAGCTACTTGATTTTTTTTTAAATTATATAAAACTTTAGTTTATTAAAACTCATATAACATGAATATGTTCAATATATGAGAAACGTGAAATTTAATATATATATGTTAAAATAAGAAACTATTATATGATGATAACAATGATAAATAATAATTAATATTCTAGATATATATTTATTAAAGTTTTTATATTCCTTTTTATGAGGTCTATTAGCCAATTAGATTTCTACTTGTAACACTGAAAAATCTTACATTATACTTTTTTCTAGTATTTTGTTTATGGTGGTTATTTTATTGCCCTATCAATACTTTATATGATAGTAGGCAGTTTAAATATCATACAGCATTGTAGGAAAGGCACAGGATTTAAAATATGGGCAAAGGATAACAGAAACACTGAAGATGAAACAGTTACCAAAATTACTAAGCTTTAACAAGTTCTGTGATTTTTAGGAATTGAATTAATCAAAATTTATTTTTTTTGGAAGTGTAATATTAGTGTTTAGATATATAATAATTTAAAAAAAGATTATTAAATAGATAAATTTTTATAACAATTTTTAAAACATTGTTATATAATTTAGATATTTTTTTATTACCTTATTTTAAATACAGATAAAATGCAGTATTATATTTTAGTGTTTTTTTTTACATAAAAATAAGTGAAAATTATGATGTAACTACAAATTATGTTATAACATAAAGTATTGTGAAAAAACTGATATACTGTAGAAGATACATAAATATTTATGAATTACATGACTTTGTACAGAATGTAGAAAATATTAATATCAATGATTCCTATAAAATTAATGTTTTAAAATTATATTTATATAATTATATATACTTAAGAAACATATTAAAATTTTATTTGTTAATAAATAAAGTTTTTATAAGAAATTTGTGATTTAGGCAGTACATTTATCTTCCGTCTTTAGTAATTAAAAGTAATCTTATTTTATCAATTACGGATTCTTTACATTTCTAAAAATATAAAATAATTCTTTAAAATACAAATTCTTTGTATTTAAATTATTCAAATCATTCATTTTTTTAATTGTTCAAAAAGTTACTTGTTTATTGTTTAAAAGACTTACAAATGAGAACGTTTGGAATAGGCATCTTCCTAACTCGCGTCGAGGGTTTGCATTCTTGTCGAAATGTTTGAATAATTTCCACCAAGCTGAACAATCCTGTATACTCTGTTTGAATTCTTGGTTAACTGTATCATCCATTGTATCATTTCGTATTATAGATACTACAGATTTCAGTTCGATTACTTTTGAAAACATACAAGGATAATTATTACAATCGTTTAAGTGCATATGTAATTTATCCAATAACAGTGTGTCTTTTAAGCAAATTTGTAATATCTACAGAAAAGTGATTAATTAGTATTTACACATATGTATATAAAATAAAAGATTGTGTATATGCGATTTTTCGTATATGTTTTGGATGTGTTTATATATATAAATGTTCCAATTAATAAAAGTTATGTGTATTTTTATGTATCTTATTCTTTTTCTTCAATCTCTAATAATATACATATTATATATGTATATTACTCGTACCAAATTTGACGAAATTAGTACAGGATATACTTCAAATATACTTGAATTTAATTTATCATAATATGTATTTGCGATAGTGCCTTGTGTCATAGCTGTATTCGATATCTCAAAAATATGACCATTACATAGTGATAACATCAATGGCATTCCTATATTAATATTACACAAAAACTGTGATAACTTATTCAGGCGATATTTTAAAGATTATTTAATAGATTAAAGATTGACTTACTATGATGATAGAGAATTATTATACTCAGTATTATTATTAACATTATACAAATATTTTAATGGGTTGAAAAATTTGCACAGAAACTATATGATTATAAATATACATAATACATAAAAGATATTGTTTTTTATCAAAATTTAGTCGATATAGTCGAATTTGTCAGTATTCAAATAAATTCATTCATAGCAAAAATAGTATATACATATGTTACTATAAGACTCTGAAGATTGATAAATCCTAGATTTTACTGGTAAAATTTAACATTTATCATAATGAAACGACAAATGTCAAAAAACAGCTTGTAAACGCTTCTATTTTGGTTTTTTACTAAACCATTTCTATAAATGCTGGGATTTACCAACAACAGTTGGTAAAAGTTTGTTTTGATTAATTGAAAGTATGCCTTTAAAGTAAGTAAATTCTAGAATTTACTGGTAACCCTAGGATTTTTCAATATTTGGGTTTTTACAATAATATTCACATGTATATACGGTAAAATCTAGGATTTTCTAATTTGCAGATTTCTACTATAATATATACGTGTATACATATATGTAGTATAGTTTAAGTAAAACTATCAATGAACTTTTTATTTGAACTTAAAATATATAAATAATTGTCAAAAAGTTAAGAATTTTATAACACTGATCTGGTAATGTTCTTCAATTGATAGGATAAATATACATATAGTTTATTAGATGTATAACATAATTATTTTTATATGTATTTAAAATTAATTTAAAATACAAACGAATAAGTTTTAGACGAAAATAAATATTTATATATATGAGTGATAAATGCACGACTTAAAGTTTATTAGATGATATTAATGTAAAGCTATATTACATTAATCTTTGAATCGCATCGAGAACAACAGGTTCACAGGCTTTTGCAGCTTGTTGCACCAAGCAAAATCCTACTTTTTGAAGACTGGATAATTCAGCTCGACCATCCGCTAGAGAATATTCTTCTAAGTTGATCTGCGGTGTTTTTGCCATTGTTAAATGCAATCTGTTAAGCTCCAATTCTTCTTTTGGGTTTAACAATTCTGAAAGAATGATTTTTATATAATTATCTATATATAAGGTCTCGACTTTGAAATTTGTTTAATGCTTCTAATTATGAAATGAGTATTTTGATTTTTTTAAATGTATTTTCTAATCATTACACACCACAAAAATAGATAGTATGTTAATATAACGAAAACATAAGTTAAATTTTTATTGCCCTGGAAAAGTATAATGTGAAATAAATCGACTAATAAATAAATAAAAATATCAAAAATATAACATTATCATTGGACGAGAATTTTTAACTCGTATTATCTGGTACGACTATTGTAAAATTATTTGTGTTATATTATATTTTTATACTTTTAGTTTCAAGTCTTGTAATTTTATTTAGTAGTTTCTGTTCAATGGCTTTCATTTTTTTGACTGTACGTCTCTTTTTCTTTATTTCTTTGTCACGTTTCTTTTCCTTTGCCTTTTTAAAATCCTTTTTTGCCATTCTTGAATAACGTAAATTTTCATTCTTCTTCGAAAATTTCTTTTCTCTGTTCTTTATCTTCATGGGAAAAAAATATTAAAAAACTTATTAACTACTGACGAACTTATTGACTGACTCACATGTACGTTTAATCGCATACGAGTTAATCTTCTATCCTGAACTTCTTTGTATCTTTGCCAGAGTTTTCCACAAACTTCAGCTGCATGAAGCAATTTTGATTTTAATCCGCGATCAGAAAGATCATTAAAAGATGACACGATTTTTCCCATATTAAAATCATTTTCTCCTCCACCCTGATTATCAATTATAATTCAATGAAATAATAATTTCGTAAAATACTTATTAACTTATAATTAAAAATAATATTATAGGAGAAAATCCGACAGTACCGACACTCAAAAGTTTTGTCATTATACCTTGGAATAGAATTGATGGAATTTAAATTCGAAAAAAGTAAATCGTCATCGATTTTCTAGATCTAATCGATTAATTATGGAATATCGAATTACAAAATATATAAACTTAAACTTTATTTTTATATGCACCCCAAGTAAAATATAGATACTTTCTTGATCTGTGCATTTACCAAGAAGCAATTTTAAGGCTGCACTCGTGTTCTCCCTTGACTAATTTTCCTTTTTTTTGAAACATTTTTCTGCGAGGAAGCCAAAAGATTTATTCTCTAATTTATTTTGAGTCACGAACAGATTGCACTTACTGATTGAAAAAAATTCGGTCGACACTAGTATAGGCAGTACTAGTTCGGTGTTACACGACAAACACATCGAAACATCTTAGATCATGAGGTATCAATGTACATAAAAAATTGCAAAATTAGAATGTTTCATTATTCTCAATAGATTACAAGTACATACAAAAAAATTTAATCAGTTATTTATCTAAAAATCCAAAATATGAATGTTGAAAAATAACTTTCAACGCACGGACCTATAACATACTCACATAATGCTTCATAAAATCGAAAAACAATGAACAAAAGTATAATTTTGTCGGTATTGTAAGATTGTCGGTGCTGTCGAATTTTTCCTTAATTATTACTGAAAATGTAATATTTTGTTGACTGTTATACAGCTTTTTCTTAATTTTAATAACTTTTCCTAGTTTTCGTCGCGTTATATAAAAATATAAATTCACATTCCGATGTAAGTTTAAAATAAATTGCTTAATCTATTAATTTAATACAGACACCTATATTTTAAGCACAGTTGATATAAACAAAAATAAATGTTCATTGTTTTGTTATCTTTTGGCAAAGAATCGAAATTCAGATAGATTGAAATACTGTTTGCAGTTTTAGTATGACAAAACATTGGGTGCCAACAAAATCATATGAATTACACCTTGCCCTTTGTTTGAATTTACCTCTGGCAAACGTTTAGATTTTATGTTTCAAAATTTGCGTTATCATAAATCACGAATCTGAAATGTTAATTATAAGAATATAGAAGTGACAAGAAGATTGTGCACAATTCTGTATTAAATAATACTAAAATTTTGCAACGGTTTAGTGTCTTAAAATAAAACATTTTCAGATTCCTTTTATACAGTGTGAACTGATTTAACATTTGTTACGATATTTTGTAATGTCTTTCATTATAAATACAATGTTTTGAAATGAATAATTTATCTTTAAAAGTAAAAGTTTTATTTATGGAAAAGGATTCTTCATTGAACTCAATTTTTGGTATTAATCTAAATATTACCATTACCATTCTTACTACTGTTGTAACGTTACGTTTCTTCTACTAATTTTATTCGTGATTTTTCTGTTTTACTTTATAATGATACTGCATTAATTACGTGTATTAATCGAAGTTAATAATTTTACAAATTCAACATTTTTAATAATTACAGCAAACAAAAATAAAGAGAAAAGTGACTCTGTAACCTTGAGCGCAGAAAATTTTGTCTTTCCTTATAACAAACATAAAATTGCGAAGTACATATATGTAACTTTATAAGACGAAACTACGATACTCGTATTATGGGTTTTGGTGTTTTACCAATTCGATAAACGTGCAACCCCAGTCTATTCCATCGTATTGACATTGTATACTCGCTTTTTCAATGTTTTCAGAAATTTCAGTGTGTTTCATACAGTATGCGAGTATCCAACTTTGAGGTATGCTGATCACAGGTAAGGTTCTCCAAACCTTGGCTGTGATATCCTCCAACATCTTCAATGAGGTTCTGTCGCTAAAGGTTGGTACTTCTGTAACCAGTGAATCCAAATTTAGCAGATCTGTTGTTTTAATGAAGTCTTCATGGCGCTGAAACGAAAAGACGAATGATGTAATATGTACACTTTATTATGTTCATGTGTTCTATTTTTGGCTATTGAAAACCTTAAGGGAAGCTAACCTGTATTTTTTTCAGCTGATCAGTTTTGATCTTGGTTTTTACCGATTTGGAATAGGCGAACGTCGTACACATGATGACATATCCGACTGCTATTATGTGTTTTAACATAGAAGAATAGGGTCCTTGCAAAACACTTTTCTTCGTGTATGACGTAAACAGAACATTGTAATTGATTAACAGAGATGTTCAGAAAGATGTTAATAAGATATCTGAAATGTTATTCAAAAATTAGTCTTTGTTCGTAATTCGATATTTGCGAATAAAATTTGATAACTTCGAATAATTTTATCAGTTTCTATTCACAGAAAAAGACACTTTATATCGTTCTCTAAATTTTAATATTTTCTACCGTACACAGATTAAACATGATTAAACACGAAAAAAGGGAAAAAGAGAGTGACTAAATTAGCTTCTTTCTGCAAACATATGTTTGGTTAAAAATGTAATAAAATTGTAATAAAAGGCTACAATCGCACATTATTAATATCAAAATATTTGTACCATTTCGATTAAATTTTATTTACTTTGATCATCAATATCGAATTATTTACTTTAAAGAATTTACAAAATTTTGATTTTATTTATAATATGACATCAGAATATTATTTTCTTGTAATGTAAAATACTTTCACAATCTTTCAATGTCATGTACGTACATACATATAATATTACATATTTGTTTTCGATTTAGCCATGAAGTTCTATGTTGTACGATGTGTTTATGCCATGAAGTTGTCCGCTGCACGAAGCTCTTGAATACAGTAGTTTATCGATGCTTATACGATATAATTAATCATAACAACTATCACAGTAAAAATCAACGTAATTGCCAGGAAAAAGGAAATCTCCACAGGGAGGAAACCACACGGAAACTAGGATCTTATTGAACAGTAATTGTATCAAGATAATCTCTATTGTTTGTTCCAGCGATAAATGGTGTAATTTATAGGCAATTAGCTGGGCAGGAAATTTCATTTGGAACCTATAAATCAACAAGAATGACAAGATTGCAGGAAAATCGGAAGAATACTACGTTTCGTAATTTATTGAACGTTGTTAAATTGTGTCTACGGTCTAGGGGTTTTCAAGAAATTTTCCACCATAATTACTGCTGTTTACGAGCGTTATATTCGACATAAAACCATTTACGGTGTGTTTTTATAGTTCTAGCTTTTACGGTATCTTCGTTACTTAAAGTAATAAATCAAAAATTACGTATACAGGCTGTCCAATTTTAATCTATAGAGACGAATTTTAAATCATTCGCTAAATTGAAAAAATATTTCAGATAAGGAATAAAGAAATGTGTATAGGTTATACAGAAGTTAACTTTGGTTTTTTAAATGGAATCATATATTTTTTAATGCACCATTCGATTCAGCTAGTCAATTTATAACCATATGTGTGCATCTACAGGAAAACCATTTCTTTTATAGGTTAATTTTATCTTTTTAAATGAAATTATAATTTTTTTATAATTAAGTTTGATGAAATAGTCAATTTTCAGCACAAAAATATATTTATTTTAAAACTTACCAATTCTGTGAGAATCAATCTTCTGCATTTTTTCATTTTGTATGTAAACAAACGATAAATAGTAAGTATTATAGATCCAACTTACACTATTAAATCTTTAATATTTCTCAATATTAATAAGTTGTTTAGTCAGTGATAATAAGATTGTTAATGAACTTTCACTTGAACCACATATGAATGAGTTTATACAATAGCAATAGATACTGTTGGTGGAGTATAATGCATATTATAGCGACTGCACGAATTTTGAAGATTCTTGTTAAAGAAAGTGGATTTTACGGATGACTTTGTTTACGTAACGAGACTCGTGCAATTTTCACCGAAATAAAAAGCCGAGAATAAGTCCGAGAATAAGTCCGAGAGTGAATCGTTTCGCAACGAATTTGTTCGCTTACCGAGAAAACGGTATCATAATGATGTTTTCACTTAAAAAGAATTAAAAATCTGCTCGATGTTTGGTTTTAAGATGTGTAAATAATAAACGTTATTTTATATATGTATGTATTCGATGTTGACTATTTACAATGATGCATTATGTTTTTCTGTGAATCGAATATAAATGGAATTTCCAATACGATATAAATTGTGTAGTACTACTTCTTCGGCATATAAAAAATTATAAATACAATTGAAAATAATATGCAATGTTCTGATGTAATAGGTTATGAATGATTATCATTTTAATCATTTGTCAGACTATAATATTAACTTTCATTATTATAAAATATGGCATATAATATTAATTATGTACACTTTTACAAATTGTTATATATAATATCTGAGCTTTCTTTTGTAAATGAATATAAAAAATGTATATTTTTATATTCGTTTACTATTGTGTATATTTAGTTTTATTTCATTCGACAATCACACTGAATCATCATAAATATATTTATTCTTATTTTTACAAATTCAAAGTTAACGAAAAATCATATATGGAATAATAACGTGTAACATAAAATTCAACGAATAACTCGATACTTCGCGAGATACCTTATCCTTTCAAAGATCTGTAAGCACTGAATCGTTTTACGAGTTACTAGAACCATCCTGTGTACATAATTCATTTCTATCCCGATAAACTGTCATCGCGTTTGCAGAACTAACATACGTTTCCTCAATTTTAGTCGAAAAGATCAAAGCAACAAGTTACGAATTGCGAATGTACGTGCTGTAAATTAATGCCGTTGATAAACGAGAATTTCCGGGAATATTGCGGACGTCGACCGCAAAAGATTAACGGATTAACAAAGAGTACGAGATTACAGACGTCGAGACGATTGTAATGAAAAAAATGGAAGAAAATACAATAGTTCTGCCATTGTGTAAACAAAGGTCGTGTTAGTCGTCAACTTCACTGGGATTTTCCCTGCGTCTTACATGTATTTTGCTGGCTGCCAGAGTACAGGTATAAATGCATACGAACAAGAAAACTGAAGCTGCGTCTTCGTCCAGGATTAGACTTGGGAATGTCCAATATCGTGCAAGCAGATTATCGAAGAATATTTTAACCTAAATGTTTGGCCTTTCCAATGATACTAGTAGCGTGAGAACGTTAATAAACATTGTGTACAAAAATAACTGTTGTATTGTTGAACTTCGTTGGACTTCAAGTTAAAAAGAGCAAAGGGGAAAGATAATTTCAGTTGGTTTAACAAGTTTTTGATTATTGTGGAAAATGTTGGTGAGGACTTTACTGGTAAGTGTTCTACGAATAATTCGTATTTTTCTTTTTTTTATTTTCAAGTAAGTTTAGTTTATATAGTTTCAACTAGATTTAGGTTATTTTTTGCGCAGTAAGGGTAATCGATAGGACGATATAACATTCTTAATTTTTAGTTATCAAATATATGTTATATAATTTTATATATTTTGTTTATAATAAATTGTTATGTATATTTGATATATTTTAAATATATAGAAATAAATGTTAACAAAAATTAATTTTATGAATCATTAGAATTTAGATTAAAGATGTTTCTTTTTAAAAATGACAAGATGATTTTTTGATATATATGATAAATAATATTTGGAATGTTTAAGCTCATATTTTGGTTTTTATTAGATTGATGAATTTTTACATCTAAGTTTTCCTTTTCCTTTTTTAATTATGAGAAATGTATAGTAATTTATATTTCATATTTTACACTTCTTATAATAAACATTCGACTTAAACATCTTCTTTGATAAAAGAGGTAATCGTTTACATTTACTTTAAGAGATATAAGATGTATACAAAGAATATAATGTGCTTTATATGAAAATAAATATTCACGTTTGGAATCTTCCAAATTTTTGTGTTTGGAATAAAAAGATTTAAAATTAAATAAATCATTTAGAAATAGAAAACTTTTATCTTAGTAAGTAACTAAATATAGGGAATTGAATATTTTTATCAGTTTATTTGCACATTCAGTAATATAACAATTAATTCATTTAATTAAAAGATTTTAATTAAAAGATACTTATATATGAACTTAATAAATTTTACTTATATAATAAGATATAAAGTAATTAAAAAATAGAACGAATTTTATAATAAATTAAGTGATCTGATATATTTTATCATTTTTAACAAGCATGATATACGAGGCATTTACATGTTCAGATTTTCATAGCGTGACTTTTGTATCAGTAAGTGATATTGATATTATGATAAAGTGTACTTAACTATCGATTTTTCATTGTTATGTGAGAAGAGAAGCGAAAACAAACATGAACGATAATGTGCTACCATTATCATTAATTTCGTCGATCTTTTTTTAGATCATTTATATGTAAACTATAATTGAAATAACTTTTATAATTATATATAATATATTGTATTATAATCAATGAAAAATTATTAAATTAATAAAATTACAATAATAACGTGATATACAAGGTGTTCCATTTAAAGTTTCGGATTCAGTTATTTCCTAAACTATAGTTCGTTTCAAAAAATGTTTCAAATGAAATTTATTCTGTTTCGAAGGGGACATCTTATAATGGTACGTCTTGGACGTACTTCCAAGATTTCTAAGTAACCTTGGTTTTTTTTTTAACGGAACTATCCATTTTTCTTATGCAAGCGGATAGTTCATTTCAAAGTAAATTCAATGACCTATAATACTTTGGTCTTTGAAGATAGTTCAAATGCACAGACTGTCTCATCTGTTGAACATCTAAATATTCATTGCTATTGAAAGTATAGAAAAATGATTAAAAAGAGTTTAAGTGGTACCACGGCGTATATCTGATGATGATAAAAAAGTACTTTTGAAGTTATCATTTCATTTTTTATAAAGCGATGTTATAGTCAATATCGAGGCCTATAAAACTTAACTCTTTGATGACCTTTAATAAAAATTTTTTTATCCGTTTGATAGCAACAAAAACAATTTAAATGTTCAACTCAAATGCAACACAATGTACAGCTTAAATTAAGACGATAGATTTAATATATCAGTATCAAAAAATTAACAACAATTCCATTTCCATAATTTTTAAATCATATAATTCTAAATAAGTGTTTAATTTTTTTACTAAACGTATTTATCTTATTTTTCTCGAGCACGAATGAAACGTAGAAAAACTTATTCCGCAAATTACCATGAAGTCGCAAAGTTGTCAAACTGTTATATTTCTAGGAACAGAAAATATATGTAGTATATACACTGATATGTTATTTGTAAATTTTGTAGACTTCTAAGCTGCAACTAAGTTATTTTCATACAGATGATACAAGTAAGAAACAAACATTCTGTACTTCGATTTATCTTGGCTTCGAATAATCTTCTGCTCACTTGCATAACCTTTATTTAGACGAAAGTTAGCCAAATGTGCATGCATTCAACGAATTTTCCGATTCAGCTTTTATAAAAATAAAATTTTTAGCGAAAAAACTTTATTCTTTTTTTTCAAATGTATCATCCATCCTGAAACATGATACTTTGTTATACATATACTTTGTTATACATATATACACACATAATATATATTCATAATTCAATTACATCAAGATAAGAATGTACAATAATAAATTCAAACTCAAATAATAAAAATTTTGCTTTATAATAGCGTATATAGCATAAAGCGTATTGTTGTGTCCATAGAAATATAAAACACAATTCTATTTGTTTCTCTAAATGAATAAGTTATATAGCAGGAGATAAAGTTATTTAATTAATTTTGACGAACCTTAAGTTATATTAACTGTCTTTATTGTATTTTTTAACACTTCAACGAATCATGAACTATCTTCTTTCAATTCGCTTTATCTGACTGTTGTGAAAGGTATTTTGGTTTATACGTGATGCTATATAAATTTCGCAGGAAAAATAATAGAAAGAAAATTAAAGAGAATACGATTTCAAATGCAAGCTTTACCATGATTCATTTACTATTTTTAAATCTTAATCTATTCGAAATAATTATATAATATAAGTTGTATTCTTTTTTAACAAAAATCTGTTTTTTCCATTTATATTATTGATTTTCTATTACTTCTTTAACTTTTATTTATAACTTTCGCCTTTTTTTCGAATAATTGCAAATGTTGTTGAGTTCCATTAAGTCAGCTGTTTGATTTGTTTTGGCATAATATTTCTCATACTCAGCAAATTTTTTTTCATTTCAAGACTGACTTGATATTTCTTAGTTTCCTTACTAAAAATTCACTGTTGAAGTATTTTAGCTTTAAAACTATTTCTTCCTTTTTATTTTCATTTTATTTTCCTCTTTGTTAAATAATATACATTTTTCTTCTTCTTTAAAGTAAAGAATCCTTCCATCTCTTCCATCTTTTTCATTTTCCGATGATGTCTGTAAATATTTCATTATTAGGAAATTTCATACTGATTTCATGTTTCATGTTACAAAATTTCATTATAAGTGATCAATTTTTTCTGAAAATTATTGTATTTAAATCTCTTTGTACGCTTAGGGAAAATTACAAAAAAAAGGAAACGAATTTATAAAGAAATAATTACATTAAAATATAAGGTTTTTTTATTTACCTAAAGATCGATAGGAATTTTTAGTAAAATACCATAAATATGAATTTTCTTTTTTACGAAAATTATACTACTTGAAATCTCAGTATATAGTTATCTAATTATCCGTTTCTCATTAACTTTAATTATCTTATTTAAAGAGATAGATAAATTAGCCTTTCTGCATAAAATACACTATACATATACAACATATTTAGGCTAAGAATGATTTAAAATAAAATACTTTCTGTTTGCATGTAATAAAACATAATAAAATATATAGCAAAGATGAAATTATAAGGAAGGGACATTAACATCTAAGTTAAATTAAAATGATGCAAATAGTATACCTACATTTTATGTTAATATAATATTTCAAAATAAACTTCTAATAAGAGCAATAATATGTAACTGAAGTATAGGAACGCTAGTGATATCTAACGGATACTTTAAAAGTTACATAGATGTTCCTCTCGGTTACTAGATTCATCACTGTCCTGTTTATTAATAGAAAAGATGAAACAAAGTGAAAAATGTTTTATCGCTACTGCATTGAAAATGCTGATCTAATCAAGCATGTAGTTTAAAAAACTGTCATCGTCTAATACCATAATATTAATATTATCAAAGATGTTATGTAGCTACTTTACACAATCATATTTAAAAATTAGAGGGAATCGAGAAATTTCGTTGTAACTACAAGTAAAAGCAATGCTTTATAACAAATATATTGATCACTTTTGCGATTAAATAAATTAAAAATTTCTTAAAATATTTTGTTAATAGAATATTTTACAGTCATATATTTCGTTCATTTAGAAATGTTTTGTACAAATCATCATTAATTTTATAAAAACAGTGATTTAAAAATATGTTTTTGAATATTTAATGTAATCAATTTTAAAGATTTATGGGTAATGTAGTAACTGTCGTTCAGATAAAAAAATTAATCAATACAGTGAATACCGCTTGATACCGATCGATGGTAACTTGTAAACTACGAAATTGCGTAGAATGTGTTGTGATCTCCGTTGTGATCATTTTAAATGACATTGAAATGGAAGCGCAGACTCTTTTGCGGTGGAAACTGATAAAATTGTGAGGGATTTTACATTAAATAACGAATTATTTAGTGTAAGCTAATAAGGCAAACATATTTTTTGTCACAGTAAGTCATAGCTTTTAAACATATCGTTATAGTTATAAAACGATAATACACTCATATAAGGTGAGTTCATAAGAATGACCATCTCAAATAACTCGTCATCTACTGACTGTAAAAAAATATGTTTTTGATAACATTTTTTTTATTCGAAGTAACGTATTAGGCGAGAATAAATTTCGATTTTTATATATCTTATATTTTTCGAGATATCAAAATTAACTTTGAATTTTCTAAATAAATTTAAGAAGAATTTTCTTTTTATTTTAGAGTTCTCGGTTACGTTAGGAAATTCACTTTATTGTAAGTTGACTTTTCAGCGACTATAAGACACTAAAAAAAATATAAGAAAAACAATTATAATTCATTTTTCATTCAGAAATTTAAATATCATTGTTTTATATTTTATTTAAAATTTGGAGTATTATTATTTATTTTTTATTTAGAAACTTTGGTATCATTTCTTATTTAGGAATTTGAATACTATTACTTTTTAAATCTCGTAGAATGTAAAATTGCTTTTTATTCATTAAAGTCCGTTTATTATTAGTATTTTAAATAATAAAATTTATTCAGATTTGCATTATGTTAATGAACATGAAATCATAGAAGAAGATTACTTAGAGTAGCATGTTATTGAATGTAACCAAACAAGTTTAATAACCTTGATTCACCTGCACATGGTGTCGAGTGAAGTGTAATCTAAAAACTCAAAGTTGTTATGCTGGTCGTTTATCTCTATTTTACACGAATCAACCCTGATTTGCATGTCAGTTATTGTTATGACTTTGGCATAACTCATTTAGTAAAAATATAATTTACAATTTTGAATAAAAAAAATTTACAAATGGATGTGCTAAGCAAGATGATAAAAAACAGGATCCAATGTTTCAAGAATCTACACTATTTATTGATATATATATATTATATCAATACTTCATACTTCATACTTCTTGTCTGAATAAAAATTAAATGTGAACCCAAACTTTCGAACGTCAGTATAATCTCGGTTGGTTATAGTTACACCATAACCTTAAATGTGATTCAATATCCTACGACACTATTAAAAATTTATCAATCATAAATATATTCGTTTGCATCAATAATTAAGGCGTATATGTATTTAGTGAACTGTATCAACGATTTTCAATTGTGACGTATCCTCCCCACCGATTGTGTACGGGATTTCCTGGCAATGAAGCCATTACTACTGGGCATTTCCAACATCGTAGAAGAACGACCTATAGGCTCAGTGGACGTGGTCGCACCACTGGAAAGGATTCGTGTTCCATGTATAAATGTGACACTAACTCGTGAGCAGAAATGTGGTGGGGAAGTGGTCGAGGAGCCAGTTACTCGCGGGCATCTCGGTGACTCTGCTTTTCCTTCTGTGGACTCAGTTCAGTATCGTAGCGAACATCAAACGGACGTTTTTTCGTGGTCAGCTAGTTTGTAATTTGAAAATCCGAACAAAGAAAACGTGCAGATCAACGAAATGTTTTTTAAACTGGTGAGTGGTGATCCTTTGACGAAACAACAGAAACGGCGTAGTATGGGTTGGACGTTATCGTTTTACTTACATTAGCATTATTTTGATATGTTCTATGAGAAAGTAGATTGTAGTTAAGCGATCAATGTTGGACCTAGTTGTCCTAAAATAAAACTGTTCTATAATTTGATGGAATATCTTTTATAAATGTTAGTGATATTTGATTCTTTCTAGGATATAAGAATGTTCGTTTACAATCTTTATCTTCTTCTAAAGAAATATTATAGTATACTGTATTTCAGTGTTATCGATTTTAAATTTACATTAGATATGAGTTAGCAATCACTTAATGATTATTATTGTTATTTCAGTGTATGGGTATTAAATATTATTCTTAATTAATAATGACTACTCGTTGAATACTTCGTTTACTGTTGCTGTTGTTAAACATTTTATTTAATTACGTAAATTTATATTTGCTTATCTTAATTTTCTTTGAAAAAGAATTGAATGTGATTTCAAACATCTTACGTAAATTTTCTATACTCGATCGACTAAAACTGTATTTTATGGATGACCCGTTACTCTTTTAGTAATAAAAAGTTCAAACGCGATAACTTATCTCGTTGCATACATTTTTCGCACTACCCTTTCTTTTCTTCCCACACTATTCATCTTCACTTTATATTAAATCTCGAATATTGTTCTTTCATCGAATGCTTCTCTCACATTTTTCTAGTAATTTTCACACGTTGTTAATCTTCTTGTTTCAAATAAATCGCTTAATGCTTTGTTTTACAGTTTTACGATCAGCCTTCCTCAATCTATGAAGGACACACTAGCTAGTTCTTTATTGATTTTATTACTCTTAGAAAAACTCTGTAATCTCAGAAATTCTATTGGCTAGGATGTTCCCGAGGAATGTCGGTACAGTCATTTTTATATCGGTTGACGATCGATTAGTTGTGTTAGTCGCAGTCGATAATTCGATTTTAATTCGACTTTGTGTACAGTCAGCAACTGATTACATACGCCGTACGTGTTTTAGTTATAAAGTTGGACACGTATCTCAAAGAAGAATCCACTTGTCATTCGTTGACTGCCTTTGTTGACATTGTAGGATTTCCGATGTGATTTCGTACATCTTATTACTGCTAAAATTACGAAAATTTTTAGTGTCCTTGAAATGAAACATATCATAGTGAATTGATAATATCTTATTGCAAAATAGACGTCAAAATTGAAGCTAAGGATATAGTATTTTTGTAAGCAAACCGGAAATAGAATTTTAGACCGATTTTTGTTAACAATGTGAAAATTAGAAAATATTTTCAAAAAATAGATTTTACTGAATATTCTGGTATTTTTTAAGGTTAAGTTATTCACATTCCATAATAAATTTTATAATTTATTTTACATAGCTACATAGTCAAATATTTCTATAAACATTTATTACATATTAATAACATTAAATTGCTAAACGTTAATCATATATTTAGTCAAAATATATGTAGTATATTCAATTAAATATATGGTTAATTATGTAAGCACATTGTTAAAGATTTCTAGAAAAACATACAGTGACTCGATAGATGAAGAAGATGAATATTTACGTATCGAAACGAGTAAAAGTGTTCCACAGAGTCAGGAGAGAAAATTTCTAGAAGAGAAAAGGTGTGAAATAGAAATTACACGATACAATTTCCATAAGTCATGAAACGTTTCGTTTAGAAGGATATGCAATGGAAACGTAAACTTCGAAACAAGGTGAAATTGAAGGTTGTCAAACGAGGAACTGGAAAGTTGCATACGAAATTACGTAAAATCCGTACTAGAATTTGCATAAGGCGAAATTGAAGTGGAATAATTCAAGCGAGTTTCCCACGTGCTGAACGTAGTAGTATGAGGAACAACCTGTAGAGGCGTGGTATGTTTTCTCTTGCTTTCGTCACACGAGGCTCGTCATACGTTAGTTTCAGCCAAGAAAGCCGGACTCTATGATGTCACGGTTTGTTCGTTGCTTTCACTCGTCTCAACGTTTGCTTCTCTTTCGTCCCAGATCGTACAATTTTCACTAGTTTTACAATTACACTTCAGACCTTCCAGAAAATCCACGAGAACCTCTCATATTTGTTCTACGTTTTCGTCTAGGTTGATCGTAGCAATTAGAAGACGCTTTCTATTTTATACATACGTCCGTTCGTCACCTCTGAAAGACAGTCGAATTTCTGTCAGTAAAAAATGGTGGCAGTGAAAGTATGTTAAATTAAAAAATATGATTAAGTAAGAAATATGGTCGTCTGTACTGATTGAATGACTATTTCATTATTTCCCCGTACCGTTTATTTAATATCATTGAATAATGATTGTTTTGTAATCGTGTACACGTATGATTATCTAAGGAGAATTTTTATTTAAGTGGAAAGATGAAGGATTTTAATATTTGAAGGATATATTAAATATTTTACATTACATAGATTAAAAATCATAGATTATGGAAGATGAAGAATTTCAGTGATTAAACTGATAAGTTCGTTACACAACAAACAGTATATTGTTTATTATAAAATGTAATATTTTAAGATATAGAAAATTTTATAGGTGATAAGGAATTAAAATTGTTATTCCATTGAAAACTTGTAAAGAAAATTGCAAATAGAAACAAACACCAAATAAACTATTTTTCTATAATTATATTTATTTGCTATAAAGGATACAATTAAAAAGAACGTGAAATCACAGAATTAAAGATTAGCATGTGTATAAAATTTTTTTATAAAAACTACTACATTTATAGCAATATTATAAATGTGTTATTTTTATGTTATTGTTAATAGATCTCACTTTGTATCACTTTCAAAATTGATTAATGAAAAACAATAGATTTAGGACTAAAATATTGCTTGCCTTTAAATAATTATTAATGCAAAATGAACTACTTCAATTCAACATGATTAATACAAAAATTTTATGCATTCAAATTTCATAATATAGTAAATACAACGTTTTGACGAATAATAAATATTAATTTCGTTAATCTTCAATTATCGTGGCTGGGAAACCAGTTTGGAGATTTGAAATTACGGGTAGCTGATCCTACTAAAATTACAAAGTGGCTCATTATACGTAACCAGAGCGTGACACTTAAACGAAACTTTTCCCATATTCAGCATAAAAGTGTCGTAGATATGAATGACGTGTGTGACAAATTATTTGTTGATATTACGTCCACCTATACGTCACGATCTAAATAAACACTCGCACAGATTACGTTTAGAGGTTATGGTTACCAAAATAAAATGGGTTTACAAAACTTCTAACTGTAGAATTGAAATTACTTTCCTTATCTTATTTCTTTTTTTCTCCTTATTGCTTTTTTATTTCTAGTGAGATGTCTCCTATAATATCGCGTTTACTTTAATGGCGTTAATTTTTGAAATTAAACAATCTGTATATCTATTTCATAAATGAATCTTTATTCGAGTTGATATAACAGTAAATATTTCATTGATACTTTTCTTCCAAATTGGTTTACAATTACAAATTTTGTAATTTAATTATTTCATTTCATTTCATTTTATTTTAGCGTGGGATTATTTTTATCGAAATTATTAAATGTTTTTTTACGTATAAAATTTATCTTTAGAGTTTATAACCTCACATTATACATTTCCATTGTGAGAGATGTTTATTAATGTTAAAAAATATTGTTACATGATATTTATAAAATTTATTTCTCTGCATTGAAGTGTAATTTGCTTTTGAATTCCTTTTGCATTGTTCGTCCACGGCATAGTTGTAATTATGTTATTACATATAATAATAAAACTGTTGAAATTCTGCAGTAATACAGGAACTACTCCATACATGTCTACCAGACATAAAATACAACTTCGTGTAAACTACGCATTTATTTTATCTCAGTTTCCGTGTCTGAAATCATACTTCATACCAGTTTCTCTGTCTTAAGTCATATTTCATACTAGTTCCGTGTATCGATTCACGTATATTTTATTTTGCATTTCTTTTTTTTGTTACATCATAAGTCATAAATTCGTTCCATCTCTATTTACTATTTATTAGAATTTGTGTACAAAACACTGAATGAACTTCGTTCTTTATGTTTTTACAAGATTAATGACCCATTCTGATCCATGAAATTTAACGATCAAAGTTTATTATTAATTTTATAAATTATTTGTAATCTGTTTTATATATAGGGAAGTACTTGTTCAGTTTCAAAATTCGTTTATTCGTTAACATAAATATATTTTATCGCTTTAAATATTTACAATTTATGAAAGAAAATAAGTGGGAAATAAATAAAAAATCGAATTACGAAAGTACGTAAAATAAATAATTGGAGATCGAAGAAAACATGCAGTATGAATGATATTATCAAAATTGCTTTTATCTGTTCTTGAGATTAAATTGTATTTTTATTATTTTTTTTTTAATTTTTATTATTTTCCTGAAGATTCCAAATTATCGTAAGATGAATTATTCCTTTGATTTGAAAACGTTCACTGCACTTCCCATTTTCAAATTACGCGAAGTAAAAGTACTTTTTTAAATCACCAAACATAAATCAAAATCATACTTAACGACTAAAAAAAAAAAAAACAAAACATCATCAAACATAAAGCAATCATGTTTATAGTACAAACAAACTGCTTTTTAAAATATAATTCAAAATATATAGATGAGCTTGATATGTCCATCTTTTTAGGTTAATTGTCTTTTTCAACGGACAAACGAGATCCCAAACAACTGTCTTTGCTATTCATGCTTCATTAATCCCACGATTTCTTATTCACAATAGTTTAATTTCTTGCATGAGAACAAACTCTTCACTCCTCGCAGATTTTCTCAATGGATTATTTTTTCTTCCAGGTAACGTTGGTGCTACCACTGCTATTATTACTCAACAAATCGTCAGCACAATGTTTGACTGGAAACGACAGTCCAATGATAAGCACGGTCACGAGGAAATCCATAATCGACTCGAGATTCATTTTCGCCCTTGACACCCTGAAGCAAATGGCACAGATCGAGACCCGCGATAATATTTTCTATAGTCCTTACAGTATACACCAGGCTCTGACCTTGGCGTACTATGGTGCTCGAGATTCTACCGAAACAGCATTACGGAAAACTTTGCACCTACCCAACGATTTATCCAAGCCCGACATGATGCGATTCTATTCGTTGGAAAAATCGGGGAAGGACCCTGGTAACCGGGTGAGCAGGCTCAAAGTGGAGCGATTGCATCATTATTGTTCAAGTTTACAAGTATTCCAAGGCGAACCACATAATCGTGACATCAGGCAGGATGTCGAACTGCATGACAGAAAGAATGTATCCAAATCTAGATCTATTAACCTTCACAGTCTGTATAGTTAGACATACCTTGAAATAGCTTAATTTCTTGGAATTCGAGTAGGAAGCATATTGACCTCACAGCTCTGTAACGAACAATCACGAATGTAATGTACGACGAATAAGTAATGTTTGTTTCAACGATGTGAACGGATGATACTGTGTAGAGAGACTTCATTTAATCAGATGTATAATTCTCACTGTTGTTTGAGCTAATGAGAGTCGTAACTAGTAGATCTCAGTGAAAAATATGTTAAGAAAAAATGTTCATATTCATATCTAGAATTCTCGTACGATTTTTTGAAGTTTCTTTGATGTTTCCTGAGAGCTAGGTAATTGAAATAGTCTCTGTTCTATTGTTATCAAATTATAAAGTTATCTATAAAGTAATTGATACTGTAGTTAAGTAATTAATGAGTATAGATATAGATATTATGCTGTTAGATTAAACAATGTATTATATTTCATTCGCGATAATGTGGTTATAGGATTATATTAGAGTATAAAGTATAATACATTTTAATCTAGAAAATGCAATAGTATTGAAAACAATATGAAAAATAATACTTTTTACTCTTTATAGTTATATCTATTTTTTATAAAGTTTCGATAGTTTGTCTAACTTAATATAAAAATATTTACAGAATGATTCACTAATCCAGTTTTCTTTTTTATCCAGAATTCATCTAACTATGAGTATAACTCAGCAAATCGAATATGGATATCGGACACGAGAAAAGTGGAGAATTGTATGTTAGACTTATTCAGCAGTGAGCTGGAAAAAATTGATTTCCATACAAACCCAAGCGCGGTTCGTGATTATATGAACAACTGGGTGAGCAACATGACTAAAGGGCATATTCACGATCTTTTCTCTGCTGATAGCATCACAGCCGATACCGATTTAGTGCTGGCTAATGCGGTGTATTTCAAAGGACAATGGCAAAGCCGTTTCGATCCTGCAAATTCCGTGAAAGGTCTTTTCCATACTTCCCAAACACAGCAATCTATGGTCACATTCATGAAACAAAAGGGGAATTTCAATCATTGTAAGTTGAACAAATCATTATGAAATATTAATTTTTGTCTGTGATTTAACTTCTTTCTAGCATTTCCTTTCAAAAAGATTTTTATTTTATTCTACGATCCCATCTTTTTTCTTAAGATTTTTATTGTTATTTAACAAATTTTGTTAAATAGTTACTTATTACATATTTGTATTAGTTAAATGATAAAAACACCATTTTATGGATTAATTGAGGTAATATTGAGATAATATTGAGAGATAATATTTATCACATTCGTTAGTAAGTGATAACTCTAAAACAACTTCATATAGATAAATTATTCGTTAGTATTATAAAATATTTAATTTACAATAAGTATTTACTAAGTTTATTAAGTATTATTTAATAACAAGTACTAAATAGCATTAGGAAGTAATATTATTATACATTAAAGTAAATAAGTAATGAAAGCAAGTAAAAATTACAAATTACCAAAATTATATGTTTCAAGTAATAAAAAGGAATATCAGATTTTTAATTTGTAATCAGTAACTTATGTGCTTAGCAATTTTAAATTTATAAAAGAATCCTCATATCTTTATTATGTCAAAAAATTTTAATAATAATAGCCTGTATTATAGGTATGTTATACTACTTATGTTACAAAATGAAGATTATAACATTGATTGTTGCTGAAATTACAAAATGTTTTGATTAAAAACTAAATCTAACAATGTGAAAGATATTTGTTTATGGAAATGAGACAGAATGGAGAGATATTTACTATTTATTGTTAATAAGAATGGAACTGAAAATGTAATTTAGTATTAGTACTTATAAACACAAAAATATCCAAATGTATTTACTGATTTATTTTAGACAAATAATTATATTTTATTGCGTATCTCTAAATATATTTAATATTTTTTACAGTTATCTCCGAAACACTTGCCGCACACATCCTAGAATTACCTTATAAGGGAAACGAAGTCTCAATGTTCATCCTGCTTCCACCGTATCACCGTTCCACCGTCGGCGATTCTAAGCAAGTAGGAGAACGAGACAGTATTCGACAGGTCATAGAACGTATCTTCAGTGCACCAGATTTTATGGAACTTCGTGAGCTTCTTGATTCCAAAAATGTACTTCCTCAAGAAGTAGAAATTTTTCTGCCAAAGTTTACAATTGAGAAAGATCTTCCATTAGCCGTATTACTTCATGCTCTTGGAGTAGCGGAATTAGTAACTCCTGGCAGGGCTAATCTTCGAGGTTTCGTCGCTGATGGTGAGAAACCATTGCACCTAGGTGATGCTGTCCATCGTGCACGAATTGAAGTTACCGAAGAGGGCACCACTGCGGCTGCAGCTACTGCCCTCTTAAGTTTCCGTTCTGGACGACCATTACAACCGGCACTTTTCAAAGCAGATCATCCATTCCTCTACTTTATCTATGAGAAACCAACACGTACTATTTTGTTCTGTGGAATTTATCGTTCTCCTAATCCACAACAAACTACCGCTGAGACATCGGCTTAAGACGTTTGGCAAACTAATATAATTATCGTTGTTGTTTCTCGTTTATCTTTCAAGTATCTGGAGCACAGAATGAACAAGTTTTGCATGTGTATATGTGTTTAACAAGGTTTGTTTGAATTTTGGGACCAGTATGATCGATTGCTATTCGCAGAGCATTATTGGGAAATTTGTTAGAAATTGTTGTTGTATAATTTTATACAAACAATGAATAATACGGATGAAATGTAGACTGTTTCGGTTATTTTAGTGCGTTCAGCTTAGAGTTGAAGTTAAAATTGAATGATTGAAATCAAAAAAATTAATTCCTATCAAATTCGTCATACTGTATGAATGTTCAATGTGTGAATTTTTAATGGCTATTTGTTGTTATAATGGAAAGAATAAAATTGTGATGCAACATTACGATCGAATATCTTTTATAATATCAAAGTTGGAAAATTGCTGTTGTATGAATTTCTTGATATTCGTAATTGTGCGTGAACGCTGGAACGTTGAAAAAGATTTCACGCGTTAATCTGTAATAATTGAAAATAAAAACTGTCATTTCTATTGGTAATGTGAATTTAAATCTATATTATTATGATATAAATCTATAATATATATGAACAATTTCCTTCCTTTGTGAAGTATGATAGAATAATTTATATGTGAAAGAACTTAATACAGTACAAGATTATATTAATATAATAGAAAAATTTTAAAGTATTGTACTATAAGTTCAATATGTATTTATACACTCTGAATAAAAAAAAAAATATTGATTAGAAAATACATAAATTTTTATAAAATAAATTAAATATTTGATAGCTTTTAAGAATATATATTTATTTATGAATGTTTTTGCTTATGTTTTGTATATGTGTTACGAAAAATTGAGTTAAACATACAGAATATTTTATTCATGAATGTTATTTTATTTTTTAATTTTAGCATTTTTTACTGTGCAGAAATTTATTTATTTATTGATTATATTGTTCATATCAACAGAGAATAAAATCATTAACACCATGAAGTATTAAAAAATACATTTAAATTCTTTTACTGATATTAATGTTTTGTAAAGTAATCATATTAAAATTGTATAATTTAATCTATTAAATCATTTAATTTTCAAATGAATTTTTTTCAACTTGATTATTATACTCCTTGTCATGTGATTGCAACTTACCGATTGTCGATCTTCTCTGATCGACAGATAATACACTTAAAAAATTGCTTATAAACTTGCAATTTATCCAAACATTAATACTTCTTTGACAAGAAAATATAAAAAACACGATAGTTATTTTTCAGTACAAGAACGAAATTAATTGTCTGTAGCTAGCGATACACGAGGTTCTCGACTCTGAAATATCCATTGAACGTTCTTGATCGATGTACAATAAATCAAAAGTCTCCGACAAGTCGCGCCTCCATCGGCCACGTTTCCAAGCAATGCGTTCCTCGGGTCGCGGTTCCATTCACTAATGCTGACGTCATTGAAAGCCACCGAGGTCCGGTAAACGTGTGCTCAAGCGACCGTTAGCCGGTAGCATCCGCAAAACTCGATCCTCCGGCAGAATCTGGCATCTGGTTGCGTCACGCGCCGATACAAGCGAACGGGCACACGGACGCTCGTCTCGAAGTCTGGCAGTCCTTGACGCAGGCCTCGATCCCGGCGAAAGATGAGCAAACTCGAGATCCGTGAGAGATTCGCCGTACTTCCTCAAAGGAACGACTTCTCCGACCAGTTTACGCGCTCGAACTGTATTGCGCTTACTACGGAATCTTCCTCGATCGATCTCTGCACCTAACCTTTTTTTCAGTCAGCCAATATAAGGCTACGAAGACGTGAATTTCCTCGCTGTCAAGGAAGCCTGTATGGAGGTCATCTTTGATCGATCGTATTTCTGCGTGGTTCGATGGATCGTCTGTTAAGCCCGTCAAATCTCTGCATTTACTTTTCTTCGTTTTGGCTTGAGATGTAATTTTGACTGGCACAGTTCATACGTATTCTGTATTGAATAAGTTAAATATTTCTTCGAGTCTATCAAAGAAATGAAAATCAAATAACAATGACATGAATATTCTACTTTCATCGACACTAATTGTAATATGAAAGATATTTTTACCTGTTTTCATTAGTTTTATTTCTTGAACTTAGGTGGTATTAAAAATTCAAATTAATCTTATTAATTACAATTATACTTTTCTATTTTTTATAATACTATACACAATTTTCTTATTAAGACATTATTTCCCTAATTTTTAATTTTTCTAAACGAAGGGTAATATAGTTTAATTTACCATATGTTCAATAAGCAAATTTTAAATAGCTGCATCGATATTGAAAGGTTAGTTATGATTAGACAACAGCTAGGTGAACGTTTAACCGAGATAATCATATAGACAATTACACCGGCATTACCCCAACATAGCGTGCGAAATTGTCGCAAGAATATTGTTCACTTATTACTGACGATGAATTGCGTTAATAAGTTCCGTTTAAACATTCGTGGTCATTGATTGTATATGTTCGTTGCAATATCCTTTTTGTATTGAATTACAAATTCCCTCGTGTAGAACAGCGTGCCATATGTGACAGCAATGTAATGCACAGCGACTCTGTTTCGTCGTCCTTGCGCAGAATCGTACGATTCCCGCGCAGAGACACTTGACATCATTACTGGAGTTTTTCGTACCGCTAATTTCTAGGTTAACCGATACGTTTGGATAAGGAGTAACACAATAGAGTCCTGAGACGCGACCTCTGTAAGTACTTACGTTTATGAATAATTTCGCGCGATCCGTAACCCCGATAATAAGCACGATTTGAAAAAGCATCCGCTCGAACGATCGACAGATAAAATTCTAACGGAGCCTCGGCGTTGATCGGGCAACCTTGACAGTCTCGGTAAACGTGGAAACATTGTTAAGGTTTCCCTCGATACTTTCACTTTCCTTCTTCCTTTTTCGCGGCAAGTGCACAAGCCTGTTGCAAAGATCGCCGCGAACACGTGCTTTTACGCTTTGACGCTAACGGTAAAATCCGATGGGTTTCTCGTTTCTTTACTCGAAATCGATATCGAACGAACGTTGACCGTATTGCTGACCCCATTTTTTTATCCTTTTCCTTCATTTTATTTTCGTTTGTTTCTCGTTGTCTCACACTCACCGCGCAGTGCTTTTCTTATCTGCCGTTGGAGTCGACACGCTCTGTCGCTGTTAAAGCATTAAAGAGTTTAATTATCGACCGGGAAGCACTTTAAATATCCACATCCTTCGTTGGCCCGATACCGACGGGCCAGTTTCCCGTGGAGTTGTTTCGCTCGCACGCAGGTTTCCTTGGCGAGCCTCGAAATTCTAGCGTGTCGGGGTATCGTATTCATAAGGCACGTATATTAATGGACGCACGGCACACGGTGCTACACCGGTGCACGTGCAACACATAAACCACTTCCTTGACAAGACCCAGTTTCGATGTCTCTCGCGTACGTCGGTGCTTAATTATGCCAAAGGAGTACTTACACGGGTGCAGCGTGGAAATAGAAAAAGAACGCACTTCCTTTTTGGCTTGTTTATCGATCGTTGATTATTTATGCGACGGATTTTTTTTCCACGATTCCTCTTTTTTTTTTAAATACCGGTTAGCATTATTACGAATTGCTAAAATGTTTAAGGTAACTGAAAAAGTTTCACATTGAAATTAAAATAATTTTAGGTAGTTTCAATAAATTTGAAGTTCCCAATGTAATTGTACAGTATATTCATTTAGAAAAAGATTATTATTATTAATAATTATTTTAGCAGATATTTTATTTAAAATAAACTGTTTGATGATCTATAAAATTTATTTTATTTTTTTGATTTAACAGATTTAAATGATTACTTCCGCATAAGGATATCATCGCGAAAGAAAAAGAAAGGAAAGGAAAGATAACAGTTGTAACAACTTGGAATTCGAAAATACCAAGCACGTTTTCATTAGCGCTCCAGCTCTAAGTGGTTTTCGTTCTCGCTGAAGATGGCGCCTGCAGTCCCATGTGGCCGCTCAATAAAAGGCGATAAAAGCCGAAAAACCACGCAGCAGTGACGGCAATAAATCACTGGTCAGGACCGTTTTCTTGCAACCTGCAATTTAAGCGTGCTCTTTAAACTGTCCATTACTTTACCCGTCCCATCGGTTTCAATATCTTTCCGCTGTTTTGCCGTTTCGACGCGCCTATAATGCGTGTACTTCGCGACCAAGTGTTTACAACTTTTATTAACGCTGCAAAGATTCCAGACGACCCATGGTGAATTCTTCCAATGAACAGTATGCATCCTCGTATAAATTGACTTTTTATACGCCTTTTTATTCGTAGCTTTCACGACGTTTGGATGGATCCCTTAAAACGTTTTCTGCTGGATCGACTTTTATGATTTTTTCGACCATTTATGGCACGTGAGTTATACCCGTTTACGCTATCAAAATTAACAATTATTAATGGAAGCAGGTTCAGTGTGTGGCTTATAAATCCAAATTAAATCCAAATTAACTTCAAGTTCCAATTTACTGGATTCGAACACTAATAGGAAATTATTGTACATTCGTCGTGTTCATGAAGTATCTGAATGTTGTGAGTATACAAAAATTTGTTGAAAAATGCATATTTATAGAATTGATAAATTAACATTGATACTAATTAACATATTTTCATTATGAAAATTCCAGATGTGACATTCCTTTGGCAGAAAGACATTTCAAGGAAGATTAAGCTTGTTCTACTATGTCATTTCTCATTGTTCGTTCGATTGGCCGGTAGAGCGGTAACTCGCCTCGAAAACCTGTCGACGGGTCTGTTTTTACGGTAGCAAGCGATATTATACGGGCGTCGGTCACTTTCTTCCTCCCGATCCCGGGACATTCGGTTTTTCGTACTTATGACTGTCCCACATCCTTTGTTCGCCGCTAATTATACACCATCCGGTCGTGGTAGCGAAACTAGATCGACATTGGGTAAAAACGATTGCTTTCGAGTATTAATCACGCTCGGTGTCGAAGCTGACGTTCGCGCGGCGAATTGCCAATAGAGCGATTGCGTCACGCAAATGGGAAGTTTCTGAACGCGTTTCTTCTTTGACACCGCTTGCTGTATACCACTGTTACGTGTTATTTTATTGCTAATTACATCTGCACTGTTCTCGATTGTGATATAATATATTTCCTCGAAGGGAATCTCGATTTCTCGTATCGATATCTTCTGGAGATGTCACTATCTTT